CTTCTCCATCCCCACTTTTGCATCGGTGGCCGAAAGTGCTGAAGCAGGTAGTGGCTTTTCCTACCTGGCCGGGGCATGTACCGCCGATGTGGTCTTGCCACTCCTGGTGGTGATGACATTCAGCTGCTGGTGCGGCTCCCGTGGATTGGGGATGGTAGTGGCAGGTAGAGTTCCCGGTGCCCGGGTATTGTTCTGACAAGCTATTCCTCCAAGCTGATGCTGGAGGTCCTGCAGTATGGCACATTGGTTCCTCTGACCTGCCTCCAGCGAGGCGATGCTTTGGTCTATCCTAGTAAAATTCACCTGGCTGGTAGTCATGAATGCCGCCAAAATGTTCTTCAGCTCGGTCATCTGATTATCTGGAGCTGGAGCTGCTGCTGGCTCAACATATTGGCGTTGCGGTTGCTGGAATGACTGCCCCTGCCTAGGCTGGTAAGGTTGCTGCTGTAGAACTGGACCCTGTCTGGCCTGGAAAGGCTGCCTCTGCTGAAAACCACCAGCTGGTGCTGGGAAACCAGGTGGTTTAGTAGTGTTGCTGGTATTCCAGGAGAAGTTGGGATGCTGGTGCCAACCTTCATTATAGGTACCACTGTAAGGATCGAGGCGCCGAACATTGGCAATGAAGTCCAACTGCTCCTGAGGTGTAGATGACTCCCGCATAGCCTGGCAGTCTTCCATCAGATGGTTCGAGCTCTCACACCACTAACATTGAGCTACTGGAGGTCCGGCCAGACCTCTGCCCGGAATAAGACTGTTGGGTTGCTTCAATGTTTGCACCAACTCAGCCACCTCCCGCTCTAGCCTGGACCTGGCCTCCATGGCGTGCACACCACGATCCCGGGAATTTCTGCCTCTAGTGCTCTGCCCCCAGGAATGATCTCTGGCAGCCAGTGTACTGATCATCTAGTTTGACTCGGGTGGAGTCTTAGTGAGAATGTCTCCTCCTAGGCATAGAGACTCAATCACCCTCTGGCTTTCTGGAGAGAGAGAGCACTATAGAAGTTCCCCACGGTGAATGCATCACTGAAGCCATGATGGGGACACTGCCAGAAAAATCCCGAGTACCGCTCCCATGCATCACGAAGTGAATCATCTGGCTCTTGGCGGAAGTGAGTGATCTCCCCGCTGGATCTTTGTGGTCTTCGATGCCGAATAGTACCTGTTTACGAACTTGTTGGCCAGATCGTCCCAAGAAGTGATGGACAATGGGGGCTGGGTCTCTAACCACCTCTTAGCATGCCCCGCCAGAGAATGGGGGAAGAGGTGAAGGCGGATCGCATCATAGGGTACACCATTCATCTTGAACTCGTTCGTCAGCTGCAGGAACCGGGAAAGATGCATCATTGCCTCCTCATCCTTCAAGCCATGAAACTGGATAGAGGATGTAATGAGTTGAATCCAGCATGGCTTGATCTCGAAGTTGTTTGCTGGGATGGGTGGATAGAGGATGACAAGGCGGATATCAGCGACCCGTGGAGTGTAGTACTCCAAGGTGGGACTCGGCGGCAGTGGTTGATGATGAACCCCATCTGCCTGGGGTATTGGGTTGTTCCCCAAGATCTGATTCACTGGGGGAACCTGTAGAGGTATCCCCTGGGGCGGGTTATGTTTACCATCCATCTCATACTCTTCCTCTGAATCGATACTCAAGTGGCCGTCTATGCGCTCCTCCGTAGCCAGTCTAGCTCGTTGTTGTCTCCTAAGTTGATGACAGGTGCGTTCAAGCTCCTGGTCCAACAACAGTAAACCTCCTGACTGGCTACGGGTCATGCACTACCTGCACACAATCAAGCAACAAACCCGTGAAGGCACAAGTGTGACAAAGCAAACAAACAATGCTAAAAAGAAAAGCTAAATTAACAGAAACCATGTTTCTTCAACAGCCTAGCCATCCCAGGTAACAGCGCCAAAAACTTGACTCGCTCCTACCGTCACTCTAGAAAATGGCCAAGTGTAACCACCTCCTAAAGCGTAGTATAGCGGGTTTGGGGTTTAATGTCAACCCGGGTCCTAAGTGTGATGACTACTCCGTGAGTTCTTATTATTTAGCGATGACAGTGTAGTGAAGGTCCAAAACAAGCAAACAAGCAAAGCAGTTAAAGGTTGTTTTCAAGTTGAGAGAGGTCGCCCGGATATGGTTCCCCCTAGACTGCAGTTAAGCCGGATTGTAATTTAGCAAGTTCAATTTCAATGATAGTTATACCGCGGGAGGTTCTTACACAGTCTGCAGTCTCGACTAAAGGTCTCCAGACCCTCTCAATCTAAGTCCCCAGCGGGCGACTAACCTCCACCGGAGTAAACAGATTGAGGCCCCAACGAACCAAACCTCCACTACCGAAGTAAATCCGGTACAAGATAGTGAATCGGCTCCTTGACTAAAGTCGTCAATTCACTACCTTCAATCAAGGGTGCTCTATCAACCTAGGCAGATATTCTCTTTCTAGGTTAAAGCAGAAACAACACGAATTTGATGAGGATTCATGCCATTCAACAAATCAAACCTCAATTGAATATAATCATATCACTGAATTCGTACTTGGGTTCATACAATCAAACCTAACATACAAATCTAAGGTTCTTCATACCCAGGTGAATAAGAAAGTTACTCCATAGAGAGAGATGGGAAATCTAGCTCAGATGCTGAAACCATACTGTGAAGGATGAGATTCTGCTTCTGCAATCAATTAGCAGTTCTCCAAGCTCAAGCCGGGCCCCAATGGTGATGGAGATCGATCTAGGCACTTGAAGAATCAGGTTCGTCACTTTCTCTCTCTAGGTATACGCTTTGCCTCTCTAAAACTCGGCACCCTTCAACTTTGCCCTTCTTTTCCCTTAAGAAGCTGTAAATCGTGATCCCCGGTCGGATATTTTAGGCTGAGACCGGGGATTCTTGAAACGCACCATCGCGGACAGTGGATTAATCCCCGGTCAAGGTCAAGAATACCCGACCGGGGATTTTTCCTTAATGCCGGGGACCCCCTCTGCTTCTCAAACGACCAAAAGAGGTTTTGCCCGGTCATCCCAGATTAATACCCAGCCGGGTATTTTTGCTCATGGCCGAGTATTTTCCTCCTCCAGCACACTTCACCTCAAACGTGCTCCTTTCGACCCGAAACTCATTTATTCGCCTCGATGCCAACGCCAAGCCCTAAAATATGACATAAACACACAACCTAGCGTGAAATTGGCTTAAAACACGAACATCAACATCTCAAACGACTCAAGAATAAGGGTAAAAACATGTGAAATTAACGGTCTATCAATGTTACAATTTGATGTAGGGGAGTTTAACTCCTCGTGAACTTAATTGTCGTTCCTCAAGGTCATTCTTCATAGGGAAATGCCTCAAGGTCATTCTTCCAATAGTGGTAGCCCTATAAACCCGTGGAGTTAATTGCCTCAATCCATGCCTCGTGTCCTGACAACATCAAGAGAGCATTGAACACTTATTCTTCAAATGCCCCCTAGCCACCAAGTTGTGGACCTTAGTGGGATTGAGCAACTTATTTGATTCCGCCCCAACTATCAATTTTAGTCTATGGTGACGACATGCCATGATCTCTAAGATCTCCCCATTTCACATTCTCCAATGCACTTGGTTACTTTAGAGAATCTGGAAGTCTAGAAATAAAGTGATTTTTGAATTCTACCAACCTCATGTCCGCTCTCTCCAGAAAATTCCACAGCCAGGTCTGTCAAGTCTCCAATGATTGTAGTACCATATTCAGGAACAGATGGAACGCTTTTTGCTTCAAGAACAAGCATAAAAACTCGATTATTATTTAATTATTTAAATAATAATAATTAAATATACAAAATTTATTCGAATTTATTGGAATAAATAATTAGATAAATAATAATACTCATTATTAGAATAGTTAAATAATCATATAAAAAAAAGTATTTAAATTAAATAAAATTTTAATAATTTAATAATTATAAATAGAAATAGTCACCCCCTCCTCCACCCCCTCCCCCAGATCGCTCCTTCCAATTCCTCCTCCAGCCACTTGGGAGCCGTCACCGGACAACTATTTGAAGATCAACTTCGATGCAGTTGTTCGTGACTCAGGGTGCTCGTTTAGTCTTGCTATTCGTGGGTCAGACGAGCATGTGGTGCTGGCAGCGACTATGCGTCACCAGGGAGTAGTGTATCCCTTCATGGCAGAGCTCCTGGCTGTAAGAGTTGTTATCTCCATCGTTGCCTGGAGACCACTTGTCTCTCGTGATAGTGGAAGGTGATTCCGAGAGGAGTTCGTTACCAGATCCGTCATGATCTCCTAGAAGATTCCTTTGGAGGTCCAGTGCTCGGGGAGTGTCGTCAGATCGTAGACGCTTTGTCAGTTTGTATATAGTTTAGGTCGGTTCCTAGAGCCGCCAACAGTGCTGCCCATAGAGTGGCGCGTAAAGCACTGCTTTTGTCTCTAGTAGAGTTAGAGTCTTTCGACTTTATTTGGGTGGCTTCACTAGAGTGTCGCTTGTAAGGAGTTTCTGGGTAGTTTGTTTGTATAACTCTTGTGCTCTTTTGATATCACTCGAAAATAAAAAAAAAATCATATAAAACGGTAACTAAATATATTATTATTTTCAAAATTCAGTTTAAGAATTCATCAATATTCTCATCTAAACAAAACGGTTTCGTTTTACTTTAATTTTTTGTTGTTGTGGTCTAGTAGAAAACTGAATGACAAGTAAACTGGTTATGCTGTATCTCTAAAATCCTGTTACTTTCTCCTGTCTTCTTTGAACTTCGAATTCTAGGTCTAATTGTGGAGACTGGAGACAGGAAGTTTGGCAGGATATTGCAGGGACAGGTGAGAAGATAGAGGGACCTAACTAGCCGGACTTGATTTGGCAGAATCTCCAACGGAGAAGGAAGGAATCAAGAGGGACTTTGCCGATTTGGAGGTTGGAGCAGTTCTGTCTCGTAGAATCGTAGCATAGCAATAGCAGAAAGGCGCAAAATTTATCCCAATTGATAGCCGAATTTCATCATAATCATGGGAGAGAAATCGAGAAAGCCTCTCTTGGTACTCTATGCTAGTCAAACTGGGAATGCCCTCGACGCCGCAGAGCGTGTTGGCCGCGAGGCTGAACGTAGAGGCTGCCCCGTCACCCTGAGTTCCATGGACGAGTTTGACGCTGTAAGTTCTCCACCAAAGTCTCTTCCTTTTGCTTTGCTTTCTCTCTTTTCTTTGTATTTTTCTTATTTAGGAGGCAGGGTGAGTGAAAATTGTTCTGCGAATCCTCTCTTGTTTGAGGTTTGTATTGCTATGCCAGAAAGTGGGAGGAAGAGCCGCGCTGCTATCTAGAAAGTCGCTTAGGTTTGCTCTAGAAGGGTTTTGTGCCGGCTAGAATCTAGTTAGTCTTCTATTTGGTTGTGTTGGAGCTGTGGTGAAGCAAAGGAGTCTACCTGTCTATGCATCATGGATGCGCTCTACTTTGTTACTACGCATGGCAGTTTGCTTTGCGTTTTGTGAAATGCAAAGAGAAGATTAGAAGAAGTAGGAAGTGATCCAATTGAAGGTTCAGGAATTTGCTTGAATGTACTAATTTCCTGTGATACATTCGTCCACCCTGGTTACCCTATCTATTTCCTGTTTCCAAGGAATTTCTTCCAGTGATAATATTGAGGATAGCATGTTTTTGCTTGTTAGCTGAAACCATAGAAAATCAATTAGGTATAATCCGTCATCTTCCGTCTTCTTTTCATTAATAATCTTTGTAAAACCAGTACTTTCAAGTGCCTCTATTTTCCTACGTTGCAGAATTCATTATCCTTGGAGAATACCGTAATCTTTGTTGTCCCTACAACAGGGCAGGGAGATGCACCAGATGCGATGAAGGTAACTCTGAACTGAATGAATCCTCTTGTTTGTTGTATTTATTGTGATCACCTAGGTCTGTAGTTCTTACTGATATCCTTCTATGTTCGATACATGTAGGTTTTTTGGAAGTATCTGCTGCAGAAAAATCTTTCTAAGTCTTGGCTGCAAGGAGTTCACTATGCTGTCTTTGGATTGGGAGATTCTGGTTACCAGAAGTTCAATGTAATCTTCTAAATATTTCAACAGTGTTGGATAATATCTCTCTTTATATAGTGTTGAAGAAATGCGCGGTAATCACATTGGTTACTCAAGTTCAGGTGAATCTATGTTGGGGTGAGTTTATTTCCCAAATGATACAAATCATCTGGGGTGGAATGCACTGTGAATTGATAGATAAATAATTGTGGTGAGGTTTGTTTAACTTGCAATCGGTAACTAATATAAACAATATCGGTAAAAGCAAAGAACTTTGTACAAGGTTTGAGGATTGAGTTTTAAATCCTCATGAGGACCGAACTTTGTACTTCACTGAAATCTAGATACTGTATAGTAGTTAACTGAAAACTGTTTTGGTGCTATTGCTGCAGTATGTTGCAAAGAAGCTGGACAGGAGGCTTCATGATCTTGGGGCAAGTGCTATTGTTGAGAGAGGTCTCGGAGATGACCAACATCCTTCAGGGTATACTAATGTACAGTGCAAACCTTTTTCTTCAAAAGTGAACTGTTGGGACTTTTGTATTTCAGATGTTGATTGACATCCTAATCCATCATTTCGTCCATAGAACATTGAAGATGTTAGGACTTTAACTTGAACAGAAGCAGTTTTCTCGTTTAGTACCTCTATGAGCAGTCATTTTTCTACCGAATAGGTTCGCATGGATTATATAATAAGCTTTGATTCCGGTTTTTGTCTCCACTATTTTCCAACGTATTCTGAATAGTGAATGCTGACTTATTTCCAGGTATGAAGGTGCTTTGGACCCATGGATGACATCCTTGTGGCGTGTCCTGTATCAAATTAATCCAACATTCTTTCCGCATGGCCCTGATTATATCCCTCCGACATCACAATTGCTTGATCAACCCAAATACCAAATTGTCTACCATGAACTAGGCCTGCTGCAGGCTGGGCTGTCAGTAACAGGTGATTGAATCAATTAGAATTTCTCTTTTTTTCTTTCGCTGGGATGAAAATTATCCTTCCTTTATTTGGCAGACTGTTAGCATCAAGCTAGGGTGCCAATGTTATTTTAATTAAGCTTAACTAAGCTGCTAGTTCCTTGTGTTTATAGATTTGCCCTGTTCACCTGGCGATACAGCCTGCGTCCTATTATTGTTGCTTTTACTGACGTGATTTATGGTGCTATAGATGTCAACTTTAAAATATATTTGCTGTTGTAGTTTCTTCATTGCCAGAATACTTGAGTGCTTGAAGCTGTAACTGCTTACACAAGTTGATTTTGTGGAGGAATTAATCAGCGATTACTGTTTCTTGTTTATTCAAAAAGACTCAATTTTCTGAGACTTTCCTCACTGCTCTGTACCTGGTGGTTGTTTCAGATTCAAAAAGTCCTGCAATGGAGATTGAGAGGGCTCGGTCGATGTCTCCTGCAAAACTTTCTTATGACAAGAGTACTCCTGATGCTTTTCTTAAAATGGTAGGGGTTAGTAATAGGGTATGCTTCAATATTGTTAAAATGTTAGATGCTGCATTATGCACTTCCACATCATTGCTTAATAGTACTATTCTGGGAGTAATTCACTATATTCTCCTTTTGCAACTTGATAGATTTTGGTACACCTTTTTTATTTGCGGTATACACTTCCCTAATTTAAAGAGTGGATGTTATGTATAAAAAAATAGTGAAACCACTAACTTTTATATTTTTGGACCCTTGAAATTTAGTTACACTTGTATCCTGTGAAGAGGTTATGGTACTCTGAGACTGTTGTGGAAACTATGGGGAAAAGTATAATATATATTTCAATATGTTGAATGATGACAAAAAAGAGCATTGATGGTGTTTTTTAGTCATCAAAAGAATACGAAGGTGCACTCGTATAGAGTAGTAAGAAGGTAGCCTGGGTATTATGGTTAAATTAACTTTAGAGATATTCGGCTTGTGTTTGCAGACGATTTCTTGCAACAGAAAGTGGTGTCTTTGCTGTGGTCTCTCCTTTTTGTAGTTCCATTGCCACCTCTTCTATTGTGGTTCTTTATCTGAGTAACTGTGCGTACTCATGTAGGTCAGAAATGAGCCACTAACTAGGAAAGGATGTGGGAGAGATGTGCGGCATTTCGAGTTTGAATTTTTTCCATCTGTAAGTTTTCAGTTTGACTTCTCTTCCAGTTTATCTCTCAGGCCCTTGTCTAGCACTTCAGCTGAATCTGTCAAAATTTTTATATTTTGAACTTTGTAGACAATTAGCTATGACGTCGGTGATGTCCTTGAAGTTCTCCCCAGTCAAAACCCTGATTTAGTTGATGCGTTCATACAGCGCTGCAATTTGGACCCTGAAGCATTCATCACTGTGAGTAATAGTTATTATTCTTAGATTGGCACTGGTACTGGCACTGGCACTTCTATTATTCCAATGGGGAAGTTTCTGTGTCTATGGCATGGATTGTGCTGAAAGTACTTAGCACCCAAGCTGCTGGTCCATTTCATTAGTGTCGTTTCTCTCTCTTTTCCATGTTCCATTCTTTGGTCTATACATAATGTTTCACTGGTTTGTTTGTCTTTGCTTCTTTGAGTGTAGGATGCTTAAATAACTTGGCCGACATTATATTAAGTTATCGTTTCTTCTTTTCTCCATTATGCTTTAATAATTTGCAATTTCTCTTCCCTGTAGGTGTGCCCCAAGCAGCGGGGAAGCCACCTTCTAGATGGCTCCAAAAGTGGTCAAGCATTGCCCATAAATTTAAAAAAATATGTTGAACTTGCTATGGATGTCACCTCAGCTTCACCTAGGCGCTATTTCTTTGAGGCGAGGACCTTAACTATTCTTTTTCTTTTGTGCATTTCTCATGCAGACTACTTATTTACCATTGTCGTTTTCGTTCAGCCCCTTTGCGGAAAGCTAAATTTTATGAAAACGTGCTAGTACCTCTGGCTGTTGAATTCTTCTCTAACAGCCCCCCTGACTGCAAATTGTTGTAATAGTGTTGCTGTACAAGATGTTGATATGTTCCTTTAAGACTACATGAGGGCTTGACACAGAAGTTTGTTATGGAGTTAATGTGTTCTCATGTGTCTTTCTAACAGTTAGCAAACACATGATGAATTACTTTTTACTATCCTTTGTAGGTTATGAGCTACTTTGCAACTGCAGAACATGAAAAGGAGCGACTCGAGTATTTCGTATCACCTGAAGGTAGAGACGATTTGTACCAATACAACCAGAAGGAAAGGAGGACTGTTTTGGAGGTAAACTTTTTGAGTTGATGTAATTCTATATTATGGTTGTGTTCTGGTTTCACCCTCAATTCTTAGCCTTACTGATTCATTTGCATTGATAATCTTGTCAATTAGAGGGAAAATATACTGCATCTTGGCATGTTCCATGTGACAAAAATGACGTTTCCATGTTTTAGAATACACTAAAGTTGAATTGAATATAATTTTGGTTGACTGCAGTTGTTGCAATCATATGATTATAAGTCTGTTATACCAGTTCTGCACTTCAAGTTTAAAAAATTGAAGCATGATAATCCCAACAAATACTTTATAAGATGCTTGGATCTGACACCCCAAACGGGCAGTAACTTACTGGGAGTAAAATGCAATACACAACAGCTAGTTAAACAGGACACTTTTAGCTATCTATCATTGCTTCATCCTTCTATTACAGCTACTTGTTTTCCTGTTTGTGAAGCATATATCCAAAGTCTGGCTTCTGAAATCTAGAGTTGTAAGGCGTTGAAACTTTCTATCTTCTTACGTGCAGGTTCTAGAGGATTTCCCTTCTGTGCAAATGCCATTTGAATGGCTGGTAGAGTTGGTTCCACCATTGAGAAAACGGGCTTTCTCCATTGCTTCTTCTCCTTCAGCCCATCCCAAGCAAGTCCACTTGACAGTGAGTGTAGTCTCATGGACGACACCTTTTAAAAGGAAAAGGATGGGTCTTTGTTCATCATGGTTAGCTAGTCTTGATCCCCTACAAGGTAAGACTGCCAGAACCATATATGACTGAACAGGTTTACACCTGTTGGTGTCTTGCTTCAACTTCTAAACTTATATCTTTAAAATACAGTTTGTAACAATTCCAGCATGTTTTACAACGGATGAATGCACTAATAGCATTAATCAACAGGTGTAACAATTCCATCATGGTTTCACAAGGGTTCTCTCCCTGCACCACCACCATCAATTCCACTTATTCTCATTGGCCCTGGGACAGGCTGTGCGCCTTTCCGTGGCTTTCTCGAAGAAAGAGTCGTACAAGATACAACCAGCTCAGCTGCTCCCATCATGTTCTTCTTCGGCTGCAGAAATGAAGGCAATGACTTCTTATACAGGGACTTGTGGCTATCTCACTCGCATGACGGTGGATTGCTCTCTGAAGCAAGAGGTGGAGGTTTCTACGTTGCATTCTCGAGAGACCAGCCTCAGAAAGTTTACGTGCAGCACAAGATGCGGGAACAGAGCCAGAAAATATGGGCAGCGTTGTCAGAAGGCGGCGCTGCCATCTACGTTGCAGGCTCTTCCACGAACATGCCTTCTGATGTGATGCTGGCTGTGGAAGAAATCATATCGAAAGAGGGTGGAGTGGCGAGAGAAGCAGCTGCAGTGCTGATAAGGAGGCTGGAGAGGGATGGTAAATACCATGTGGAAGCATGGTCTTAAGCCTGGTGGTTTATTGTATGGCACTGAAGTTCATTCGTTCAACCAACCGTTAGTGGAAGAACTGAGTCAAGCTGCTCACAATCAGTTTGGCATTCGGCTCAGGATAAACTCGTCTAATATTCAGCTCATTTATTAATGAGTCGAGTTTGAGCTAAGCATTGTTTGGCTTGCAAGGCTTGTGAACCAGCTCAATTTGATGATTGTTTGGACTCAATTCGTGAGCTAACTCGTTTCGAGTTAATGGAGCTAGCTCGATAGTATGGCTAGCTCAACTAGCAACTTATGAGCGAAATTGGCTTCTAGCTTATTTTTGGCTTATTGATAATTGATAGGCCTATTAGATTACATATTTCACCTCATGTTTAAGGCTTATTGATAGTCCTTTTTCTTTGTCACACCACCGGTATGATCGGCAATGGTTGAATTTGGTTCAACTGGTATCGTCATGAAACCTACATGGACACCACCGGTATGACCAATATGATCGATTTAACACTTTTAAGTAAAGTGGTGTCGTTTTAATGAATTTAAGTAATTAAAAAATAATTTATAATTTATTTTATGAATTTAAAAGTTAAATGTTGATGTTATTTGTCAGATTCAAGTATAAACACTTAATTCATGTTAAATGTCGTATTTAAATGTTGATGTTAATGGTTTTTCACATTTTTACATATTTTGTTAAACCGATCTGAACCGGCACAAACCGATTGTGCCACCGGTAAAACCATTGCACGGTATAAACCGGTTGACAACCTTGAGTGTGGACGTGTCTCAAACCGTGATAATTGCAAATGTACCAATTTGGTCCTATATCCATGGTGTCTGAACTCTGAAGTGGTGTAATCCTGTTCCCAGTAGAGAATACGAAATCAAATCACAAACCCACCCGACCAGATTATCATTATAGCATCCATCCATGGCCATGGAGCTGAATTCCAGAGACATTTCTGTCAAACCCTTATCCCAATTCCCTTCTTCTTCTTCTTCGCAACACCAAAACAGAGAAACCCTCTTTCTTAAACCCTCCATCTTTTCTTCCGTCTCAGCAAAACTGAGGCTTTCAGCGTCGGCAGCTGAACCGGTTCTTTCTCAACAAGACGTCCCGTTGCTTAAAGAGGTAAATAAATTGACCACAATGGTTTCCATGAAATGCAACTGGGGACACTTCTTCTCCTTTGTTAACTGCTTTTGTGCCAATCTTCTGCTGCAATTTGACAGAAGCTGAGAGTGGTGGTGAAGCCAATGGAGAAACCAAGAATAGTATTGAAGTTTTTGTGGATGGAGGATGTGATTGGTGTGGCGTTGGACCAAGTGATACCAAGGCATGGCACCATTCCTCTAACGCCTTACCATTTTTGGCCGCATCAAGATGCCTTGGTGGAGCTTCAGAAGTTGCTGGAGAGCAAGCCGTGGATTTCACATAAGCAGATGGCCATCCTTCTAAACCAGCTTGCTGATTTAATCAGCAAGGGGAAAGCCACCACCAACAAAAGCTCATAGTGAGTTCTAATTCGGGTTACATGTAACGCCAGATGGATATTGCTCTCAGCCAGCCACACATCCATACATCAATACTGAGGTTGACACAGAGGAAAAGGCTGGAACTTGGCAAAGGAACCTTTTGTTAGGAGAAAAGGTTTGGTCTAACAACACGTCGAAGTTACCAGGTTTTCACATTGACGTTGTAAGCAGTTTTCTATTCATTCCTTTGTCATCCTATGTTCATTTTGAAATTTCAACAGTATATGGTCTGCTCTTGAATGGTTTATATTGATGCTGAAGAGCAACTGAACTATAATCATGAAATGAAAAAAAGGTTAAGGTTCGTCTGAGAGATAGTGCTGGCATACTCTTCGCACTTTATATTCTGGTTACTGCTTATACTAGTAGCTTCTGTACTTTAAACCTGGAGCATCTGATAAGGGTGAACGTAGAATCCTGTTCTTTTGTCATTCGGATGTAAAAGTTGAATGCTTGCCAAATCGAGTACAAGGCGGGCTTCCCTTTTCGTGTATGTTAGAATGACTCTAATGAGAGACTCTGGAGTCCACTCATGTATCAGCTGCACTTTTTAGTTTCTCTTTGAAGCAGAATAGTGTGTGTCCAATGAAAAAAATAACTACCTGGCCAAAGGGCAGGGTCCAAGCTAGTATGGTATTGATTTGAAAAGAAAGTAATCCATGTAACGTAGAATTGGTCAAGTTGTCATCTTAGCTGATAATGTTTATTTGTCCTCTTTCTAGACAGCTGCTGGATCTTTAGACAATAGAAGCTAGAAAAAGAAAACAGAAATAAGGAAAAGAGAAGAATCCCACTCCCTCAAGGATTATGTTTTATTAGTGTGTGTTCTTCCTCACTCTCCTAGATTGGGGAACATGTAACTGCTGTACCAAATTGTTTGAGGGTCTATCTGATGAAACTTTCAGCCCATCCCAGTTTACGGTTTCCCCACTTTCTTGGTCCAAGTTATGGTACTCTAGTAGAGCTGGAATGTTACCAGGTAGCTGCTGATCATTTTCACCCTCTTCTTCTTCATAGGCCTCGTATAAAATAATTTGTTTATCCATGGTTGTGGGTGACTCTGCAACTGTTCCATTGTCAGCAGAATCAAGCTTGGTGCTTTTTTCATCACTTTCCGATTCCGAGCAGCTAGTGTCGTGATCATCTTGGTGGTAGTGGTGAGATCTGGATCTCGAGAGCTCGATTGCAGCTCTAGCAGCTGTGACTGCATAAGCTGCTGATTCAAAAGCTTCCTGTGCAGCAGCTGCTACATCTGTGTACCTATTTCTTGCTCTTAACGGCTCATAAGAAATTAGCTCTTCATCTGGGATTGAATTTTCTTGCTTCATGTGATGATCATCAACGACGTCCTCTCTCACGAGCTCAGCTGCAGGTGGTGGATGACCATGGAGTTTCAAATCGAGGGTGATATGGACCTCAGAAGCAATGTTTTTCAACAATTCAATCCTGCTTTCCAAGGTTGTCTGCATTGCTGAGAGCTTCTGGATGATCTTAGCCAATAAAGAGAAGAGTTGTTTCAGAATTGTTGTTTAACTAAATGCTTCGCAACCATCTTTCTGGTGCCTCTTTTACTACATACCTTTGGACTTACTCCACAGTTGTTGCGCAGCTTGATGGCTCGAGCAATGAATTCCTTCCCGAATCGCAGTTGGAAGATGCCACGAATCTCTTGCAGTTCAGGGAACTCTGCACACCTCGAAGATGCAAAGATCAAGCTTGAGATTGCCTCCTTCAGCTCATTTTCTTCACAAACAGAAACAAAGGAGATCATAAATTATGATCCAATTAGAACATGTTGTAAATCAGCAAAACGTGAATTAACTAAACAGAAACCGAAGTTTGAGACCCAACTTGTTCTTCTCAAGAAACATGACTCTCTCTATCAGGAACCTGCAGTAGTTCTCCATCATGTCAAGCGCATCGAGCATGTTTCGATCCTTCACCACAAACTCTACCTGCAAAGTGGGAAAGGGAAAATGGTGAAACTAAGATCCTGATGTGGAGGCAATTTCCAATAAGGGAATGAAGGTTACGCGAATGAGTGCTCTTTCGTGTTGTTGAAGTTTCAGGATGTCGACCACATCAGACTTGGCCTGTGAATACCGAGCTTGCCTCTGCTTTCTGAGGATGGTGATCCTTGAGACAGCAAGGTTTGTTACAACCTTCAATTTGCTGGCTCTGAAGTTTCTCCCCAAAAGAGCATCCAGTTTCCTACCCCTGTCTCCTTCTCTTTCTTTTTTTTGCTTTTGGAATTTGGTCTAGGCTACAAATAGTAATCAAGGAACTTGGTCTATGACCAGTATCTTTCATCACAGTCGTTTGCCTGAGTATGCTTATTTGTGACAGCAATTTCAATGACCAATTGGCTGGATTCTGGTGCCTTCTGTGGAAGGTCTTTTTATCTCCATACCATCCAGCTTTGAATTTTGATAAAATAGTATCTGTAGACTGTAAAAATGATAAACTAATGTAAAACTGCGACGGTTGTTTAACCTGTTGATGTTAATGTTGTTATATCATCGGATGTGCCAAATGAATTGGCCAAAAGACAAAGGAGAAGGGTTAGGGTCTTGTCTTTGAGGGTGCTATTATGTGAAATCCGATGCCATGCAAGTGGAAGGATAGATGGCAGGCTTCGGTTTTGGCTCTCCCTTTGACACCTACTTAGTGTGTACACGTCAAAGAAGATTTCTTCAACAAGTAGAGATTAGTGAGAAAGGGACAAAGGGTAGGAGGAGCATCAACTATATTGTTGATATTTGGCCACATTGACTAGAATATGGAAACCCCTCCGCTTACGTACTTGCTATATTTAGTGCGGCAAATGAGCCAAGGGACTTTGGAAAATCTCGTTCGCATGTCTCGTTTATTAACTATTTAAGATTGAGTTAATGTTTGTTCTATTTGTAAAGTTCGTGAGCCAGTTCGACTTGATGACTCATTGATCTCAACTCGCAAACTAGCTCGTCCTGAGTTCATGAACTGGCTCGATGGTGTGCCTACCGAGCTAGCTCGACTAGCTACTTATTAACATACCAATCTTGAATTTATGGGTTGAGTTGTTGACGTTTCACAGGTTTGTTAGATTATATATTTCTCAACATATATAGCATTGTTTAAACTTTTCTTTTTGGTAAGAAGTATTGTTTAAACTTTAGGGGTCGTTTGGATGTGGAAATTTAATGCAGTAATTGGACCCAATTATCACATAATGCAGGAATTGGGTTAAAAACCCACTTGGCAGCGCAAAAAGGGTATGGGAATTGGACCGTGGAAATTTGCTTCAATTACCACATCATCATAATTGAGAATACTACATCTCCCCCTAGTAATTTGACATCACCACGTTTTCTGCCTTCTATTTCCAAATGTGTCCCTATGTCCTTCCTCTTTTTATTTTATTATAAGGGTGATATAGGTTTCATTTTGTAATTAAGGTACTACTTAAGTGATTCGAACCTGTGACCTCCTTTCTTTCTTACTCCTTCTCCGTTTTCGCCTAACTATTTCTTAAAAGAGTAGCCCCTTCTTTTTCATTCATCAATGGTACCTCTTCTTCTTCATCTCCCCTCACCTTCGTATATCTCCTACAATTCGTCGTCAATTTCTTAATTTTGGATTCCCTTAATTATCTCATTCACCGTCGATTTTGCTACTCCTTATCGAATTCGCCTAAACACTTTTAATATCCGTATTTAATGAATTAAATTGTTAACTTTATTGTAATTTATATATGTACTTATTATTAAAATAATTAAGTTTATATAATTATGGCTTTTAATGTACTATTAAATGTAATATTAGTTTAGAGATGAAGTAAAATAATCGTACGTATTTTATAAGTAACTTTTATGAGTATTTCTAAAATGGCAAAGGAAAGGTTGTACCAGAAAAAGTGAAAACATGTATAATTTATGAGTTATCAAAGCCGCACTAATTTATCCCTACACTCTAATGGCATCCTTCGCAAAAGAACACACTTGTATCAATCTTCTAGCTTCGCCTCTAGATGGATCCGCTATAATGAATAATAAATTGTAAAAACAAAATTTATAAGAAAGCTATTATGAGTCAAGAAGTTAATGGGTTGTTTGTTTGGGTCATTTCTTTCATATGAAAGTCTCATAGGACTCTATCGAGTCATTTTCAAATTTCTTTCTCTCCGCGAGTCATTTCCAAATGACTCATTATTTGTCTAAGATTTTTCAATTTTGTCTTTGCCTCTTTTCATAAACCCACTTTTATCCTTCTCTTTCTATAATGTGTTTACCTTATCATTGCTTTGTCTCCACACAATTTTTTATTTTTATTTTTTCTTGCAAACAAGGGTTTAGTTTAGTGGTACTACCACTAATCTTCAATTTGAAGATCACAGGTTCATATCTTTCAAGTATCACCTAATGATATAAAAAAACCTCTCTCACCCTTATATAAAAATTCTTTCCCCAAAATTTCACACACGACGAAGAGGGTGACCATCTCATTGTCTCCATCAATCTCTCGTCCGAGCTCTCTTCTCCGTCTTTTAACAATTGACGCACACCAAACCAGATAGATGCATCCATCTCGTCGGTCATCTACCCAACAACAATGCATCTTTTCCATTCACAAACACCATAATTTTGCAGGGCATTCGCCATGATTTTTTGTAATTAGTCTAAATTTGACACTCATGGAGCCGTTAAAAGTAAGGTAACATGAACTTATTATATAAATTTAGTTTATACATTACCCCTTACCCGAAATAATATGTTTTATTGGTTGCAAAATAATTATGCGTACGCGGTTGATTTTTATTAGAATAGAAAAAAAAAACGAAATATTACATGTAAGTGTGAATTAATAACAATATACAATGACTCATTTAAAGAATGATTCATCTAACAACTTTTAAACAAACAATACAATTTGTTTGCACGCTATGCAATGAAATAGAGAGATAAGAATCAAACTCTTCAATATATATAGTCATCCGTACATACAGTAACAGGCAAACAAACAAACTCTTCTCTTACTATACACCAAATCTCGAGCTAGAGCGCAATGACACCACCTTCGAAGGTGGAATGGGGGATATTGAGGTTTCCGAGTATTAGAGATTAGGGCCATAACTCACCTTATTGTAGCAAAAATACAGGCGAAACATATGTTGGATCAAGAAACAAATTAAGTTAAGGGTTTTGGGCTGGCCTTGTGTCTTACGGAGTTGGTCAATAACGAGTCCAGTTAGTGGTTAGTAGTGTTAAGCTGTTGCTTGTTTTAAGGACTGTTAGATAGTGTTAACAGCTCCTGATTTCATGTTAGATAGGCCGAGAAATAGGGGTTGTGGTAGTTGGTTTATAGTTTCCATTAGTTATACTTGATGTATTTAAACTCTAGCGTTGATCACTGAATAAATCAATCAAGTTTTCCCTTCTATTCTGTTTAACAAAGTGGTATCAGAGCCTGCGACGAAAAAGTGGTATCAGAGCCTTATAGGTTAAAACCCAAGTGATCCAAGTTTCGACGGTGGTAGCCACCACGGCCACCGCCCGCCTATTGTTACTAGTAAATACAGGCCCGGCCCAGACCCTGTGCTGGTCTGACCCACAGCACAGGGCCTCAATATCTTGGGGCCTCAGTCTGGAGAAGGAGCTAGAGTCAACCTGGGCCTTATAGGCGGGGCGGAGTTGCGAGCCCAACATAAGCCCTCCCAGAGGAGAGGCCCGGAGGCGGATCCAGAGCCAACTCATCAGGCCCATCACGAAAACCATATTCACAAGACCAGGGAGAAGGAATCGAACCTTGAACCTCCTTTTTATTAAAAAGGTGTTCGAACCACTGAGCTGGAACTTGCTTTATGAATTTATACTAACAACTAAAGTATTTAACAGCTCTCTTATCCTCTTCCCCAAAATTTCTCAATTTCCTAATACCATCCAACGCCTAAATATTATTTATTCACACCAAATTCTAATTAACTCCTAATTAATGTCCATCCCTACTATCCAGACTCCTAATCAACTTGTTTTAAGTTATAATAATTTTTTTTTCTTTTGCAGGGAACTTAATCTTGATTGAAAATTTGGAATCATTAATCTTTGGTTATAATTTTCAATTATGTGAATCCAAAAATTTGAAAAAGGTAGTTCTAAGCGTAAAAGAAAACAAAAAAATTGAGGAGCCTGAATACTACTAGCCGATCTTGATGGTGATTCAAAAATTGAAAGTGAAGCTCAATCTTTGACACAAAATGAACTTTCGATGGTGTTGAGTTTATTGTTTCATTAGTTATTTGGTATGAAATGTTGCACTCAACAAATTCGGTTAGTAAATATTTACAATCCAAAGATATGCTTATTTATAATGCTATTTTAGAAATAGATAGACTGATTTCATTTTTCAAAAGATATAGAGAAGATGGACGGGCTAGATTACATTTAAAAAAAAATACTATATGATTGTTACTTTTGAACAATGATAGATAATACTCTTATTTTTGTGTATCATTTTCTGAATTTATGTAATTTGATTATTAGTATATAATAATTATAATTTTTAATAAATTTAGAGAACAAATTTTGGGCCACATTTAAATTGTCGAACAGGGCCTCCGAATATCTTGGGACGGCCCTGAGTAAATAGCCAGAGAGATAATGGAATCAAGGCTCCATCCAACTTTAAAAATCGAGAGGTGGAGATCTTCTCAAGCGGTCTGTGAAACCGACGATAACATAAGGGAGGAGAAGATTGTCTGAGTCACCAGAGGCGTTCAGTATGGATGGCGATTGGAAAGCAACAACGGCGTGGTGGAAGCAATGGTGGCGAGATTGTTCAACGGCTACCGCCCGCCTTATGTGTAAGGAGAACAAGGAGCATGAAGATATAGATGTTGAAAGTGAATGTCAATGTGATTAGAACCTTAGCAAGGGAGGTGGTAAAATTGGGATAAACTGGAGCAAGAAATTGAAAAGGGGGAAGTCGATGTAGCTGGCGAAGATGGATCTTTTCAAGGTGAAGGAGGATATGGAAACCGGACTGAGATTCAGCAGCGGCGTAAGCAGAGGGAAACCAAAGATCGTGAAGGAGGTAAAGCTCCACCGTCGACAACATCGTCCACCATCTCCAGCAGCAGGTTCCTAACTACCGCCGAATGTAACAGCAAGAGGGCGATGTTGACGAAGGGAGTGCTTCCTCTAGTGGCAAGAAAAAGAAGAAGAGGATTGACGCGAGCGATCAAGAACGACAGACGCAGTAAGAGTACCCAATCGATGGCATCGTCTATGTCAGTGAGAAGCAAGTGGATCCTGCGTTCGATGAATGCTGCGAAACAGTTACGCTACAATGAAGAACATTGAGGTTGAGACAGCTAGTAGTTCTTGTGGGAAAGGACCAAGTGGGGGAATTGTTTGCTTGGAGGGTTTCTGCACAAATTAAGAACTTGGAGCTAAGGATTAAACAGTATCAGCAGTTCAGCAGTGAACAGAAGAGTATAATGCAGCCTTTGCTTAATCTCATGGGTGGTCGATGATAATTGTTCACTACTGGATTTCTGCTTTGTTCAGTTGATTTCAGAGGATCGAAGCCTAATTTGCATGGAGAGGGAGTTGGGAGAAGATGAGTTCAAGCATCATAGAAGCTTTGGTCCAACAAGGGAAGTTGCTTGTCCACATAGCAGAGAACGGTCATTCATTGAGCTCGCTTGCAGTGAAAGCAATTATGTGGTATGTTGAATCTTATTCTAGGATCAACTTGAATGATCAGTTTGTTATGTGTTTGCATATGAAATTAGAACCTCAACTGCTGCTCTCTGGTTACAAGCTTCCAACTGTAGATCAAGAAGTGTTTTTATTTAACAAAGCTAGGCTCTCTGGTTACAAGCTTCCAACTGTAGATCAAGAAGTGTTTTTATTTAACAAAGCTAGGCTTCAGAACAATTCCACATCACCATCTCGAGGAAGTGAATGTAGTCGAAGTAGCTTTAGTACTATAAGCTTTGTAGGGGCTGTTGGGAAGTGCTTGTTGGATTTGGCTGTGGAGAATTGCAGCAACTCTCATAAAGTAGTTTGAGAAGAAGGGTTTTAGAATTTCAGGTAGTGCAGAATGCAGATTGTGTGGAAACAGAATGTGGATTTTTCAGCAGGACTTGTGCAAGATATGGGGATCGAGAGTCTCCTAAAGCATACGAGCTTCGAGATGGATCTCCAGTTTCAGACGCAGTGATGAATAACAGAAGATGGTGCTCATGCAGTGAACTGAAGCATGGTTCAATGGGCTTCAGTTCAGGGGAGGAAATACATATTTTGGTCTTACTTCTTGCTGCAGCACTTGCCAATGCTACTCCATATCAGCAGCGAGCAATGCTGGGTGAGAATCTGTATTCCCTGGTAGAACAACTGGAGCAAGATGTTGATGCTAAGGTGACAGGAATGATTTTGTAAAAGGACCTGATCGAGGTTCTACAATTGTGGAGTCACCGGACGGACTGCAGGCAAAGGTTGCTGAACCTATGGCCATGCTGGGGAGCGCTCAGCTACATCAGGCAGCGGGCGGTACAGCTGATCAGCTGTTCTTGTTGTCTTTTAATGATCAACTGTCCTTGCTGTCTTTGAACGACAACCTTGTCTCTTGAAGTTACTATGAAGGTTATAAGTAGTTGGCAGAGAAAGGGTATTATAAATAAGGAGTTGTGAGGAAGGTAATTGATAAGTATGTTGGAGAAGTGAAGTTGCTTGAGAGCATGCATCGGCTAAGATTGATAAAGTTAAATTGAAACTGTAATTCCACAGGTTGGAGGTTTGGTGACGATAGTGAATGGAGTGAATCAAGGGTCCAATGCGAGGCTTTTGGGAGTGGATAGAAACAACTTTTGGATTTTGTCAAGGTATACTAGGAAGGTTATGTGTGAGATTGTAGCTTTAGTTCAATTGGAGGTTGCGAGTGAAGTAGTGGAGTGATGATTGGATTAAGTGAATCCATGGCTGTGCAAGGATGTTTGGGGAACTGTTTATGTCGGCTAGACTTAGCTATGAGTGAAGTAGATGGTGTAACCTGTGAGTGAAGCAGGTGTGGTTTCAATGTCATTCGACGAGTAGGCAGCAGAGTGGCTGGTCCTTACTCTGTGGGCGAATGGCTGGTTTAGAAGTACTCGGTTGCTATGTCATGCAACAAGTAACAATTTAAGAGCCTGTATATAACTCTTTGAGTTGTAGTTCTTGCTTGTTGGCAGATGGCATAGAAGGAGAGATCTGAGAGGAAAGGTCTAGAGAGTACAGGGAAGAAACCGGAAATGAAAACAGTTGAGCATGTCTTGCCGTGAAGAAGATAAAAGAAAGTGAAGTTGAACTAAAAGCCAATCTTATTGGAGGCTAGCATCAAATGTGAGTGAAACTTCTGACATACATGAAGAACTAGTTGCTGCTGCAGAATGATCATTTGTTGGTTTAAACCCAAACCTACCCGATTTGAGTTTTGGGGAGGATATGTTGGATCAAGAAGACAAATCAAGTTAAGGGTTTTGGGCTGGTCTTGTGTCTTATGGAGTTGGTCAATAACGAGTCCAGTTAGTGGTTAGTAGTATTAAGCTGTTGCTTGTTTTAAGGACTGTTGTTGTTAACAGCTCCTGATTTCATGTTAGATAGGCTGAGTAATAGGGGTTGTGGTAGCTGGTTTATAGCTTCCATTAGTTATACTTGATGTATTTAAACTCTAAGTTGATCACTGAACAAATCAATCAAGTTTCCCTTCTATTCTGTTTAACAACATAGTGAAAATTAAGAAGCGTCACCTCCCAATAATATTTGGAGGGAAACGATCGAGCATTGTGTTGTGACACTAGCGCGCACTCCTGTTGAATAGCTTGGGAACGTAGTCCTTAGATGCAGCAAACCTAGTCGACTTCTCAGTACTACTTCTCCCCAACATCACTAATGTTCCACTACCACCACCGGTATCAGAACTCTGAACCACCACTAGCAGGCGGACGATCGAGACAGCTCCATGGCAGCTCGAACGCTGCGTGGGCTGCTGTCTCGCTCGAAATCCTTGTACTTGTTGTTGGAGTAGCTCCTTTCATTTCTGGCTGCTCGACCAACATGGCGTTGTTGCGATGATGATCTGGACGAGGATCATTCACGGATTTAGGAGGCTCAAGTTGACGATGGTTGTTGGCTACAGCTGGCCGGTTTAGGGATTATTGTGGAGACCATGACTTCCTCCATATTTTGGGGGATGAGTTCACTCTTTGGAGATATTTCCTTGAGCGCTTTGATTTTGATCTCCAAACTCGATCGGCTGCCTCGTCGACAGCTTCTTTGCCATCTGTAGAGAAATCATGGTCCATAAAACCGTACCGGATATCGTATCGGAAAAGTCACCAACATGATATTTTATGATAAAACCGTAGTTTAATAGTAGTTCAACCATGAGACCACCGATAAATACCGCCTACCGATTTAGCCTCCAATACTAGTATGGTACGGTTTCATTGACTACATTTATGTGTAGGTGACAATAGATAGATTTGTGTGAATAATTTCAAGAATTGTGTGGCATGACATTGCTTATAAGGTATTTTTCTCCAAGGGTTACTATAAAAAATTCCCACTATATATATCATACTTTGGAAAATATTTTCCAAACCGCTACTAGACTCTTGGGTAGTTCGATCGTTCTAGTGTCAAGCGCGTATCAGGAAGGAGTTCGCTTGATATTAGAACGATTTATCCTTGAAGGCCGGTCCGGATTGCGACCGACCGACCCAAGCAAATCACCCTAGAAACAACATGGGCCGCGTCACACACCAAACGCCTAATCTAGGTCGAAACTTAAAACGATCATAACTTTGCGTTCGGTTATCCGAACTCGAAAATTTATATGAACTAAAAGAAAAAATCACTAGCACAAAATTATCGCTCGTTGGAAATTTTGACTTAGGTAATTAAGTGTAGATCGCAAGGGTGTCCAACGATCCACCTAGGTTTAGTGCGCGCAGTTCTCTAAACTCTAGTATTTTCTATATATTTTTGTTGGTATGGTGAGAATTTTTTTATTAACCATTGTATTTTGAGACTTGTTTAATTGACAGATTCGAACTGGTTGATCATAAATAGTAAGGTACGTACCCCAGGATGGACAGTACAGTGGCACTAGGGATGGCAAATTACCCACCCATGGGTAATTATATCCAAATCCAAGTAGACCCATTGATAATGGGTTGGGTATGGGTGAAGTGCATATGGATTTGGGGGTTTATAGATGGGTTTGGGTAAGGTATGAATATTGCTTCCATAATCTAAATGGGTATGGGTTGGATATGGATATCCATTTACTTGAGGGTGTTTTAACTACACATGCAAAAATTGGATCTATTTGTAAAACTTGAAAAGTTTAGGTACCAAAATGTAAGACCAAAAAAATTAGGTACCAAAACGTAATTTTTCATCGATATTTTGAGGACTTATATGCAAAAAAAATTAAATTTAGGTACTAAATATGCATATCTATTAAGTTTGGGTACTAAACTGTAATTTGTATTTGAGCATGGGTACAAACCCAAATCCATTTGATATAAATCCAACTCAACCCAAAGTAAATGGGTATGGGTACAAACCCATCAAACTCTACCCATATCCATCTATTTGGATTTCATACCCAACCCAATTGGGTTCGATAGTAAGAAACCCATGGGTTGGACAGATTCGAACTGGTTGATCATAAATAGTAAGGTACGTACCCCAGGATGGACAGCACTGTGGCACGAGCTGTAAACTCCTTGCCATATCTGCCAGTGAAAAGCCGCTTCATCTCTGGCAGCTCGGGCAAGTCTCCACACCTGGCCGCTGCAAAGACCAAGCTCGATATTGCTTCTTTCAGCTCCTCGGGGCATTCCCTATATACATACATACATACATACATACATACATACATACATACATACATACATCACGCACGAGTACAGTGAAACTGATATCTCTGCTCGTGAATTTAGCTAACACATCATTCGTATTAGTGAACTGTAAGAAACCTGATGATCTAGGAGCCTTGCGTCTAGGGTTTGTGAATCAAGGGTTGAGCAAAGGGAAGGTTGCGAATGGATTGAGGTAGGGGAAGAGAGTGGGACGAGAATTTGGGGGAAAGAAGAAAGAGGGGTCGGCGGCCTAGGGTGGCCGACGAGGAGAAGGGAAGTTGGGGAAGAAGGGTTCTGTCGAGTGAGGGAGGAGAGGGAAGAAGATTAGGGTTTGAATAATTCTTATTATTATTTTCTTAATGAGCAATTACCCACTAATTACAAATATATAACCCGAATAATTCCCGTTAACTACCCCAACTACTTAACTTAACCCAATTAATCCGAATAATCCTCAAATGCACCCAAAACCCCCCAAATAATGTCCAATCGTCCCCAAACATAAATAAAATGACAAATAAGTCCAAATACCGAAATAACCCAATAATTGGGTTTCTAACAATCCACCCCGCTCGAGACCAACCTTGCCCTCAAGGTTGCTCCCTAGGACCCTGGTTCTCCTTAGCCTCCTCTGCGGCTAACTCCTCTGCCTCATCTTCCAAGTTACCCACCAGCAGCATCAAATGTCCCTTGGCGCACTGATGACCTACGGTATACCTCTCGTCGCAGTTGAAGCAACGACCATCCCGGCGCTTCTGCTCCATTTCTGCCGGCGTGAGCTTCACAAAACCCCGCGGCGGTAGCCTCGGCCCGGTCTGCCCCGCTGCTGGTGCCGCAGTTGTCGCAGTGGCTGCAGCTCCTGCGGGAGGCACGACGGCTCCTCCCTGCGTTCCGTTTGCCGCCGAGTAGCCCCCAGGGCCTTTCTGACTCCGAACGGCCTTCCAACTTGCCAGCTCCTCTTCCTTGCGCCCAGCTAATCGGAATGCCGCCCTCAATGACCCTGGCTCGAACACCTTCACTGCAGCAGCTAACTCCGGCTTCAGACCTGCAAGACATAAACCAACCAATGTTTCCTCCGGCATTCCCTTACACATGTTTCCCAACCGCAGGAACTCCGATCGGAATTCGGCTACTGTGCCTGCCTGGCGCAGCTTGGCCAGCTGTTCCGGCGCCCAGCCCTCTGACTTCCCGAACTGATACTGCAGCTCCTCCTTAAACCTCGGCCAGGTAATCAGCATCTCGGCCTCTCCATAAGACCGCTCCATCCACTCCCACCACTGAAGGGCATCGCCCTCCAAGTAGAACGACGCCAGCTGCGCCTTCCTCTCTTCCCGGGTGGGGTGATTCTTAAACCACCTGTCTGCAGCATAAATCCACAACCCTGCATCCTCTTGACCATTGAATTTTGGGAACTCAATGGTCGGAAGTTTAGCTCTAAACATCAACTCATCATCCCCTTCATACATAGAGTTGTAACCACCGTACCTGCCAAAGCCGTGACTGCCACGGTGTGGACCTCTGTAGCTACCCTGCTCTGGCCTTCGCCCGGTCTGGTTATCAAAGCCCCAATCTTCATCTTCCTCGCTCCAGTCCCCATCCTTGATGCCCGATCCTTGACCCACCTCTAACTGCCTGTCCGGTCGGCGCCTATCAGCTTTGGGTGTCACCAGGGGAGGGTACACCGCATCAGATCCTCCACCCATCCCCCTCTAGAGACCCGACCAGCCCATCTCACCTCCGTTGTCCGCTGTTGTCCGGGTCCGGTTCGACCGGTTGCCTCCCCGTCCAGACCGGTTCGGTTCCACTAATTCAACCAGGTTTGGTTCGGCCCGGTCCGAACCCCTCCGATTCATGCCGCCCCGGCCCAGCTCCCTCCGGTCGGCCCCGCCCGATTCAGGGTCGCCCCTCGTGGTTCAACCAACCATCACCCATTTTCGACCGATCCGGCGGCCGGTCGCCGCGTCTTGGGCCCCTCTGAGATTCCGGTTCGGCCCACTCTCGGGCTTGGTCAATCAGGCTCATCTCTTCAGCACTTCGGGCCCAGACGGCTCGCCTCTCATTCGGCCCACGATTACTCTGGGTCCGACCTCGCCCCGTTTCTTGATCCATGGGCTCGAATTCCATCTCCACCGAATCGTAGCCCGGCATCTTGGCCTTCCCGCGCCTTGCCGCCATCTCCTGAGCTGTCGGAGTTGGTAGCAGACCCGGCCCATGATTGCCCTGGCCCGACCCTGGGCCCGCACGCCTCGCAGCGCCTCCCTGAGGATCAGCGCCCTCGCCGCCACCGCCGTGCGTGCCTCCTCCCGCGAGCTGCCGCCCCGCCATCGCCCCTGGCGACCCCGCGGCCGCCATCATCGCCTCGGTTGGTACCGCCGGCGTATTCGCCGTGGCGGCGATCACCTTGGTCCCCGCTGCCGCTTCTCCCGCCTGCTGCGGTGGTGCGGGCAGCCCTTGAGGCGCTAGGGTTGCCTTCATCAGCTCCATTAGTGACCTCAGATCGTCACTGTTCCTTTTGGCCATCTCTTGGAGTGTTTCTTTCACCTCTCCCATGCGAACATAGAGGCTGATCTGATGATCCGCCATTGTCCTCAACAGCCGCTTGATGTCCTCTTCGTGCGTGATGTCCTCCACGATCACTGTGTCCTGCTGCCTTCTCTCTGGGGACTGATCTGATGAACTCATCTTTCTTCTGACCCAGGCGCCGATCAAGCTCTGATACCACTGTAAGAAACCTGATGATCTAGGCGCCTTGCGTCTAGGGTTTGTGAATCAAGGGTTGAGCAAAGGGAAGGTTGTGAATGATTGAGGTAGGGTAAGAGAGTGGGACGAGAATTTGGGGGAAAGAAGAAAGAGGGGTCGGCGGCCTAGGGTGGCCGACGAGGAGAAGGGAAGTTGGGGAAGAAGGGTTCTGTCGAGTGAGGGAGGAGAGGGAAGAAGATTAGGGTTTGGGGAATTCTTATTATTATTTGCTTAATGAGCAATTACCCACTAATTACAAATATATAACCCGAATAATTCCCGTTAACTACCCCAACTACTTAACTTAACCCAATTAATCGAATAATCCTCAAATGCACCCAAAACCCCCTAAATAATGTCCAATCGTCCCCAAACATAAATAAAACGACAAATAAGTCCAAATACCGAAATAACCCAATAATTGGGTTTCTAACATGAACCACGTACGTACTTGGAATGGGTTTCAATGACGATGAGCTCTCTCGGAGAGGAGATGGCAGTAGTTCTCAATCATGGCATATGAATCCAGCACGTTCTGCTCCCTAATCGCGTGTTCCACCTGGCCAAGATCATCAAGCAAGAGTACTCAACTTAGCTTCAAATCATTAATCCAGAAAAAAAAAATGAGAAAATTAATTAGTGAGACTAAGTAAGTAAGATTAGTAATTAAGTACACGTAGGAGAGCACGCTCGAGGTGAGGAGCTGAGCGACGTCGTCTCTGGCTTGGGAGCAGCGTGCTTTGTGTTGTCTCTCACGGTATGCGATCCTCGAGAATCGAGATCACCAGATCCGACAGCGTTTTGTACCTCGATGCCTTGAATGATTTCCCCAGCAGAGCCTTCAGCTTCTTGATCATCGTTTTCTTCTTCTTCTTCCTCTCCTTCTGTTTTGACTGCAAAAGTAAACTTATCTTCTTAGTGAATATCAATTATTATTATTATTATTGTTGATAGAGGGAGAGGTGTGGTTTATTATTGTAGTTTACGTCTGTTTTATCCTTTGAAAGAGAAAGGATATGATAACGAGGAGGTTGACGTTGATCATGGAGGTGATTTTGGATGAAAAACAATGCCTATGTTTGGCCCGGCTTTTGAAGTGCTTTTCGGCTTCAAAAGTTGAAGCAAAACTAAATACCTCTAAAAGCTCGGTTTTTGAAAAGTCGAAAAGCGCTTTTGTATAACATAAAAGCAGAAACTCTGATTTGGAGCTTCTGCGTAAAGCTGTTTTAAAAATACAAGATTATCCTTACTATATTTTTATTTTATTTTATAAAATATAATTTTCTTTCATTTATATCATTTTAAAAATAAAATAAATTATAAAATCATATTATATAATATAAAAGAAGGCTAACAAGATCCATTTTTACTACTTTTTATTATTTAGTATTATTATTTATAGTTTATATTATAAGTCCTTTATAGTCATTTTACCTAACCTCTCATATTAAAAAAAGCACTTTTAATAGTTTTTCAGCCAAACACTCAACTGCTTTTTTTGAAAAGTACTTCTCTAAAAGCTCAAGTCAAAAGCTGCTTCTGCAAAAGCTACAGCAAGGCCAAACTAATATTAGTTGGCCGGCAGGTGGAGGGATCGAAATTGACTCACTAGTCAATTAAGTGAAGTATGGCTTGGTTTGTAATAATATGATCATTAATTAAGTACACATCGAAGACTAATTACATTTCAATAATTTCTTAACAAGATATAGTCGTTCTATCTGATTAAACATCGATGAATTTGGCTCAATGACACACATCTCAAACAAATTCGTTATATTCAGTATTTTTTCTTCTAGTTTTTTTTTGCGTTGAATTAGTTAACCCTTTCATAGCTCAAGTAATTATACACAATTTACGTGACCCAAACTCAGTCACGTATACCTTAACTTATCGCCATTACTGTAACTATCCACACTCACCAAAACCAAACAGCCTATACTCACACTCAATATGGCGTTCATCGGTTATTGTATTTTCTTCATTAATGACGTCAGAATTAGCAAAAGAAAAAAACATTGTTTGTGCCAACTAGCTCAGAATACGAACAATGATAATTGTAGTGTGGGGTTGACTCATCATCCGTTCGTCTGATCTCGTCGGGAGGTAAAGAACCTGTGAAAGAGGCCGGGGGTGCCCCCCGGATTAACCTCTGACGATCAAGTTAGTTTGTGTACTGACACGCTAAAACACAACACCTAACAATGGCCAAGTGTAACCAATGAAAGGGATTGCTATATAGTGGCTCAAGTAATAAATATCGAATCCACGGGTCTCTAGAGTTACTATTACTCAGATTCGGTTCATTATCTAGCAAACCAGATTAAGATGGAAGAACTAAAACTACTCTAACAAACTACAATTAAAGTTAAACTAATTACAGGTTGGGAACTCACTTAGGTATGATTTCCCCTAGCCACTAGCCAGATTAATGATTGATGATCTCTAACCTGTTTCACTTTCATTCACAATGCGGAGAATCCTTGACTAGACCTTGAGTCTCGACTAAAGGAACAAGGCCCTCTTGAGTCAATTGCCTAGAGGGACGTATCCTTGTCTAGAACGACCGATCAAGGCGTTCTAAACTAGACTCCCTCTATCGAATGAGGTTCTCAATCGATACAAAGCAGTGAATCAACCCTCGACTAAAGCAATCAATCCACTACTATTAATCTATGGTGCTCTATTGACCTAATTAGGTATTCGCTCTCATAGGATCAAAGCAGAATCAATACTCTCGACTAAAGCAGAATTGAATCATGAAAACATGCATAGATTGAATATGAACTCAAGATTATCAAGTAAGAGTACTCATACAATCATCCAATCAAACAAACATAGCTAGGGTTCCTCAAAACCTAAGTGAAGGGAAGTTACTCCATAGAGAAGAGAGAGACTGCAGTAAGAATCTTCAGATGATCAGTCTTCAAGTCTGTGCTTGTTCCTTGAGCTTCCAAGGCGAAGAAATCCTCCAATTCCACTCTTAGAATGCCCTCAAATCGCCCTCTCTCTTTTGGGTGTTTGGGATCCAAAACCCAGCTCTCCCTTTCCTTTGGCTTCAATCTGCCTAAAAAACCCGATTCTGGGCAAAACACGGTCGAGGACACGGCCGTGTTTTACTTTTTCCCACCCGTGTTTTGCCCCCAGCAGCCCTCGTCGACCAACCGTGTTTTTCTTTAGGCCAGCCCGTGTTTTTACTGCCGAACCTGTTCCCCTATATTCAATGCTTCGTTTCTCCCTCGTCCGGACTCCGAATCAGTCGTCGTTTGATCCCAGACGCTCGTAGTCTCGTCCTCTTTCTTTTCGTGACAAGCTTGCATGATTCTTTGTCTAACTGCGGTCTTTTGCACGGTCGACCCTTATTAGTCGAGCAAGAGCAATTTCTGTACATCTGGCGCTCGCCAGAGTACTTCTTTTAACTCCTTTTCCTCAACCCGTGTGGAGGGTCAATGAAATTAAGGGGGCTCGGAAGCTCTATCAGTGCCCTTAAAAACACATCCTCAAGTAGGCAAACCGTTCAACGGGTGGAAGTTTTACTTGTACTAGAGACAGCTTAGCTTCACCTTGTAGGAGTTCCCCACTAAGGATCACTAAAATCTCTTCCAAAACCCGATTTTGTGCAATGAACGGTGCCATACACGTTGGGAACTTGGGCTTACCCCATGTTTAAGATTTAATGATTTCGACATGGAGGACCAACTGCTTTTCGTTTTTCACATGAGCACCATGTTCGATACACGAGTCCATAACACAATCCAAACAAAGTCACCATTACCACATGAATTCAACGGTCTTAGCTCCACTAATTCACAAAATCAACTGGCACATCAGAGAGCTAGATAGGAAAAATCTTATACTTCAACATCCTCCATAGTGCTACACTACCTCCCTAGGTTGCACATTACTATATGTAGACACCACATTTTGTCCGGGTCTAAAACTTCTATCACTACATTTGAAGGATTGGAGAAGGATTTCGGTTTGAGTTCCAATGAGTTGAAGTATTCGAGTTTGATATCAAGAAAGCGCACAACAAAGCATCATTGAAGAATTTGAAACTTGATACAATCATTCAAATGGAATACAATGACTTGGTTTCATATGGGATTTATAAAAGAAGCTCAAATACAAGTGACATAGTCGCTAAGAGGAGATTGACCGGCACTTGAAGCCTTGAGGCCCAGACCAACCATTGACCTGCAAAAACAAAGACAAAATCAGTCAGAACAAACCCAAACTTGGATTCAAAGTCCACAAGTTCAAATCAAAATATATGGCCAAGTTCGGCCCAAAAGCAAGACTAGGCAAAGCCCATTTTGAGCCCACACAAAGAACAGCTCGGCCCACAAATCAAGGCCCAACTCATGTGCAAACCTTATCCTGAACCAGCCCTGACACGTCAGAACCGACCAAGCAAGGTGGAGGCTCATGAGGCAGCCTCAAAACCCGACCAATCAGAAAGAACCAGCGCATTTTGAGCCTTAACAAAGACGAACGACAAAGCAACACGTGGCATGCGATTTTTGCTATAAGAAGAGCTCTTCAGCTCTTGAATTGGGGGGAGGAGACGGAAAATTCTAAAAATGCTCTTAATTTTTTTCATTACTACAAGCTGAGTCCAAGAATTGGATCGGAGCAGCATCAAGTAGGCATTATTGGAGCCCAAATCTTAACAAGGTTGGTGCTTTATTTATGTTCCCATGGTTCTTGGTACCGTTCATGTCATCTATCTTAGTTTCTAGATCATTGCACCATTATAATCAATCCATCAGTTTGTTTGCCTATTTATATTCAGGCGATTTACTTTACAAAGGCATTTGTATGTATACAAGCACTCTATTTACTTAAAATAAAAATCTGCTCATAGCAAGTCCATTTCGGATTTAAGCTTATCTCAATTGAGCATCTATTTACTTTACTTATCAATTGATAGTCTATTTTAATTTTCTGTCATGCTTTTATACCATCCGTGAGCATGTAGTTGATAAACAATAGATCATCATACATGAACAAACTAAATCAAAATCCAGATTTAAACAAACCCCATAAACGCAATAAAATTTCAGATTCACAAATTCTAATCAGTTTTTAAACCAACCAAAATAACAATCCAATCAAAATCACAAGCAATGATTTAGTCCGATCTCCAGCAAAATTATAGGCAAAAGTGATCTATTATTAGTCAAAATTAGCATTTCTAGTTCATGTCAATTAGTTTTCTATCAAAGGAAATTCTTTTCACAAACTCTAAGCATATCAATAGCCACATCTAAAACATTAAAATAAAAACTAAATTCCAGATAGCCAAATTCGTTAACAGCCTTGTTTTCCAATACCCATACTTGATCCCATCTAGTCTAGACCTATCATAGTAAAATCCACCTTCTAGTTTAAATCTCTAAATCTCAAATTAAAAGAGTTATGGTGAGACCTACCTAGATCTGTTTTTTTACCTGCATCAATACAAGAATAGAAGTCAGAATTAATTGAAAGAATATTAAATTAAAAAATATATATATATATAACGAAACAAAAACCCTACCTGTGTCGCCGTCGGCCTATTGCCGCCGGGAAACCTCGCCGGCCGACGCTACATTCTCCTCGACCAAAACCCTCGCATAAATAAAAAAACCAAAATAAAATATCAGATCCTAAATTTTGAATCTAAAATCAAACAAAATCCCACATGCAAACAATATCTTACCGAGATCTCTTCACCATCCTCATCGTTTCTACGAAAGAGAGTAGATCGAAAAAGGGGACGGTAGATCGAGGGTCCCATTTCGGCCTCGGTTTAGTTTTACGGAAATAAACAAAAAAAGGAATCAGATCTATGAAACCTTAGAAAATCGAGTCTGAAAGCAAATAGAAATCGTTCAAAAAGGAAACGAACCTTACTCTTGCCATCGCTGGCGGCGCATGTCACCGTCGTCACCGACTACCATCGTCTCACAGTCGCCGCCTTCCGCCGTCTCTTTTCCTCCCCTCGTCAAACCCCAAAGATAAACAAAAAAAATCAAAAAAAGGTCGTAAACGAATCCAAACCGAAAATATCAAATAAAACCATTAAACGGACATGCAAGAGGAAACAAACCTTCAAAACTCGATTTTATCACCACCAGCGGCGCATGTCGCCATCCTCGTCGTCCTCGTAGCTCGGACGAGGCGAGTGGTTTAGGGAGTGGTGGCGGCTGTTTGAGGTTTTATTTAGGCTAGGGTTTTTGGTTTATATTCTCTGGTAGGGAAGGAAGAAGAAGAAGATGGCGGCGGTTTCGTTCGAAGAAGAGAGATGAGGGACGAGAGACGAGAGCGGCGGCGGATTTGGATCGGGGTTAGGGTTTGTTGGTCATTGGCGAGAGAGAGAGGGGGAAGAGGAGTAAGAATCGAGAAGAATGAGGTAGAGAGAGGGGTTCGGCCGCCGCTTTGGTTTTGGTCTCAACTAAGGTTTCGATTTAGAGAATTTATACCCACCCATAAATGACAAAAATGCCCCTAGGGTTTTCAGTTTATTACGCGGCCCTGCCACCGCGTTTTTGGGCAGTTACAAAAATGCCCTTCCCCCTTTTGCTGCACCAAAACCATAAATAAAAAATTCTCAACCAGCGTTGTTCGAACCCGCGTCCTCGTGTGTTAAGACACACCGATTAGTTAGCCGACCAGTTGGGCTACTGGCTCATCATTCGTCACTTTAATTATCCCGCTTAGTTTTCTTTGTTTAAAGTTCTTAATACGAAATGTGAAATGCGGATTAAGTTTGTCTCATTTCTTTTTCTATTACACCAAAATACATCCTTCTAATTAAAATCCTAATAATAATCAATCTAAATTTTAACAATAAAATTATAATACGAGAATTACGTTCAGTGGATCGTGGTAAAAGCTACAATTAAATTATCAAAAGTCCAAACGAACTACGTGGACTTTGATCCCGTCTAACGGGTACGTAGGCAACCGATAAGGTTCGAGTCCAACTAACCAATTAACTTTATCTCTTAAATTTACGTCAGTGGGCGTATAATTAAATTACAACCAATACGATTTAATTTCTTTAGTGGTCAAGTAAGGCCCTAAAAATACCTAAAATACTTAATAATAAACTAATACGATAAAATCATTAAATGGTCCAGTGGGACCCTAAAATTACAAAAACATTACTAAAAATACACCCAATTCGTATAAAACTTATCGACTTAAGTAGTACCGATTTAGGGCGTTGTGGGGTGTGATTTCACTTCCCCACACGTAACCGTACTCCCGAACCCAGAACTTTATCTTCGCAGACCATGTCTCGGTTCTGACCCTAAGGTTAGAGCCGATCCGAAGAGTGTTCGATCCACTCCAAGTAAGATCGATGGCGACTCCCAAAAATGCCGACGCGACGACATTCGGACCCCCCGGACGGGACGGTTGCGACAGTTGGCGACTCCGCTGGGGACTTCGAGAGTCGAGCTACATTTATTAAGTCGATAAGTTTTGCTTACTTTCTATTACGTGTTGGATGTTTACTACTTATTTGTGCAATTATATTTTCGCAATCTAAAGTATGCATCATGCACAAAAGCTCTATGCCCGAGCTATCCCTTTAGAAAATTGAAAGGAGTACCTTGACTTCCGTAGTAGTGGTCGTCACGCAAAACTTTCTAACCAAGTTGAACTCGGATCCGAGGATGATCTTGAGGTATCTAGTCAGTTCGAAAGGGCTACGGCAGGATACAACTTGGGAACCAAATCCCTAGGAATTCCCCTGCCAGCATATAGTAAGCATAGAGGCCTCCCTAACCCGTCCAAAATTATCCCGAAACCACCCTAAAACCATGTCGTTACGCTTCCCGAAAGCCTTAGGTCTACCTAAATAGGGCAACGATGTGATTATATGTGTTTGCTTATCTAAATGGATGTTTGCTTGTGATTTATTGATATTGTGTTTTATCTTTTACTCGCAAAACTATGTGATTGTATGAATGAAAAATGTTTTCAAAATTCATAAGCATCATTCTCTCGTAACATTTTCATTCACTCATTTACAACTTATCATAAAAAGATAAAAATGCATGCATGATGAAAGATAAATTTGCATTCATACATCATTAACACTTGCATAAGCATCACGCATATACATACCCATAATAAAAATGAAAAATATAATTTGTCAATTTTAAGATGGTTCAGGGTTTCTAAAATCATTCATCCACGTGGAAAGAGTCAAGTATTTGACAAGATCAAGGTTGAGCTCATCATGGAGGCATTCCAGAAGAAGATGGGTGATGTTGAAGGAAAGTTGACCGGATTCGATGAAAAGCTATCTGGGTTCAATCAAAAGCTAGAAGGTGTCGACGAGGTGAAAAATCAACTAAATTTGCTTATAGGGATGATGTCAGCAAAGAAGAAAGAGGTAGCAACCAATGATGAAGAAATGTCAATTTACAATGACGATAATGGCAAGCCACATAATGGGGGCAATTCGAGCAAGAAATTCATCAGTATACCCATAAACGAGAAGCTTGATAAAGACAAAATTGGATCATCAAAACTTGATGACTCGCAAGGGAGACGGAAGTTAAAAGAAACTGTGATCGATGCCACATCAAAAGAAAAACTTGAACGACTCGATGAACGAATAAGAGCTATAGAAGGAACGGAGTCATACGGGCCCACAGATGCATCGCAATTATGTTTGGTCCCAGATGTGATAATACCTCACAAATTCAAAATGCCAGAATTTGAAAAGTACGAAGGTGCTACTTGCCCTAGAAGTCACATGGTTATGTACTGCAACAAGATGGCTAACCATATTCGGGATGAAAAATTGATGATACATTGCTTCCAGAATAGCTTAAGCGGTCCAGCTCTAAGATGGTATATGCAACTCGAAAGATCAAAGGTGAAGAGATGGCAAGATCTGGCTGATGCATTCTTCAGACACTATAAGCATAACCAAGATTTAGCTCCAGACAGGGAGGACTTGCGTAATATGGAAAAACATGAGAAAGAATCTTTTCGCGAATACGCCCACAGATGGCGAACAAAAGCCGTAGATGTTCAACCTCCTCTATCAGAGAAAGAAATGGTGTCAATCTTCTTCGACACACTCAAGCCTCCCTACTACAACAACATGGTAGGAATAACCACGACTAACTTTATCGATCTTTTGATAATCGGTAAAAGGATAGAAAAAGGGATCCTGCAAGGCAAGATGGAAATACCAGAAGGCTCCGCGAGACTAAGCCAGAAAAAGAGAAAGGAAGAAGAGGTATATTCATCCCACAAAGAAGCAAAAGAGAAAACACGAAAAAGCAATTTTCAAAATAATCAAGCCCTCCCATATGTTGCAACTACCACACCAATATTGCAACCACCAAACTTCATGAAATCAACGATCCAACATCCCACACCAATACCACGACAAGGTGCCAATCGAGATGTTAGTATCACAAGGAAAGCAAAAAGGGTATTTGACCCCATCCCGGTCACGTATACCGAACTCTTTCCTCGATTACTCCATGATCATCTAATCACCCCCATTCCGGGCGAGACTCTGCAACCTCCATTTCCAAGGTGGTATAGGTTCGACAAGCATTGCGATTACCATTCGGGAGTCCAAGGGCATTCAGTGGAAAATTGCAACGCTCTGAAGATAAAAGTTCAAGACATGGTAAACGCCGGATGGTTGAAGTTTGAATAAGAGGAGATCGTTTACACGTCAACAACAACCTGCTGCAGACTCATGGAAGTCAATAAGCATAACCCCAAATAAATATCGAGATAGCTCGCCACGATAAAAATGTATCACCTTTTGCTTTCATCATGAGAAATAAAAGGTTACTCATGTTTCTACCTTCTCGGAGCATTTCGTGATCATTATCAATCTCGATTTTGGATTTCGCATCAATGGTCCCTATCTTTCCCAAGTAATAAAAATACATTTCACGAATTTTGACTTGAATTCTCTGAAATAAATCATAAATCAATTTCATGTGTTCAAATTAAGCCATGGGATTATCATACCAAACAACTATGAACACCCTACTGGTGTTGAGAGATTACGAACACCCTACTGGTGTCACGATTTTGAACACCCCACGGGTGTTGAGAGTACAAAATGCCAACTTATGTTGAGTATATAAACACCCCACTGGTGTCCGTAAATCATGTGAGATGATAGTCAAGGGATGTAGTGGGGATACGACATCAGGCTATTTTAAGAATCCTGTCACATTTAGCCGAATCTCGTCACCAAAATAGTGTTTGAAAAACTATCCAATTAGCCCAGCCATCAAGAGAGACACTCATGTTGTCAGCCATCAAGACAAAGTCATAACCCTTTTGTGATCGTGCCCAAAAACACAAAGTTCAGTTGAAGACTTAGTGAAACACATAGGGGCATAACAAAGTCAAGCAAGTCTCACAAATGTGAAAATTTCAAAAGTGAAGCAACAACAAAAAAAGCATTGTGGGACTTACAACTAGATGCCCCTTTCTATGTTATCTAAAGTCATAACCACTCAGCCAAGAGATCTTCCAACCAATATCCAAGGAAGAAGCTCAAGCAAAAGCTTACGTGATAAGAAAAAAAACCATGCAGTCACTACCATTACACAAAAGAACTCCTCAGCATACCATTCTGGGTTGGAGCAAGAGTTCATTTGCTTCCTACTCATTCTTGCCTCTCAAAACCAATATTTTAAGAAAAGAGGGCAATCCAAGCTATAGATATACTCTCTGGAAATCACCAACATTTCCAAGAAAAAGAAAGACTTCCTCGATGAGAGAAACTACAAACCTTATACGAATCCCCTATTCCCATCAATTAGCCACATATCTTTGGGGGCAAGCCAAAATTTCTCGACAAAAGTCATGAGATGGCCAAAATCTCTCAAAGATCTTCCTTCTATCATTGTCTCAACCCTGCTACAGGACAGTGAAAATTTCAGGATAAGAAGATCCCACAATCAAAATCAACCAATAACCTCATTTCATGAAAAATCATATACCTCCACGACGAGACCATATGAGATCACCTAAATCAACCACACAAAGCTCTCTTGTTAAGAAAAACCTTAACCTCAAGCTCATGTGGCCGTCAACATAGACAGAGTCATCTCATGGTGACAGGAATCTTGATAGTAGTCGAATTGTCGTAAACTTAAAACATCCATAGGAATGAGTGAAAGTGAAAAAGAGGTCAAGGACGAGAGTGAGAGATCACATATATTCTCATGGCTTGATTTGCACTCTTATTGACACAAAACCGATTTTGAGCATTATGAAAACAAAGTTTGTGGCAAAAGTCACACAAGAAAACGTATTTGTTCAACTCGCGTACACTTACCTTAAACAAGAGCTTCACAATCTAAAAATGAGTTTTCACTATGTTATTTCAACAAAGTTCTTTTCAGACGTTGTTGCATTTATCCCAAGTCAAGGATGATAAAAATCACTCTTCATTCCAGAAGATGGAGGAATAAATAACATATCATTGGAGGCAAAATGGGGGCAACTCAGAGGAAGTTCAAGGTACTAAGTAGCTAGACTACTCAACTTGTCAACTCCCCCATTTATGAAGAAATTTTGGAGAACTTGTATAACACTCAAGTTCCTTGGGACCAGCTGGTCAACTAAACTATTCTCCAAAGACATACTTACAAGAAGAAGCACAATATACTCTATTACCAAGAAATACGCAACCTCATAGAAGGTTGTACTACCCACCTTGGGAATCAAGAAAGAAAAGACAGGGCAATATGATACATCAGGACTCCTTGCATCTCAGATAGACTCAATCAAAAGTTCAATCCGAAAAATCAATCCTGACAAGATACATCTCAAGATGATAGATCTTCTAAACCAAGAAAAATATCTTTTGCATCACAAGAGATGCCACCAAAGGCAGGGCCCCTGGTCGAACAGATTATTCCAACTCTAAGCCTAAGAGGTTGGTTTCCTAGACATCATGCATCAAGTCAAAAAATTAACCAATATCCCTACCTCTGCACCATAGAGGCGGACACTCAAAAGCTCGCGCTATCGAGTTTTGGGCTCAACTAACGATCAAGTCTTCCAAAAACCGTGACAAAATTCCTGGTGAATGATCGATTTAAAGAAACCCAGGACCAACAACTGAAACAATGTATTTTGCATGACATTCATGACATCATTATTCAACATGATACATCATAGTGTCATTTCTAAAATCATGTGCATGAGTGCATCTCTATTTTAGACATGCATTGAGCATCTCATCAGAACTTCAGAAATTTTCTGCTTTAACTTTCAAAGTCTACCGTGATCCCCAAAGATATCGCATCTAATGTCATACTATAAACACGTCCCCACGTTGGCAAACGCTATACAAAACACGTCCTCGCGTTGGCGAACGCTATACAAAACACGTCCTCGCGTTGGCGAGCGCTATACAAAACACGTCCCCGCGTTGGCAAACGCTATACAAAACACGTCCTCGCGTTGGCGAACGCTATACAAAACACGTCCTCGCGTTGGCGAACGCTATACAAAACACGTCCTCGCGTTGGCGAGCGCTATACAAAACACGTCCCCGCGTTGGCAAACGCTATACAAAACACGTCCTTGCGTTGGCGAACGCTATACAAAACACGTCCTCGCGTTGGCGAACGCTATACAAAACACGTCATCGCGTTGGCGAACGCTATATAAACACGTCCCCGCGTTGGCGAGCGCTATATAAACACGTCCCCGCGTTGGCGAGCGCTATACAAAACACGTCCCCGCGTTGGCGAGCGCTATACAAAACACGTCCCCGCGTTGGCGAGCGCTATATAAACACATAGACCATCTTGGCAACTTGTTCCGTCGACTATGACGGACACAAAAAATTACATGATAAATTTGTTTCGTCAACTATTACGAGAAAATCAAAACTTGTTCCGTCGACTATCACGGGCAATTTAGAAATTAACTAGTCAATTTGTTTTGTCGTCTATCACAAGCAAATTAGACCCCTGCTAAACTTGTTCCGTCGACTATCACGGGCAGGGCAAAAATTACCTTGTCAATTTGCTTCGTCGGCTATCACGAGCAAATTTAAAACCTCCTTCTGAAGTTGTTCCGTCGGCTATCACGGGCAGTTTAGAAAACCAAGTCAATTTGTTTCGTCGGCTTTCACGAGCAATTGAAATCCTTCCTTCTAAAAGTTGTTCCGTCGATCATCACGGGCAACCTAGAAAAAACTTCACCCACTCTGCATACCGCAAGGGGGAACCAAATTCAAAAGTCTTCCCTACAGCCACGGGAACAAATCAACAACTCACGGGAGCTGAGGAGCGCCCCTACCATTCAATACCTCATGGGAGCTGAGAAGCACCCCTGCCAAATCAATACCTCACAGGAGCTGGCGAGCCCCTCTATCAGTCAACAACGTACGGGAGCTGAGGAGCGCCCCAACCATTCAAAACCTCACAGGAGCTGGCGAGCCCCTCTATCAGTCAACAACGCATGGGAGCTGAGGAGCGCCCCAACCATTCAAAACCTCACAGGAGCTGGCGAGCCCCTCCATCAGTCAACAACGCATGGGAGCTGAGAAGCGCCCCTACCATTCAATACCTCATGGGAGCTGAGGAGCGCCCCTACCATTCAATACCTCACAGGAGCTGGCGAGCCCCTCTACCAATCAACAACGCACGGGAACGTCATGATCTGCATTCGTGACGCAAACAACTACAAGCAGTACTCACAACACTCAAGTATCACTTTCTGAATATATAACAAAATCGACATCAGAGTTTACAAAATATGGTGTCTTTATAAGAACTTTGTATAACTCTTTATCCAAAGAGATATACAAAGGGGGGCAACTGTAGACACCACATTTTGTCCGGGTCTAAAACTTCTATCACTACATTTGAAGGATTGGAGAAGGATTTCGGTTTGAGTTCCAATGAGTTGAAGTATTCGAGTTTGATATCAAGAAAGCGCACAACAAAGCATCATTGAAGAATTTGAAACTTGATACAATCATTCAAATGGAATACAATGACTTGGTTTCATATGGGATTTATAAAAGAAGCTCAAATACAAGTGACATAGTCGCTAAGAGGAGATTGACCGGCACTTGAAGCCTTGAGGCCCAGACCAACCATTGACCTGCAAAAACAAAGACAAAATCAGTCAGAACAAACCCAAACTTGGATTCAAAGTCCACAAGTTCAAATCAAAATATATGGCCAAGTTCGGCCCAAAAGCAAGACTAGGCAAAGCCCATTTTGAGCCCACACAAAGAACAGCTCGGCCCACAAATCAAGGCCCAACTCATGTGCAAACCTTATCCTGAACCAGCCCTGACACGTCAGAACCGACCAAGCAAGGTGGAGGCTCATGAGGCAGCCTCAAAACCCGACCAATCAGAAAGAACCAGCGCATTTTGAGCCTTAACAAAGACGAACGACAAAGCAACACGTGGCATGCGATTTTTGCTATAAGAAGAGCTCTTCAGCTCTTGAATTGGGGGGAGGAGACGGAAAATTCTAAAAATGCTCTTAATTTTTTTCATTACTACAAGCTGAGTCCAAGAATTGGATCGGAGCAGCATCAAGTAGGCATTATTGGAGCCCAAATCTTAACAAGGTTGGTGCTTTATTTATGTTCCCATGGTTCTTGGTACCGTTCATGTCATCTATCTTAGTTTCTAGATCATTGCACCATTATAATCAATCCATCAGTTTGTTTGCCTATTTATATTCAGGCGATTTACTTTACAAAGGCATTTGTATGTATACAAGCACTCTATTTACTTAAAATAAAAATCTGCTCATAGCAAGTCCATTTCGGATTTAAGCTTATCTCAATTGAGCATCTATTTACTTTACTTATCAATTGATAGTCTATTTTAATTTTCTGTCATGCTTTTATACCATCCGTGAGCATGTAGTTGATAAACAATAGATCATCATACATGAACAAACTAAATCAAAATCCAGATTTAAACAAACCCCATAAACGCAATAAAATTTCAGATTCACAAATTCTAATCAGTTTTTAAACCAACCAAAATAACAATCCAATCAAAATCACAAGCAATGATTTAGTCCGATCTCCAGCAAAATTATAGGCAAAAGTGATCTATTATTAGTCAAAATTAGCATTTCTAGTTCATGTCAATTAGTTTTCTATCAAAGGAAATTCTTTTCACAAACTCTAAGCATATCAATAGCCACATCTAAAACATTAAAATAAAAACTAAATTCCAGATAGCCAAATTCGTTAACAGCCTTGTTTTCCAATACCCATACTTGATCCCATCTAGTCTAGACCTATCATAGTAAAATCCACCTTCTAGTTTAAATCTCTAAATCTCAAATTAAAAGAGTTATGGTGAGACCTACCTAGATCTGTTTTTTTACCTGCATCAATACAAGAATAGAAGTCAGAATTAATTGAAAGAATATTAAATTAAAAAATATATATATATATAACGAAACAAAAACCCTACCTGTGTCGCCGTCGGCCTATTGCCGCCGGGAAACCTCGCCGGCCGACGCTACATTCTCCTCGACCAAAACCCTCGCATAAATAAAAAAACCAAAATAAAATATCAGATCCTAAATTTTGAATCTAAAATCAAACAAAATCCCACATGCAAACAATATCTTACCGAGATCTCTTCACCATCCTCATCGTTTCTACGAAAGAGAGTAGATCGAAAAAGGGGACGGTAGATCGAGGGTCCCATTTCGGCCTCGGTTTAGTTTTACGGAAATAAACAAAAAAAGGAATCAGATCTATGAAACCTTAGAAAATCGAGTCTGAAAGCAAATAGAAATCGTTCAAAAAGGAAACGAACCTTACTCTTGCCATCGCTGGCGGCGCATGTCACCGTCGTCACCGACTACCATCGTCTCACAGTCGCCGCCTTCCGCCGTCTCTTTTCCTCCCCTCGTCAAACCCCAAAGATAAACAAAAAAAATCAAAATAAGGTCGTAAACGAATCCAAACCGAAAATATCAAATAAAACCATTAAACGGACATGCAAGAGGAAACAAACCTTCAAAACTCGATTTTATCACCACCAGCGGCGCATGTCGCCATCCTCGTCGTCCTCGTAGCTCGGACGAGGCGAGTGGTTTAGGGAGTGGTGGCGGCTGTTTGAGGTTTTATTTAGGCTAGGGTTTTTGGTTTATATTCTCTGGTAGGGAAGGAAGAAGAAGAAGATGGCGGTGGTTTCGTTCGAAGAAGAGAGATGAGGGACGAGAGACGAGAGCGGCGGCGGATTTGGATCGGGGTTAGGGTTTGTTGGTCATTGGCGAGAGAGAGAGGGGGAAGAGGAGGAAGAATCGAGAAGAATGAGGTAGAGAGAGGGGTTCGGCCGCCGCTTTGGTTTTGGTCTCAACTAAGGTTTCGATTTAGAGAATTTATACCCACCCATAAATGACAAAAATGCCCCTAGGGTTTTCAGTTTATTACGCGGCCCTGCCACCGCGTTTTTGGGCAATTACAAAAATGCCCTTCCCCCTTTTGCTGCACCAAAACCATAAATAAAAAATTCTCAACCAGCGTTGTTCGAACCCGCGTCCTCGTGTGTTAAGACACACCGATTAGTTAGCCGACCAGTTGGGCTACTGGCTCATCATTCGTCACTTTAATCATCCCGCTTAGTTTTCTTTGTTTAAAGTTCTTAATACGAAATGTGAAATGCGGATTAAGTTTGTCTCATTTCTTTTTCTATTACACCAAAATACATCCTTCTAATTAAAATCCTAATAATAATCAATCTAAATTTTAACAATAAAATTATAATACGAGAATTACGTTCAGTGGATCGTGGTAAAAGCTACAATTAAATTATCAAAAGTCCAAACGAACTACGTGGACTTTGATCCCGTCTAACGGGTACGTAGGCAACCGATAAGGTTCGAGTCCAACTAACCAATTAACTTTATCTCTTAAATTTACGTCAGTGGGCGTATAATTAAATTACAACCAATACGATTTAATTTCTTTAGTGGTCAAGTAAGGCCCTAAAAATACCTAAAATACTTAATAATAAACTAATACGATAAAATCATTAAATGGTCCAGTGGGACCCTAAAATTACAAAAACATTACTAAAAATACACCCAATTCGTATAAAACTTATCGACTTAAGTAGTACCGATTTAGGGCGTTGTGGGGTGTGATTTCACTTCCCCACACGTAACCGTACTCCCGAACCCAGAACTTTATCTTCGCAGACCATGTCTCGGTTCTGACCCTAAGGTTAGAGCCGATCCGAAGAGTGTTCGATCCACTCCAAGTAAGATCGATGGCGACTCCCAAAAATGCCGACGCGACGACATTCGGACCCCCCGGACGGGACGGTTGCGACACTATAGAGACTGTCAATTCAAAGCATACTGAGCAGGCAATTTGCAAGGAAACACGTACTTGGGGCCCTCAAATTTAAAAATTTAGACAGTGGACTAGGCTCCAAGCACACAAACAGCCAAACATTCACCCGAATACATAATCGAACACCCCCACACTTAAGCACGACATTGTCCTCAATGGAGGAAAGATAAGGAGGGTAGAACGAAGTTACCAGATCAAGGGTGAATGATGGTGGACTAGGCAGGCAGTGCATTCCAGGAGGAGAGAGTATTCGGAACACAAACACCACACAAAATCTCACAAAGGTTGAGTTATTGACTCTAAAATCAAATAACAAAACCGACTCAACGGAGGAGAAAAAGAGAAAGAAATGCAAACAGACTGGTTGGGTTGCCTCCCAACAAGCGCTTCTTTCACGTCGTGAGCCGAACGATGGCTCCTAAGTTTCGATCCACCCCAAAACCTCCTTGAAGTTGAGGTTCTCGTCGATGAGGTGGAGTCTCAAGTCACGAGCATGTGGTATGACAGGTGATGGAAGCTCGTACACTTGATGCAGATAACGTCTCCACCCTCGAGACCTCTTCTTCTCTTCTCTCGTCTCATTGCCCCAAACTAGATATGACAACATCAATTGACCACCATCGCGTCCACCAAGAGGGACTGATGTCGATGTGGCCTTGGTTTGGCAAAGAGACACTGCAAATGGGTCCTTGCTAAGCAGTTCCTCGAAGTTTGGTGGGGATATTCCTTGCAACTCATGGCCGGTGCAAGCCTCTTCCACCTTAACTCCGTCCTCAGCCTGGACGCCAATTGCTTCTTCAACCTCCCTTTCTTCTTCGTGTGGTATCACCCCTGAGAAATGATCAAGAACTCCTCCTGCTTCACTTTCATCATCCTCCACAACTTCTTTCTGCATCCTTTCTTGCTCTTCTCCTTCTTTTAGCACGTATTGGAGAGCAAGTTGCCGAGCAATTTCTTTCATGAGATCTTCTTGCATCTCCTCACTCATGCCCGCCTCTTCAAAGCTCAGTTTGGGATGTGGGAAGTTGTGGTCGGCTACGATAGGACATTCATGATCATGATCATCACGGGAGCTCTCCGTGACAACTTCAGTGTGCTCCACAATGTCTTTGTAGCCTTCTTCTTCCTCCTCCTCTTCTAGTATGGTAGCAGGAGGGTGATCTAGAGCAGGTTGTGCACAAGATCGCTCAAGATCATCGACGCTCTTCTTAAGGCTCAGGAGGATCTCCTCTGTTTCACGATAGGCCTGGATACAATGATCCATCCTGGAGCATGATCTCTCACTGTATCGAGCAAACTGCTCCATGAGAAGCCTCAATTTATAGTTTGGATCTAGTTGTGGAGTGTAGCATGACTCTGCAAAATGGCCCATGAAGGCCGCCATGGGTAACTCCAGCTCTGATGGCCCTTCTGGTTGTGGGAGAAATTCTTCTTGATAAGGAGGTTGTTCTTGATATGCCCAGGGGTCTGATTCTTCTCTGTAGTAAGGGGGTTGGTACTGGAACCCGAATCCATAGTCTTCTCCTCCTTGATTGCTCCAGGGAGTATCGGGGTAATACCACTCGGATGGTGGTGGATACCCCAAATGGTTGGAGAAGCCATGCAGATCCATGATTCAGATATGCACCAACAAAAACAAAAACACCCAAGTGAAAAGCAATGGTGGAAAAGAAAAGAAAAACGCTAAAGTAACAAACTTCTGCCTTTCCTAATAATCTAGACAGTCCCCGGCAACGGCGCCAAAAACTTGACACGCTAAAACACAACACCTAACAATGGCCAAGTGTAACCAATGAAAGGGACTGCAGTATAGTGGCTCAAGTAATAAATATCGAATCCACGGGTCTCTAGAGTTACTATTACTCAACTTCAGTTCATTATCTAGCAAACTAGATTAAGATGGAAGAACTAAAACTACTCTAACAAACTACAATTAAAGTTAATCTAATTACAGGTTGGGAACTCACATAGGTATGATTTCCCCTAGCCACTAGCCAGATTAATGATTGATGATCTCTAACCTGTTTCACTTTCATTCACAATGCGGAGAATCCTTGACTAGACCTTGAGTCTCGACTAAAGGAACAAGGCCCTCTTGAGTCAATTGCCTAGAGGGACGTATCCTTCTCTAGAACAACTAATCAAGGCGTTCTGAACTAGACTCCCTCTATCGAATGAGGTTCTCAATCGATACAAAGCAGTGAATCAACCCTCGACTAAAGCAATCGATCCACTACTATCAATCTATGGTGCTCTATTGACCTAATCAGGTATTCGCTCTCATAGGATCAAAGCAGAACCAATAATCTCGACTAAAGCAGAATTGAATCATAAAACATGCATAGATTGAATATGAACTCAAGATTATCAAGTAAGAGTACTCATACAATCATCAAATCAAACAAACATAGCTAGGGTTCCTCAAAACCTAAGTGAAGGGAAGTTACTCCATAAAGAAGAGAGAGACTGTAGTAAGAATCTTCAGATGATCAGTCTTCAAGTCCGGGCTTGTTCCTCGAGCTTCCAAGGCGAAGAAATCCTCCAATTCCACTCTTAGAATGCCCTCAAATCGCCATCTCTCTCTTTGGTTCGTCCCTTGGGTGTTTGGGATCCAAAACCCAGCTCTCCCTTTCCTTTGGCTTCAATATGCCTCAAAAACCCGATTCTGGGTAAAACACAGTCGAGGACACGGCCGTGTTTTACTTTTGCCCACCCGTGTTTTGCCCCCAGCAGCCCTCGTCGGCCAAAACACGGTCGTGCCTAAATATGGACACGGCCGTGTTTTTCTTTAGGCCAGCCCGTGTTTTTACTGCCGAACATGTTCCCCTATATTCAATGCTTCGTTTCTCCCTCGTCCGGACTCCGAATCAGTCCCCGTTTGATCCCAGACTCTCGTAGTCTCGTCCTCTTTCTTTTAATTATAAGATTGCATGATTCTTTGTCCATAAAGTGAGGTAGAAATCCATTCTTCTTCAGGTCATGCCTGAGTTTCTTCTCCCTAATCGCCAATTGATCTCTGATTGACTTGAAACTCGCGCCTATGCTTCACTTTATGTGCTAGGACCTGAAATGTGACAAAGGAACATAACCTAGCGTAAAATAGGCCAAAGACGCGATAATTAAAGCTCAAACAGTCAAGAAACAAAGGGGAAAACATGTGCAAATATCGAGTCATCATGTACAGAGAAAGTTGAGAGAATAATGTAGAGAGATAAAGTGTAGAGAGATAGTGGAAAGTGAGGAGAGAGAAGAACTCCCCTTCTTTGGAGGGCTTGGAAGCACTTATATAGACACGGTGGCTACTGGTTGCGCAGAAGGTTGTGCGTTATTGCTAGCGCGAATGCTAGTGCACTACTACTTAGTCTCTGCAATCCGGGTTTAGTAAGACCCCAACAATTGCCCCCAAGCTGGTGATGAGTTTTAACTCATCTCTAGCTTGATATAGACGTGGCGGGCACTTGTTGCGCGGCAGGTTGGGCGTCACCGCTAACGCACCACCATGCTGGTGCGCTACTACTTGGTCTCAATTTGTGTCAAGGTTGAGCTCACCATGCTTGTGCACCACCATATAGGTGCGCTACTACTTAGTATCTACTAGGTGGGTTTAGTAACACCCCCAACAATTGCCCCCCGAGCTAGTGGTGAGTTTTAACTCATCTCTAGCTTGTTATTATTGTTGTTTTTTTTTATCTCCATCGAGTACTCTGGAAGGGGCCCATGTACCCCTAGTTGCCCCCAACTGGTGGCGCGTCAACATGACGTGATGCCAGTTTATGCGATTTGCCCCCAGGTGGTGGATTTCACTAAGGCGTTGAGCACTTGCTCTTTGAATATTCTTCAGGATGCTATGTTCACAAACGAACTGGGTATTGTAAAAGAGGCTCATTCGCACTCTCAATATGACCAGACATACATAGTCCGCGACACTTATAAAGAGGCGCATTCGCACTCATAATAAAGAGGCGCATTGGCACTCGTAATAAAATGCGTCTGAGTAGCCGCACGTATGATGATGGAGGTAGTCGATCGCTCCCATATTGAAGATTCACCAATGCTCTTGTCGAAGACTTATTTGTGCGCTTCAGTCGAGACTTACATGAATGGAGATATCAGTAAAGAGGCGCATTCGCACTCGTAGTAAAGTGCGCTTGAGTCGCCGCACGTAGTATGAATGGAGGTCGTCGATCACTCCTATATTGTAGATTTTTTCAAGGCGTTGAACGCTTGGTGAGGGCATGGCATTGACTAGTCGAGGCACGGGCCGTGATTATTAGCCCTCACCCATTGTAGGTTCATCATGGCATTTGTAGTCGAGGCATGGGTCATGATCATATGTCGTTTAATTGAGTTTCTCATCTCCCATGTTGTTTGGTACATCTTGCCCCTCATTAGCGCCATTAACGCTCATGAAAGTAAAATATTTGAAAATTTAATAATGGTAGAGTACTTAGCTTTACGTTGGTGAAGCGGTGGGAAGATGCATTAAAATAAAAGTCACTGCGCCAAAGGAGCGCAAGGAAATTTCGTAGTCTGCTGGTCCATTTGCTTGTCTGTCTGAGGGATGACGCTGGTTCAAGTATTGGTGACGAAGATAACATTTTTGAGGAGTTGCGGCATGGCGGGATTCAACACCTGAACAGAGCAGGCTAGGTACGCAAGTTTGGACCTCTGCGTGGGCCTAGTTGTGCGGGCCGTGAAGCAAAGCTTGAGAAGGTGCGGGACTGGTGGCGTGTCGTTGGGCCGCGAGTCTGATAGCAGGCTTGGGCGGGTAGATTGACACGAAGGAGCATGAAGCGGGCCAGCGAGTCGGAGTGGGGCGGAGCCCACAAGTGACCCGAGAGCAGGCTGAAAAAACAGTGCTTGCTAGTTGAAAGCGGGGTGCTCCCTTGATAAATAAGATTCCGCGCTTTGATCCAGCAAGTTGTCCTTGTGGCGTACTGGCTTGTCTGCAAATTCATTGAAGTAATAGTGCGGGTTCAAATCCTTGCTGAAGTATTTTTTGTTGACTTAATGGTCGGCAAAAGAAGTGAGGTCGAATGGTGGCGCATGATGTCGAGCGGAGTGGGGCGGGCTTCAGTGCGTTCTGGGCCGGATGGAATATTTTTTCTTTTCTCTTCATGGTTTAGCGGGGAGTGCCAACGACGGGAATAAAAGAAGGAGAATGGCTAAATCTCGCCCTAACTTTACTTTTATCGCCCTAACTTAATACATAAAATTACTAAACTAACCTTTAATTTACAAAAGGAAAAACAATGAAACAAACAACACTTCAGTCGTCTTCATCTTCTTTATCGCCCTACCTTTAATAATCCTCATCATCTTCATCCCCCGGCCTTCTTCGAAGATGGGATGTTGCTCCCGGATGCACCTTGACCAGCTAACACAGTGAAACCAAGGGAGAAACCCAGCAATAGAAAGGTTTAAAATCAATTGTGCAAGGAACAAATTCCCACATGCTGCATTGCCGAGCCTCCCTACTAAAACATCCCCTACACTTGTTTGCAATCAACGTAGAAAACGAAGGAGGTTGCCACGCCGGCGGTGACTTCCCGATCAACTGCGCAAGGAAACAAATTTGGCCACTTGATGCTGCATCGCCGAGCCGGCCAACTTAATTAAGAGGAAGGTGATTAGAGATGGGATTCCATCAGTCCCCGCTCCAATTAATCAACGGCGGCCGACGATGAGAATGAGCGGCAGTTATGTTCGTTTTTTGGGAAACTGGATTGTGTTTTATAATAAAATATTAAATTAAGAATAAATATTTTTTTTCCGAAAAGATACTTGCATTAACAAGACAAAAGAGTTACATCAAACCAATTTCCGAGCACAACCACGCCCGAAAAATCAAAACCAACACTTCCCGTAGGAAACAAATCGAGGGCTTTTTTGGCCACCAAATGGACCACCCTATTGTTCTGTCTACCTACAAACACCACACTAAACCCAACATGAGCTCCCAGCAGCCGACAGATTTCCTGGAGAATAGCCCCGGCCTTTGCGTCCCTAATGGTGCCTGCGTTAACTTTGTCGATCACCACCTTCGCATCACCGACAAACTGAACATTTGAGAGACCAGCCTCCGCACACCAGCACAGTGCATCCCGAAGAGCCATTGCCTTCACCAACATAGGATCAACCATACCAGAGAGACACGACCCCCTTGCCATTAGAATACCACCAACCTCATCCTGCAGAACAATCCCAACTGAACTATGCGACCCAGTAGAAATCGCCCCATCAAAGGAGCACCTATAAACACCCGGCACGATACCCGGCTCAACCACCTGCACTGTTGGAGCAGTTACTCTCCCACTACCCGGAGACAAACTATCCATCCATTCCTGAACCTGAAATCTGAATTGCCTTTCCGGTACTAAGAATGTATCTTGCTGTCCCTCAAAAGCCACCAAGTTTCTAGACTTCCAAATTCGCCAGAGAAGACAAACAAGACAAACCACTCGTGCTGGAGAGGAATCCCGCTCTAAGAACCCTTGAAAGAAGATAGGGAACGCCTGCTCTTGACCAATCACCCAGTCGTTCCTCAATCCCGACATTTCCCATATAGCTACCGCCACCGGGCACGAGAAAAATAAGTGCTCTATGTTTTCTTCGGGAGCCCAGCACACAGGACATCGTGGTAATACCAAAACCTTCTTCCGGATCAAAGCCTCCATCGTCGGGAGAGTGCGTTGCAAAAGTTGTCAGATAAAAAGTCTGAGCTTGGGCTGAACCTCAAGGCCCCAGACTTTCATCCATAACACCCTATCCACCGGATCACACCCTGGCTTCTTTCTCAATTCTCATACTAGCGCGATTCAGGCTCTCAGCCAGCCTATACCCTGACTTCACAGTATACACCCCGGACGGGTCGAGCCTCCATACCCAGACATCCTCACTAAGAGTGCGTGGAATCGGAACTTGGAGGATAGCCCGCACCGTGTCCATACTAAATGTCTGCAGAAGACATTCTTGACACCAAGCGTGTGTCTCCTGATCAATTAACGAAACTACACACTCTCCACCAACTAAGGGAGCCCCAACTCACAACTCCAGAAATCCCGGGAAAATTTGAGGAATCCATCCACTCGACATTATGGGAATTGATTCCCCGGATCCAACCTGGCACCCCAACCCCTTCATCAATAAAAGAATAAATATTGAAAAGGGTAAAGAAGTAAGTTTTATTTTTAATTTATGGCAATTATAATAAAACTAGGGCGACAACAATCCCATTTCACTTAGGCAGTGATCTAGTATTCCATACACCTACACAGCTACACCAAAACTCCAAAAACTGACCGGCGCGCGAGCTAGCCGGTGATCAAATCGAAACCCCATTTCTCTAATAAAAAAAAAGAAAAGGAATCTTAGTCGCCTCATCTGCTCCCGAGTAGGGCTGTCCATTTGGTTTTGGTTTTTTGGTTTTAACCATAACCAAACCAATTGAAAAGCTAATGGTTTCAGTTTTTCGGTTTTAAACCAATAAGCAACTTAATGGTTTTGGTTTGGTTAAAACCGAAAAACCAATAGAAACCAATAAGAATAAAATTATTTATCAACAAATATATTATTTTTTTTGTTTCTTTTGACACGCATGCCAACCAATAATTTGTAATGGTCATTTCAAGAGAACTAATAATACGTTTTAAAGCCTTTGCATTCCTCCATTTGAAAATCCAAGCCCTGGGAGCGTTTCTCGGAAGGGCATTAAAGGAAGTTCACACATCCCCTCCCCCAATTGTAATTGAAGGCTTCCCCACTAATTCAATTTCTTCGAAGCCTGCGCCAGTACTACGAACCCTGCCCTGCATCCGCTACGTCACCCGCACTTTGTCGACTCTTGAATATCAGTCGTTCGTCCGCGAAACTGTGCCCACAGCCGTTGGTCAGTGTAGCCATCACGGCTTTCGGTTCATTGTCCTATCTCACCCTCACTCCCGCTGTGGTCTCGCCACCGTAATTGAGGACTAATGTCTCGCTACTGTAATACTTCACTTCTCTGCATTCATTTCAATTCCACCGTTCAACTCCGGCCAGCCTTGCCAAAACAGGTTCCCCAATTGCCCACACTGTTATGTTATAACCATTTTGCTCCAATTCCCTAATCCTTCTCATTTCCTTTCGCATTGTCGACCAGCTCAGTTCCAGTGCTCCAATTGGTCTTCCACCATCAGCTATTGCCTCTTTACTGTTCAGCCCCTTTCGGGTAAAGGTGTCCTTCCCACATCTAATCCACCGGTTGTTTGTTCTAACCAGCTTTCTATTAATTGGTGAAGCGCGTGTATTCCCAGCATTGGTGAAATATCGGTGGTTTTCTAGAACTTTGTTCTGTCATATAATTCTGATGGTTCGTCGGTGTGACACTCCTGGGGCTTCCTCCTCACAAGCTGCTACAACTCACAATTGGTGTTACGTTCTTCAGGTCAATGTAACTGCAATTGGTGGAACTCTATAGTGATTGCTATGTCCGACTTGAAGTTGTTAGTGATGACACCTCGTCATCTTTTGTCGTGTTTGAAAAAGTGGGCGAGATCTTTTTGGAGTTCCTGCTAACCAACTATTCCTTCAAAATGGTAGCTTGAAAGATGCTCCAGCAGATAATATCCTTAAAATTCTAGGAATGACCCTCAAGTTTCATGCGAAAATCAAAATCAGCATGTATACAAGGAGCAAACCAGACTTCACTGTGGTAAAAATTGATCCAGCCTCCATAGATGTAAGTTCTCTTTTTTTAAATTCCACTTCATTTAATTTCTGGACTTCGTTGCCTTCTGTACAGTAGAGTATACTGATTTTGTTCCGTTTTTAATTTTATTAGTCTCGAGTTTGCTGTAGCATGTTAATTATCAAACCACTACCTTGGTTATCTTTGCTTTGTCTAGCACTCATACTCTACTTTTTTACATACTTATTATGTTATGTACTTCACATCCCCTGTGACCAATTTCCAGCTACTAAGTACTATATGCTTAAACTTTCTGTTTCAGGACTTACCCTCCACGTTGTAGAAGGCTTTCTCCACCCAATCTATTCATAGTGAAATTGAGAATGAGTTCTTCTCAAGTCTCAGACACACTATGTAATGAAGTTAAAAGCGCTGATGTGGATAAAACCAAACCATATCTATGAAAAGAAAGCAACCTATTGAATGAGAACTTGATAAGTTGTGGACTGATGTCCTCAAAGACTTTTATATTTATGTCTTTTTCCTGTTTCCTATCCCTTCTGGATAAAGACAGTACCAATCCAATTACCTAGGTGCTCCATGTGTTATACTTTCTCTGAATATTGAACTAATTATTGTGGGTTTGCTATACTTTGTATGATTTAGACTCTAAGGTGTGATGTTTATGTTTTACCTCATGCCTCTTGGTTATATTGGCATTACTTGATTAGTTTGTTTGGAGTAGTTTGTCTTACTAAACAGTTGGTCTTCCTAACCAGCTTCTTTGTTTCTTTTATTAACATGCATGAGCTATTGAGGCAACAATAATCTTTGCCTCAATCTCTAAATGGACAGAAGAATCAGGTACCTTTTGCACACTAATCCAAGATCTTGATACTTCCTATCTCAAAGGTGCTTCACACTTCCTCTCTGATTTCTACTCTTTTGTCCATGGAGTTTAAAAACCTGCTGCTTAAACTCCAATAAAAAAATTTATTCTGTCGGCAAACATTTCTCATTTTAATCGGAAAAAAAAACAGTAGGCTTTATCACTGAAGCTTTTTGCCATCTTCATGGACACATATTTACTCTTTTGTTATTCATATATTTCTTCGTCGCTGACTTCTGATTCTCAAAGGTTCCATATTCAGTATGTGTATAGTGTTCACGAACTAAGGGTTTGACATGTTTTTTCTATTTTTCAAGGTCATGATTACATCCTTCAAGACTTCATCTTATATTTATGTGTGGTTTGGTCACCTCAAAAAGCCAGTTTATCCAGCTTAGAATTCGTGATAACTTTATAGAGTGCGATACCTCATTTATATCAATTACTTTTAGAGCTATAACTCTTACCGTGATGCCAACCAATGACGATTAGCACTGTGACAAACATTTCACGGAAGCTAAAAAATCCATCTGTGGGAAACCCTTTAATTCCATGCTTACACTTCACTATGCATGCTTATGGGAAGCAAATTACATGTGTTTCTTACGTAGTAAACAATTAAAATCTAACAATATTCAATCTATTCTACTCATGCCAAGACTTGAGTTTATAAATTTCATATTCTACTTCATTGTAATTCTACCTATCCCAATGGCTCTGTTATCCTAAATTGCTAAGACTACCCGGCCAACAGGCCGGGCAATAGACTAGTACCATTATTATGACGTTTATTCAATCAAAATGAGAGAAATGAGAATAAATATGAGTGTATGAGACTATGAGTACATGTTAGTTTTTTGGTTTTGGTTTTTGGGATTTGATTTTTTATTTTTATTTTTTCATGCTTAATGGTTTGGTTAACCAAACCAAACCAAATTGACAGCCCTACTCCCGAGAGAGCGCCAAAGCTACTGCTTCCGCCGTATTCTTCGCCGCCGATTCCCGCGCCGTATTCATGGCCGTCAAATCGGTCCCGAACTCGTTTACTCTTCCGTTGATTTCTTTCTTGCTGCTGCTCTTGACTCGCTCTGACTCGGCGCCTCAACCCTTCAGGAGAGACCCAGGCCATCCGCAATGGCACCATGGCGCCTTCCACGATGTCAGAGAGAGCGTCCGATCCGACGTCCGCCGCATGCTTCACACTCGCGCCGAGGTTGCTTCTTTCTCACAACCTCTTTCTTCAGCTCTTGGTGGATTGAAATTCCTCGCCGTTGATTCTGTTCTGACTTGTCTCGTCGGAATTTAGGTTCCGTTTCAGGTCCCGCTGGAGGTGAACGTCGTTCTCGTCGGTTTCAATGGGGACGGAGGATATCGGTACAGCTTGGACGTGCAGAAACTGGAAGAGTTTTTGAAACTCAGCTTTCCGACTCATAGACCTTCCTGCTTAGAGACAGGAGAGCTTCTCGATATCGAGCATCACCTCATCTACAATGTATTCCCTGTAAGCGATTCTTTACTCGTCGGAGCCTAGGTGTGTGTATGATATACAGATGAACTCAGATTGATGAATAATTGACTACTGCAAACAGGCTGGGCAGCCGGAGATGATTGCTCTGGAGAAGGCATTGAAAGAGGCCATGGTTCCTGCAGGAACTGCTCGAGAGGTTTGATGCATGGGTTTTCAACTGAAATTGCTGAGACTGATTTTTTTTTTTTTACCAATAACGCTGGTGATTTTGGATGGATGGATGTCTGATATGGATACAATGTATATTAGACTGATTTTGGAAGAGAGGTCCCGTTGTTTGAAGTGGAGGCGACTGCTGTGGAGCCTATATTTCACAAATTCTATTCCTACATTTTTGACACTGATACCATGGGGTTCGCACAACATACAGAGCCTGATAGGCCCAATCCTGCTTCTATCTTTGTCGTCAACTTTGACAAGGTAAGGGTTTTCATGATTTGTGATGAAGATTTTGTCCTTTGATGATAGACTGAGTCAATGTGTGTTGGACTTTGGTGCTTAAGATACCCTTTTTCAGAACCATGTATGCTTTCTTCCATTCTTTTTGTAGTATTTGGCATGATTCGTTGATGGGCTTGCTTGGTCGTTTTTTTTTTTTTTTTTCCAGGTCAGAATGGATCCTAGGAACAAGGAGGTTGATCTTGATAAATTGATGTTTAACACAATTGATCAGCTGTCTGAAGAAGATATGAAGAAACAAGAGGGTGATTACATTTATAGGTATCGGTATAATGGAGGGGGTGCAACTCAAGTTTGGTTGAGCTCAGACAGGTATTATTTGATTGGATGATTTGTTACCTCTTTTGTTTTAGTGACCATGAGAAATGACTCAAGTTCCTAACTCAATTTTTAGCTGCATTCTTCACAAGTGACACTTTTAATCGTGGTTTTGGGGTGTAAATTTTGTATATGTAAATCAGTAAATGGCTTCAGGGTCCACTTGGATGGGCTAGTCATTTTGAGAAATGGTACATTTTCCCAATAATTTTCTGTAATCTGTCTTATACTTTGAGATTAATTCCTGTTGGTATGCAGGTTTGTAGTGATTGACTTGTCAGCTGGTCCGTGTACATATGGCAAGATTGAAACAGAAGAGGGAAGCGTCAGTACTAGAACAGTGCCGCGGATTAGGAATGTGGTACTTTCAAAAGGATCAGCTGTAGGCACCATCAGTGATCATTCTAGTCATGAGATTTTTGTTGGGCATCTTTCTTCTCTGATATCAACCACAGTTGAGCATGTTGTAGCTCCAGACGTCAGGTTTTTCAATAAGCTTTTCCTTCAATTAAATATATATGTTTCAGTTCTATCAATTGTAGTTTTGCTGTGGACCTGTGGGTTATTTTGAGCTGTATGTTGATGTGAGAACCATTGTTGTGTACGTTCTTTTAAGAATCTAATTGTTACTTGTAATCCTTCTATGTCTTAGGTTTGAGACTGCTGATCTGACAACAAGGTTGCTTATACCAATCATTGTACTTCAGAACCATAATAGATACAATATCATGCAAGCTGGCCATAACTACAGCATAGACACAACTGAGATTGAGTCAGAGGTAAGTCAATTTTGTTTGGAGGCGTTTTTCTTTCTTATGTTGAATTGGTTCGATACTTGAGGTTTCGTTGTGTTCATGTAGGACGACTGAATTGGAACCTTTTCTTTGTTATTCTTCACATTCTTGAAAATCTTTATGAATGAATTTTTATGACAAACTTTCTTCATCTCTTTTCTATAGCTGAGGAAGATGGTTCACAATGAGCAAGAGGTTGTAGTTATTGGTGGTTCACATGCATTACATCGACACGAAAAGTTGGCCATTGCTGTTTCCAAAGCAATGCGTGGTCATTCACTACAGGAGACTAGAAAGGATGGACGCTTCCATGTTCACACCAAGACATATCTGGATGGTGCTATGCTCAAAGAAGTGAGTTGACTTTCACTTCAACAGTGCTTCTTTCTTAAAAAAATATATTCATTAATGCTATTGTTTATTGAGTTATGTGTACATTGTACATAATGGAATCAACTCTATGCAAATTGTTCTCTAATCCTGGGGTCAGTCTAAAAAATGGAAAAGCTACTAACAGGAATTTTTTTCCAGGAGATGGATTGTATTAAACATGGTCAGGACCCATATGCTCCATGGACTTTAAATTGTTCTTGACACTGCCTCGTTACAGGAGATGGAGCGGTCTGCTGATGTGCTTGCCGCTGGTTTACTCGAGGTGGCTGACCCCTCCCTGTCTAGTATATATTTCCTCAAACAGGTATGCTGCTGAAGTATATGGCAGAAGAAAAATAGAACTGATTTTATCCTCTCTAGTATAAGCTTTTGTCATCTCATTATCCGGTTTACATAGCAATATAATGAATCGTGTATTTGGGCAGCACTGGGATGACGAATCTGATGGCTCTACTGATTCCATTCTTAAACATAAACCTCTATGGGCTGGTTACGAATTTAACCGTGGCAAGAGAAAGGAGAAGAAGCAAGGAGACATCTATCGAACTTACGGGACGAGAGTTGTTCCTGTGTAATTAAACTTTTGTGCCTGCTCTTTTCATTTCTCTTATTGCAGGCAAGCTGCATCAATGTTCTTATTCTTTCTGTTTTAGTTAACCACCCTCACAAAAATGCTTAGGATGTACTCTCATATTGCAGCTTCGTGCTATCGTTGGCTGATGTGGATCCTCAACTTATGATGGAGGAAGAGAGCCTCGTTTGGACTAGCAACGATGTTGTCATTGTGCTTCAACATCAAGCCGATGCAATACCTCTCAGGTTTATGAACTCGAATTTGTAGCTGTGCCTTTAATTCAATCCTTGTGTGAAGTTTCTCATGGATACCTTCCTTTGCAACAGCTATGTTTCAGAGATTGATAGAAGGACAGCCCTTCCATCTCTGTCGCAGCGTCACATAATGGCTGGCCTCGCATCCGCCGTGGGTGGGTTGAGTGCCCCATATGAGAAGGCGTCCCACGTGCATGAGAGGCCAGTTGTCAATTGGCTGCTTGCAGCTGGATGTCACCCATTTGGCCCGTTTTCCAACAGTTCTCGCACCAGTAAACTGCTACAAGATGTTGCATTGGTAAGAGAAAACTAACTACTTCATACTCCCTTGACTTTCAATCAAATACTTGTATTTGTTATCTTTGTTTCATGGTCGTTGAGAATTTTAGAAACTGAAATTTTGTTTTAGGGGAAGGAAGAGAAAAGGGTGTGTTTGGAAATGGTTTTTCTTTAGTGATGCTGCTTTGAATATAGAGTATCAGGAAAAATTAGAGGGAGCAAACACCATCTGATAACAAGACCATAACATTTACTTAACATGGTTTATACAATGCACGTTGCGATTGAGTTCTGAAGCTAATTTTTCCTCTCTTTTCTGTTTCGCAAGAGGAACACGATCTATGCTCGGGTGGATGCTGCACTTCATAAGATCCGTGATACATCAGAGGTGATTTGTACTGATATTTCCTATCTATCAGCTTCATACTGAATCCAAATTAAACGAGCTTTTTCTTGGCAGATTGTCCAGATCTTTGCATCGGAGCACCTGAAAACCCCGCTGGGGGAGCCTGTGAGAGCCAAGAAGAACAAAACAACTACCGAACTATGGTTGGAGAAGTTCTACAAGAAAACAACCAACCTGCCTGAACCCTTCCCACATGAACTGGTTGAACGACTTGAGAAGTACCTCGACGTAAGTATAACAATCTCTTCCGGGTCAATTACATAAACCGTCTCTAAGATTTGAGATCATTAAGAAATTGTTCATTGTGTTTGATCTTTAACAAATTTATCACTGAAGTTTCAAATGATTAAGGAAACGGTTAGTTTATCGGTCGAGTTTTTTGGTTAAATTGCCCAGATCTGTGTTTTGCCAAAGCAATTATAAAAAATGTCACATATACGTTCTAATTAGTTATCTGGTACGGAGAGGAAGACATTAGAGTATTTTCACATAATATGAGTTTGAATCGGATTGTGTATAATGTAGATGGGTCTTCTTTGTCAGCTAATTACATGCACTATGGCACGGTAGTTGCGAGACTAGGATTCTGTTGGAGTTCAAGTTTCAGTGACTAATTTGCTATTGATCCCAATGCCACGCTTTCTAAGCTCTTAAGTTTTAACACATTTTGTCAACTCCTTGACGAACAGAATCTCGAGGAGCAGCTTGTCGACCTGTCATCTTTGCTGTACGATCACCGACTGCAGGATGCACACTTGAACAGCTCGGAAATTCTCCAAAGCTCGATCTTCACGCAACAGTAAGTCCCCATGCGGAAGGAACTCATTATTCCATAACCGTATCTCGGCTGAAATTCAGAGAATTCTGTGCTGACTTCTCTTCCAATGCCAGGTACGTGGAGCATGTGTTGTCGAGCGAGAAGGCGAAGATGAAGTGTTGCAAGATCGAGTACAAGTATCCGTATCACTCGTCGCAAACTTACGTCTATGGAGGGATCCTTCTGGCTGGGTTCGTAGTGTACTTTCTTGTCATTTTCTTCTCCAATCCAGTCCGGTGAGTTATACAATCCACCTCTTTCTTGACCACAGCTACCAGAACCTGCTGGTAGCTTGTGTGCATTATTATCTTGGAGAAAGGAATTTTGGTCTTGTTTCCGCCTGTTTTACAAGTTGTAACTAACCTTCCATATACGAACTCCACATTTGTCGCTTAGATCTACGCAATAAATAAAAGGCAAATGAGAAAATTTGAAGCCCTATTTCAAATTTCCTATATCCAGAGTGAAATTGAGAATAGAAATGACATGTTGGTCTACATGATAATTGTCGAAAACGTATTGATTTTGCGTGCTTAATGTGATTTTCACATATAGTTTGCTCAATAAAAATTGATAGAACTTAAGGTTGTACCAGTCCCTGAGAGACGATACCCGGACTTTCCGGTTTTCTACGAGATAGGATTGAGGCATTACGCTTTTGACCTACCAAGTTTTTGGCGCCGTTGCCGGGGAACTGCCATACCTTATTTTTGTTGATTTTTGTGAGTGAACTATTTTGATCTGGGTGTTAGTGTGCAAAAGAATTTTTAGGTTTATCCTCCTCGTGCATGCCTAGGAGGACGACCGGCGATTTATTGCCACTAGATCCGGAGATCGAAAAGACCTGCCGACAGAATAGGAAGCAGGTCAAGTTAGGGAAGCAGCCTACCACATCCACAACTCCTAGGCCTTCCCTAACTCGGAATCGTCAACCGAGAAGGCAGGTGTCACCACCAATCATCCCTACACCACCGACACCGCCGACGCGCGTCATCGAGCCTGTCATCATGGCAGAACAGGATCGTTCGATCAGGGCTCGCTTGAATCGAAGGACTGGAGCCCGAGCTTCATATGCTGTCATTCCGGCTGGGGATGCACATGGAGATTACCCCAGCATCATCAACATGATCACCAATGGATATACTTTCTCTGGGGATAGCAGTGAGGATCCTCACGAGCATCTTCGCCGGTTTGCGAGCATATGTGATACGATGAAGAGCCCTACAGTGTCTGATGATGCAATTCGCCTACGGATGTTCTCATTCTCTCTGATATGGAATGCATCACACTGGTTCCCAAACTTAACACCCCGTTCCATCACGACATGGGGTCAGCTTGAGAAGGTATTTCTGGATAAATACTTCCCACCTGCCTTGGCAATGAAGAGGCAAGAAGAGATTGTTACTTTTAAGCAGGCTAATGATGAGAGTCTGACTGAGGCATGGGAGCGCTATAAGGGGCTATTAATGAGATGCTCAAGCCATGGTCTTGAAGATTGGAACGTGATCATTATTTTCTTCAATAGAATCAGAAGGGAGTTCCGGGATGCCCTGAATAATGCTTCCCGAAATGGTTTCACAAGAATGGAAGCACCAGAAGCATATGAACTGGTAGAGAAGATATGCTCTGAAGATACTGAATGGGGTAGTGAGACCGGCATTCGAAGAAGAGGAGGCTTGCATGAGATAAACAGAGTTGCGAGTCTAGAAGCCAAGATAAATGCTAAACTGGATTCCAAGTTTGATGCACTCGAACGAAGGCTGGCTAAGATGGCTCTTGGTAGACAAGAGGAGGTTGCTTATTGTGAATTATGTGAAGGTGCTCATCATAGGGATCTATGTCCACTGGTAGCTGATCAGTTGGAAGATGTGCACTATATCAACAATCAGCGAAATCAAGGCCAGGTTGGTATGTATTCAAATACCTACAACCCTCAATGGAGACATCACCCCAATATGTCATGGTCAAACAATAATCCAGCTGGTGTTCGAAACATCCCACCTTCTGGTTTTCAACAGCAGCAGCCTCAACCAGAGAAGAAGCCCCAGCTGGAGGAGTTGATTTTGGCTCATATGCAGAAAACAGACAATAATTTCAAGGGTCTGGATCAATTTGTCACTCAACAGCTAGCCATCAACAATAATATGCAATCATCTATGCTAGCTATGGAGAGGCAAATAGGCCAGATGGCTCAAACTTTGGCAGATATTCAAGGTAGGATTCCCGGGACTTTACCAGCAAATACTGAGAGGAATCCGAAGGACGCCATGGTTGTAGCCATCACCTTGAGGAGTGGAAAGGACTTGGAGGGTCCAGAGAGTTCAAGGAAGTCAACAAAATCTAAAAAGAAGGAGTTGCAGAGGTAGAGGATGAAGAAAGTGCAAAAGCTGAAAAATCTGACTTGCGCAGGCAAACTGCATGCAATCTGCCTGTGCAAAAGCATGCTGCCCGTGTACCTCAAAAAATGGAAAAATTGAAGAATGAAGAGGTAAAGCCTTATGAACCTCCCGCGCCATTCCCTCAAAGGTTAATGAAGCCCATGGAAGACCCAAACTTCAAGAAATTTGTGAATATCTTCAAGCAACTCCAAATCAACATACCGTTGGCGGAGGCACTTGAACAGATGCCTACATATGCTAAATTCTTAAGGGAGTTGCTGACAAAGAAGCGCAAATGGGCTGATCTGGAGAAGGTAACCCTTACTTCTGAATGTAGTGCCGTGATTCAGAATAAATTACCAGAAAAGAGGGATGATCCGGGCAGTTTCACCATTCCATGTGTTATTGGAGGTAGAGAGTTCGATAAATCAATTTGTGATCTTGGAGCAGGAATTAATTTGATGCCATACTCAGTCTACAAGAAATTGGGATTGGGAGATGTTCTTAAACCTACTCGGATCACACTCCAATTGGCTGGCCGATCAGTAAAAATCCCAAAGGGAGTGGTGGAGAATGTATTGGTGAAGGTGGGAAGTTTATTCTCCCTATAGATTTTGTGATTCTGGAGATGGAAGAAGATCAGGGAGTGCCTCTAATTCTCGGCAGACCTTTTCTAGCAACTGGTGATGCACTCATCGATGTTGGGAGAGGCAAGTTGACATTCCGAGTAGGTAAGGAGGAGGAAATTTTTAATGTCTTTCAAGTTGATCATAATCACGATGCAATTGATGACCTTGAAAGTGGAGCTCGAGAAAGGAAAAATTCCTCTTCATGATAGTGGAACAGCTGAAGTATCACATGCCCTAGCAACTCAAAGTCTGAAATCAAAGCAAGGGCAGAAATCCTTGCTAGATCACCTCAAGTATAGATATTTGGGTAAGGATTTCAATCTTCCTGTCATTATTCCTTCTTCACTAACATTGAAACAGGAAGAGTACTTGCTTGAGGCACTGCAGTACCACCTACGCCTCACTAAAGGGTCTAACATGCCAGCTAAGAAGGTCATACCAAATTTCGCACACCTGGCCCTGCAGAGGTGACTCATATGTTGGATGGAGGGTATGCGTTCTATCATTGCTCGGGAGGGTATTATGGATACCTTTCCATACCCATTGGTTGAAAGCTCCATGAACGTCAGGCTGAGGACGTTAAACAAGCGCTTCTTGGGAGGCAACCCAAGGTAAGTTTTCTTTTCTTTTCTTTATTTTTCTTTTTAGTTGTGTCAAACCCGTGCATGTTTAGATTAGGAGTTGAACATTAGGGACAACGTTCCATCCTGAGTGTGGGGTGGTGAGTCTTAGTGTTGTTTGTCCCTGTTGCATGTGGTATAAAAAAAAGTTAAAAAAAAAATTGACATTGGTGAGTCTTAGTGTTGTTTGTCCCTGTTGCATGTGGTAAAAAAAATCCAAAAAAAAAATTTTTGTGTGTTCCTTTAGTCATGTGGTCGGTAAAAAAAAATAAAAAAATAAAAAAAAATTTGCCATTAGGTTGAGCACAGTGTGTAAAAAGCAGGCTACCTGTGCAAAGCTAATGGCTAAAAAATACCTAAAAATCAGAAAAATTAAAAACAAAACCTTGTACTCTTATGGTAACATGATGTGAATGACCGTGATGCCTTGAAAATGAGATTGTGCTTAAATGAAATCATCAAAGTCACCCCACTAGTGTTGAATTGAATGGTTCTTCATAATGAGCTTAAATGTTTTGACTGACTTGATATGCTTTGAATGAGCAACTCTTTTAGCAACATTTTCTTTTGTGAGGATAGTGTAATGACTTTTGGTGAAGTAGTTAGGTGGAGAACATTGACCATTCGACATGTTTGGATACCGTGCTTACTTGCATCAATTGTGAGCTTTTGATTTTGTAACGAGTCTCTTTGTTTTGATGGTTTTATGATGGGGTGAACTGTATCTTTATAAATGAGAAAACACTATCTGACAAGTAAAATATAAGAAAGTTGCCATAACAATTAAAGTGTGGGTAAAAATGCCAAAATCGTGTGAGGCAATCACTCATTGCACATGGGGATGAGCAAAAATTCAATTGAGAATCGGTTCGCGACCGTACGATGTTGCTTATCAAGTACGATCCCCAGTTGAGTGAAGTGCCATTTGAGGATGTGTAGTGACCCTCCACACGGACCGAGGATAAGGAGTTAAAAGAAGCCCTTATGTGAGTGCTAAGAAGCAGAAATTGCTCTTACTCGGTCACCGGTAGTAAGAAACAAATCCCACTTGTACTAAATACGACTTCTCGGCAAGCAAAAGCAGAAAGAGAGAAAGCCTCTCCTTGTCATAAAAGGTAGTGAAGTGCTTAAAGTTAAAATCATGTTTGCGAAAGGCTTTCCCCATTAGTTTTTGAGACTCATGCTTCATTAATTGCTTATGATTGGTGTGAGTAAGCCAGATTGTCCTCACGAGATATGCACCTCACTGATGTGGTTAGATTCTCCTAATGACTTTTGCACCATAAGTTGTTAATCACCCGCTACTGACGACCTGAATTGAGTGTTGCTAATTGAGTTTTTGGTGGATTTGAGTCAGTCAATGGTAATGGTTGCAAAGAACTTGAGTGTGGGGTGAAAGGTATGACCATGAAAGCACAACTCGTCCGTTGAGAAAGAAACTACTGATTACAACAAGAGTACAAGGAAATTTTGTGTTTTGCTTTGAGTGTTGAGTCTGTAATGTGTCATTGTTTTGGATGATTATGTGTTTGTGTTGTTTGAGTCGTTGCTTAGGGACAAGCAAGTATTGAGTGTGGGGTTGTGATAATTGTCGAAAACATATTGATTTTGCGTGCTTAATGTGATTTTTTCATCATATGTTTGAGACCTATAATACTTGTTTGAGGTCCAACTAAGCCTGGAATGGTTATAAAACCATTACCATCAAGTGCCAAATGTTTTATATATTTCAGGTAAATGAAACAAGAAATTTGCATTGGGGATAGAATAATTCAAGTGGACTGGATGTACATTGGACCGGAACTTACTGAGGAGTTGAACCGGGATTGGACTTGGGTGGAATTCTTTTTGGGACGGGACAGGAATTCTATTTGGCGGAACGAAGAGGCAGCGGAGAAGTAGCACAGCGCAGCACAGGGGATCGCGATCAGAGCAACGGGAAGAAAATCTCAATATTCTTTTCCTTTTGTTTTGATTAGTGACGTGATTATTATAAACATGATTATATCTTTTGATTTCGTCATGAACTAAACCCCAATTTCTGGGGGAAACACCATAGGATGTAGCTATTTCTTGATTTGATGGATTGATTTATGATTCTTTTCTTCCAATCTCTATTGCATGAAATTTCTCAATGCTTTGTGTTGACTGGCCACCAATACAATGATTTGTAGTTAATTAGGTTATTAGCGACAGTGAAACCCTATTAACTGAACCTGTTTCATGTGACATAGTAACTTATCAAAGCGACAGTGGATTAAATAAGGTGCTATGCGGTCTTAAAGATGATATCGATCTTCAGACTATATAGTTAATTCATTGAGCTACGACAGTAGGATTTGGATTGATTATCTAGTATGTAGTAATTCCCGACAGGGATAGCTAGCACTTTCGTGATATCCTGGCTGTAGAGATATGGATTAAATTGATTGGAATATGTGAATTAATCTGGATAGGATAGGTAGTGAATTCCGGTGTTTCTCCCAGAGCTTTCTCCCATTGAATTAAACCCGACATTTTAATTTGCTTGTTTTGTTTAATTACTTTGCTAGTAGATCATAGTTTCATCTCATTAAACATTTTCACATATAGTTTGCTCAATAAAAATTGATAGAACTTAAGGTTGTACCAGTCCTTGAGAGACGATACCCGGACTTTCCGGTTTACTACGAGATAGGATTGAGGCATTACGCTTTTGACCTATCACTACACAATTACTTTTTTTTTATTCTTTAAAAGGACACTTACTAGGATTCGAACCATGACCACTTCAAAGAAAAGTAAAGACCATAACCAATCATACTAGAAACATTTGTTGTATCTTTTTAAATTAAAAACATATTATCACAGAGAGGAAAAAATCCTTCCCCCATTTCAAATTTCCTGCTCCAGGAGCGTTTGTAGGAAGGGTAGAATAGGGAGTGTCAATTTTTTTCTTTTTTCTTTGTAGAACTGGCCAACTTACCGTACACATGCGGATTTAAACGGGTCCAAGAGTGTCAATTTTTTTCTTTAAGTCCTTTTATTTCTCCGTGGTGGTAAAATATATATGAAAAGGCAAAAACAATACTCCTTTTTATTGCTAAAAAGAAAAACATTTAACAATAAACTAATGCATGAATTCTAATGGGCTAACCGCTAATCATAAAATAAAAGAGTTGAATGGGGCCTGACCTGCACGAGATTTGCCCATCAAATAAAACAAATGAACATCATGGGTTTGCCATTCTAAAACAAGCTATTTTCTCTAGCATAATATATAGTATGCTATTATTTTATATCTTAGTGGCTAAAATATAATGTATTATAAAGTTACTCAATGATTCAACCTCGACCAACCCAAGTAGTCCAATTTTTATCATTTCAAATATATTTTATATACTTATTTGATATCATAATGATTAAATTATAGTGTATATTATAGGGAATCGTTTGGAATTTGTTAGTAAAAACTAAACAGAAAGATCTATATGGTTATTTTTAACACTAAAACGATCCTAAACATTTTCAGTTTCCTTTCAAAATTCTATAGTTTTATTCCCGAATAAGTGATGTGCAAATGGCGAATTGCAGTCATCTCTTTTCTTTCATTATTTTTTATTTTCAAATAGAAATTTTAAAAGTAAAGAATAATTAGAGTTTGGCATGGGTCGGTCAAACATGTTGAATTTCAAGTTTTTGCCCGTTTTGATCAAGTCTAACTTATAATCACATGGTTCCCTGATACCCGATAAAAATCTCAATCTAAACCAGTTTGGCAGGTGAGTCCGTGTTTACCACCATTTTCTAAGGATACAGGAACGGTGGTTCGTATCCCAAATCGTGTTGCTCATTCTTGATTTCTTTAGATTTTATCACGGCTTGGCAAAAAACCAGAAAACACAATGATGACAAGATGAAATTTTTATAAAGCAAATTAATCGGCCAACGAGCCGAGTAAAAGCTAGCAACGATTGTGAGATGCTCATTTCCCGAAAACCCGCGGGATAGGCGATTTTTTATTCGATTTTCTGGAATTCAGTTTCTATAAAACTTACTCCACCTCATCATATTACCAGAAACAATATTGTCTTACAAGGTAATAGATACTTGATTTTGGTTAATAAGGCTGATTTTTGATTCGTTGCATCATTCATGGTTAGCTACTAAAATTTACTATTTTTATCACGTGTTTTCCAAAAAAAATCTATACAACACAATAAGTTATACACCCCATTACATTATCTAATTTCATACCTCACCTTCCTCCGACCAAATGGCCGGGGCCAGACTAGTTACAATTAGAGCAAAATGTCGTCATTTTTCCTTGCAAACATCAAGGAGTTATGTGGGAAGACGCTTCAAAAATCAAAACTTATAGAGGGGGTGGCAAAGGAATTCGATTTATGGATGATTGGTAGATTAATGGATCAAATGGATTGGTGAATTAAATCATAGATTCAAATGACATCTAATAAGTGGACCAATATGTATATTTTGAAATATTTAGGTACTACAAGATCATCTTAAAAAAAATTAAATACTAATTATTAGATAAAAACAAAATTATTTTTTAATAAGGTAAAAGGGTAAATACTAATTATTATCCTAATCTTTTCCTCATTCTTTTTTATAAGCCAAACCTATATTTTACTAATAATTAGCAAAAATATTTGTAATGTATGGTATGAGAAAATCACCCTATCCACGTCAGCCTTGGAGAGCTCTCCTTAATTTTCAGAGTTAGGGTTGTCTTTTCTCTTTTTTTTTTCGTGTTTTTTTTTTTTTTTTTTTTTTGCTAAGACGCGGTTACCACCAATAATAATTAAATTATTGTTAAACAACGTGACGCTTCTATTATTCAAACTAAAACATTTTAATTAGGATTTTTTTCCTTTTTGCTAAGAAACGGTTACCACCAATAATTCTTTTGTTAACTAACGTGGCTCTTATATTATTATTTTTAATAACCCTTCTATTCTTCAATTCAAACTAAAACGTTTGCAGTTTTTTTTTTATTTTGTAATTTTCCTTGCCTTCTGCTAAGAACAGTTACCCGCTATTATTTTTTAATCAAGTTTATCCTTCTACTCTTCACAGTTTAATTAATGAATTTAAAAAATAAATTGGAGAACCAGATGTTCATCTACAGATCTTTTGGGAACGTGTGGCTTTATTAATTAGGCTTTCCATGATAAATTTTGAAGATGGCTTCTTAAGCCATTTTTAACCCGATTTTTGCTTTCATGTTTAATATTATCTTTTTAATAAGAATTTTATATTAATAATAACATATATACAATATATAATTTTATTCTATAAATTTTATAGATTTCAAATACAACATAAAATATTATAATTTTGATTTAGACTCAATAAGCCGCTTTAAAATGTACATACAAGTAAGAAAGACGAGAAAATTTCATTCTTGACTTCAAGTGAATAAATGTTTGAAACATTTTTAATTAATGATCACATATATTTATAGATTTAATTGTAAAAATATAAATACTACCTTCCCAAAGGGCAGGGTCTATGCTAGTGAAAATATTAGTCATTTTTACATTATTGTTAATAATTTTGTAACTCTATTCTTAGTTAAAATACGTAATTTTTTGAATGTTGACATTCATTTGTCTATTCCAAGTTAGTATGATGTTGCAAAGTCAATATTACTGACAAAATCGCTAACAAAAAGTTAAGATTAGGTTCGGCTAATAAAAAATAATGCGGGAAAGGTTTACTAATAATGAGTATTTATCCTAAAATAAATTTTTGATATAAGTTGTAAAGTATAAAAAGTATAAGTACTAAACTATAATTTGTAAACAATTCATGAATCCACCAATCAATCAAATTAGATTTGAATCAAATGAAGGGACGGGATACGGTGACAACTCCTAAGGGGGTTGTCAGATTCACAACCAAGGGTATTTTGGGTATGAAAAAAAGGAATATATTAATTACCTTTTGTGTATTAATTATATTGGGAATTAAAAATACATATTAAATACAATTTTTTTTGAAATTTAAATCCTATACATTAATATCTCTATTTAGCGGCCACTCCGCATCGACGGACAGACTTTTTCTCCGGCGAATTCTCTCCGGCAGACTCCCTCCGGCAACCTAAAAAAATGTACCAGTGCGTTAAAAAGTGTACCAATCCATTAGTCTACTGGTAATTAATATACTAGTGCTAGTGGTACGCTACTAATGCGTTAAAAAATGTATCAGTACTAGTGGTACGCTACCAGTACAACGCTACCACTACCATTGGTAGCGGTACCAGTAGAGAATAAATGTACCACTAGCACTGGTAGCGCTACCACTAGCATTGATAGCGATACCAGTAGAGAATAACACAAAAATAACATATGATAGTGGTACCAGATGATAGTAGTACGCTACCACTACCAGCTACCTTATGGTAGTGGTAGGTACCACTATCACTGGTACGCTACCAGAAAAAAAAATGGTACCAATAAAAAACCAGATCTAGAAAAGGGGAGTCGGTGACGGGAGAGAGAGGTAGGGGAAGAGGGTGACCTCGTGACGGCGGCAGTGGTGGGGGACGAAGGGCGGCGAGAGGGCTCCGACGGGGAGAGGATGGTGGTGACGAGATGCGACGAGCCTGCGGTGACGAGATGGCGGTTGAGATGGCGGTTGACGCTCGACAGGCGGCTCAAGGCGGAGGGGCGCCGACGCCGGCGGTGGAGATGGCGGAGGGCTCTGCGAGAGAGGGAGGAGAGACAATGATGGCTACAGGAGAGAGGGAGGAGAGAGAGAGGGATGATGGAGGAGTTAGGGTTTTTTTCTTTTTATATGGTAGGGTGAATGATTGGGTGTGGTAAATTTTTACCCTTCTAAAAATTTCATTCCTTTAATCTTAACCGTTAAATTAAAAAAAGAAAAAAGAAACAGGAGAGAGAACGTATCCAAAGGCTATGAAGTGGGTTGTCACCGTATCCCATCCCTCAAATGAAGGGTATTAGTTGGACTTTTAAGTTAATAGATTGGATTTGTTAGTAAACGGTATATGATCCACGATTGAAACTCTCCCAACAACTCGAGTTATTGGGATCAACTGGTTCTTGACATGGTATCAGAGCCTTCTGTGACCGTGAGGTCTTGTGTTCGATTCCCGGTGACCCCATCTGTTTCTGTTAAGCACACGGTGTTCGGAAATTTAATTTGGATTGATTTAAAAAAAAGTGAATAGATTGGATAAAATAGAAAATTGTTACTGAAATCCACAAAGGCAATTTTGTCGGCTTAAGTGACGACTACGATGAGTAACGACGCTGTATGAGGAGGAAAGAAATAATAGCTCCATTCCTTGACATATATTAAAGAGAGCGGATAGTATAACAACACCATTAATGTTGTTATAGTAATATCATAATTCATTAAGGGTAAATGTAAAGTTACACAAAAATAAATATAAATCTAAAATTTAATAGATTGGATTGATTTAAACAAAAAGTAAATAGATTGGATAAAATATAAAATTGTTACGTGAAATCCATAAAATGAAACCTCACGTGTTGCATTTGCCTCACAAAAGTCTCCATTAGTTTGGTAAATCAACATCTATTTAGGGTTGTTTGGAAGTTGCGATTGTTTGTTGAGATTGTCATTATGCATGTATTGTTTACAATGCATCGTTTTTAGTTTTTTTAGCAGAAACAATACATGGATTGTTTCTATGATGTGACAGAAACTATCACTCATTTTGAGTGATTGTTATATCTCAACTTTTAGTTGTGTTTGTTGAGATTGTTGAGTTGAGATTGTTTTGTCTCAGTTTTTAGCTGATGCGATATACACAATCACACATACCAAACGTTGTATTTTACAATGCATCAAATTCGACAATACATGTATAATATTATACATGCATTCTCAACAATACATCTATTTAACAATCGCAACTTCCAAACGACCTAAGTTCCCATGATAGAAATCATTCAGCGGTATCTGGTCTTTTATGCAATTAAATCTACATCTCATGGCATCAAAGCTTCAAGACCAAACGTTGAATGTTGGCTACAGGCAATTTTGTCGGCTTAAGTGACGACTACGATGAGTAACGGCGCTTTCTGAGGAGGAAAGGAATGACAGCTCCATTCCTTGACATATATGAAAGGGAGCGGATAGTATAACAACACCATTAGTGTTGTGATAGAAACTAGTATTTAGCATTTTAATTACTTATTGGATTATTATTATTTCGGATTATTGGGACTATTTCGGGAATTGGGGAATAAATTATATGTCGGGTAGCAGTAGGGAATTAGCCAATTATTATATAAATTGCTTGTAAGTGGGATTAGGCCACTAAGTAAGATTAAACCTAATAAACCCTAATCTTTCCTCTCTCCCTTCTCCTCTCCCTCGACTGAACTTTCCCCTTCCACTCTCTTCTGCACTCAAATCATTAGGGTCATCCTCTTATTGACCCCTAGTCCAAATCCCTAGATAGAAATCTGTGCAGCGGGTTCTATCAATTGGTATCAGAACCTGGTTCTTGGGTTCGTGAGCAAACGAAGAACGACGATCGAGATGGTGTCAACGAAGTCTATACAAGCAGCTGAGAAGGCAACCAAGGCGGCGCAAGAGCTGGTCGGGATCGCGACCACAACGGGGCTGCCGGTGACCAACCAGGAGGCGCCGACTGGGCTCAACCCGCGGCCAAGGCTCCGAGGAACGGAGGCCGCTGGTGACAGGCGGAGACGGCCGGGTGGCTGCACGCGTGGAGGCCGCGGGTTTCGCCACCGGCGGAGGGAGCGGGGCGAGCGTGGAGCCGACGGCTGCAGGTGGTGGAGGCGGCGCCGGGGCGACCGCGGAACCGGCGGCGAGTGGTACGGGCAGCGGGGTCGCCGGGGACGGCGGGGTCGCGGGCGGCGAGGCGGCGACAGCGGCGGCTCCGGTGGCGGCGGCATTGGCGGCGCCGGTAACGGCGATGGGGTCGACGCTGGTAACGACGATGGGGGCGGCACTGGTGATGGTGGTTGCAGGTGACCAGGCGGCAGTGCAGGAGCGTGTGGGCCACGACAGGCTAGGTCAGGGTGTTGGGCCTAGGCTTTTGCCTACACCGTCGGCCCAAGATCAAATTAAACCGAACCGAAATCGAATTAATGCTATTCGGTTCGGAATTCGGATTGAAAATATGGATAGTTCGGAAATCAGGGTTCTCTCAACCGAACCGAATTTCCGAATTTTCGACCGAAAAACCGAAATACTATAATTGCAAGCTCCAAATGGTGGATTTTTATGTTTGTAGTTGTTTTAAGACTTAAATATTTGAAATGCTTTATGACTTATGTGTTGAAAAGTTTGATTTTATCATTGATGATGCATATAATTACATATTTATTGTTTATATTAGGGGTAAAAAATAATTAAAAAGTGAGAAGATACAAGTAACTTCACAAATTCGGTTTTGCTTGAAAAACCGAACCGAATTATAATTCGGTTTAAACCGACCGAACCGAATTATAATTCAGTTCAAATTCGGTTTGAGGTTTTGGAGAATTCGGGGACCCGGTATTCATAATTTTGGTTCGGTCGAAACCGAACCGACCGAATGCCCACCCCTACGTGGCACTATGGCTCGGGTAATCCGAGCAGAGGGTACCCGGACCTGCAGGGAGGCTACCAGGGGTACTATGGCTCGGGAATTTCGAGCAGGGGGCATGGATTCTCATATGGGCAGCCATGGAGGGCCCCGGGCAGTGACAGGTATGGGTCGTGCTATCCTAGTTATGAGGGTGCTAATGGGATAGTCTTTCGTGCTAAGCCTCCTACCATTGAGTTTCCGAAATTCAAGGGGCAAGAGGATGCAGGACTCTGGTTGTATGCAACTGAGAGGTGGTTTCAGAACCACCCAATTTCGGAGGAACGGAAGGCCTACCAGGCGTCCTTCCATTTAGAAGGAGATGTGCTCCAGTGGTGGGAGTGGATGGAGAGATCGTATACGGCCGCTGAGACTTTGATCACCTGGGCCATGTTCCAGGAGGAGCTCCGTTACCAGTTCGAGAAATCAGAAGGATGGGCACCGGAGCAGCTTGCGAAGCTGAAACAGACTAGCACGGTGGCTGACTACCGCGCAGAGTTCTTCAAGCTGAGCAACCAGTGCAAAGGAGTGCCGGAGGACACCCTGGTGGGGCTATGCATGGCGAGTGTCAAGCCCGAGATAGCAGCAGCAGTTCGAGTATTCGAGCCAGGTTCTTTGAAAGCTGCTTTTTGTCTTACAGGTCACAAGGAGGAAGAACTTGCCAGCTGGAGAAGTACTATTGGCCGTTACACTAGGCCAAGTGGAGGGGGCAGCAGTAGTGGAGGCAATGGAGGAGGAGCCGCGGCGGGAAATGCAGTAGGGGCAAGCACCGGGGGCGGGAACCCTGCACCAGTGACCAGGGGAGGGCCTCGGTCCATACCAAAAGGGTTCTACCGGCTCTCACCGGCCGAGATTGAGCATAAGAGGTGGGAGGGCAAGTGCTTCAATTGTGATGGCCGATTCACCATCGGTCACCAGTGTTCGAAGCCGGATTTGATGATGCTAGTTGGGCGATGGGAGGATGAAGCAGTGGACGAGGCAGAGGACGACGAGCATGGCGAGAAGGAGACCCAGTGAGTAGAGGACCAACCTTGAGGACAAGGTTGTTTTCCGAAGGAAGAGGGGATGATAGAAACTAGTATTTAGCATTTTTAATTACTTATTGGATTATTATTATTTTGGATTATTGGGACTATTTCGGGGATTGGGGAATAAATTATAGTCGGGTAAGCAGTAGGGAATTAGCCAATTATTATATAAATTGCTTGTAAGTGGGATTAGGCCACTAAGCAAGATTAAACCTAATAAACCCTAATCTTTCCTCTCTCTCTCCCTTCTCCTCTCCCTCGGCTGAACTTCTTCTCCCTTCTCATTCCTTTGGCTGCCGAGCAGCCCTGCTCCTCTCCCTTCCCATTTCCAAACTTCCCCCTTCCACTCTCTTCTGCACTCAAATCACTAGGGTCATCCTCTCATTGACCCCTAGTCCAAATCCCTAGATAGAACTCTGTGCAGCGCGTTCTATCATGTTGTTATAGTAACATCATAATTCATTAAGGGTAAATGAGTAAAATTACACCAAAAAAATATAAATATAAAATTATTCAACCTCCCTCTTCCTCGCTTCTACCGCTTTCACGTGAATCCTGGTTGGAGACGACTCAGACCAGAGCATGCACTGGTTTCCTTCTTCCTGGTCGCCACTCGCAGGCGATGCTCTGCTTCTTCCGGGTCGCCACTCGCAGGCGTTTCTCTCCTTCTTCTTCCCGGTCGCCACTCGCATGCAAAGGATCATAGAGCTTTGTGTTTGCTCTCTTTGGAGAATGGGAGGTCAATCTGCTGACGGAGAACGGAACATCGGCGCCGACCTCTGCTGACGGCAACTCTAACGTCGAACAAGGGAGTCAATCTGCCATCGACGGAAATAGGGTGACTTACTCAACGACGCACTCGGAGGAGAGCTACGGCGGAGGCGGAGAGAAGATGTAGCGAAACCGCAAGTCGCTGCGCTGCGGGTGCCAAGCCAATATGCGCGTTGTCAAACGGGCGGATTTAGACGTCCGCGTCCCTAAGTGGCGAGTTACAGGTTTCAACAATTTTCTTAATCATGGACTGTTGAATTCTAGCCAACTCTCTCTTCTTCCATCTTACTGCGGCATATCACTAGATGACAAAAGCGGGATTTGTATATTTCCCAAAGCTGGGTTGTCGGTTTGTCATATGTTGAGGTTGATGGGATGAAGGATGAAGATCATAGCTTCAAGTGTGAGTTCAAGATAGATGGGAACAATAGATTGTCTCATAATACAAACCACTAATCTTTCAAAACATAACAAAAATATCACAAAACATACTATAATTATTTTTAAAGCATACCAGAAATCTCCTAATATATACCACAAATTGCGTAAAACATACTAGAAACACCACAAAGCAAACCACAACTATTTCTAAAACACACCAAAAACCTCCTAATGCAAACCACAAATGCGATAAAACAAACCACAAAAAAGCATACTAGAAACCTTCTAAAGCAAACCACAAGTCTCCTAAAACAAACCAGAAATCTCACAAAAGCAACCCATAATATTTTGAAAAGCACACCAGAAACACCCTAATGCAAACCACAAACACGGACAAGCAAACCAAAACAATAAACGTCCTAATGCAGACCACAAATACGACCACGGTGAGCATATTCCGATGACAAAATAGCATATTCCGGCGACAAAAAGCATACTCCGGTGACCGAATTCCGGCGGCCAAAATTTTGGGCATAATTTTTATTAATTTTTAATTTTTTCTTAATGACAATTATACCCCTACTTTGATTTTACACTAGGTCAACTCAGCTAATAAAAAGTCATCACAACCCTATCTTCCTATTGTTTGGAGACTAGTGTTGTTATAATATCTAGTCCCTATATCAAAGGATTCGCGGTTCTAAAAAGAAAATTCGGGCTCTATATAACATTATAACTATTGATAAGGAAGAGTTATACTGTTACGATCTGTTCCTCAGTTTACGTTAGTGGCTTTCTCCACTGTTTAGGAATAGCTTTCTGTTATGTTTTCCAGTGTATAAATACTTATCAATAATACAAGGGTTAATACCTTATTTTGGCCCGAACTATGACCATATAATCAACTTCGGCACGTGGTTTCAGATATTAACATCATGGCCTCAACTATGCAGCATATAGACTCAATTGGCCCGACACATGGTTTGACGGGATTTTTTCAGAAATAGCACCTTTTAAAAAAATTACAAAAATAGCACCCATCCGTAAAAACATACACTAATAGCACCCTTTTTAATGGACTGCACCTTAGAGGTGCGTTTTATATTTAAACTGCACCCTAAGGGTGCGTTTTATACATAAACCGCACCTCTAAGGTGCGTTCCCTATTTCTGGACCAAAACCGCATCTTGGCCAAGCGGTTTTAGGTCTGACCTACAGAAACCGCTTGGCCGAGGTACGGTTTTGGCTTGACCTATTAAAACCGCATCATGAAGGTGCGGTTTGTTTCTCCCAAACAAAACCGCACCCTCATGGTGCGATTCTGCCATACAAACCGCACCTTGGAGGTGCGGTTTTGGTCAATCAATTTCCGACATACCATGCAGACGTAACAGACGTGGGTCTGCATGGGCCTGCATGGCAGACGAAAACCGCACCTCTAAGGTGCAGTTTTCATCAGTGATTTTGCCTATAAAAGGCCTCCCGGACAACCACTTCTCTTCACACCTCTCCTTCTCCCTTTTCAATTTTCTGTTGTAGCTCTATATTTCTTTAATAGTTTTGCGATTAACGTTAACTCGTAAGTTTGTTTAGTATTACTTTTTATTGTTATTTTTTATTTTTTATTTTTATGATATTAACTGAACTACGGTTTTATCGCAGATGGCATTCCAAAAGTTCACGCTTGGCTTACGGTGGACTGGTTACACGGAAGAGACCGGAAAGGGGGTCATCTACGTAGGTGGCAATTTTCAGAAGATAAAGGTCGCTACCAGACCGCTGCTTGAAGACCTCCATCAAATGTGCACTAACGTTACTTGCATGGATGGCACGAGAAGAGTTGATCGTATGGTGTACCGATATCCAAACAGGGAAAGTGGGTCATTGTGGCATGAGAAATATCTCATAACCACTCAGGATGATGTAGATGCCATGCTCGAATTCATGAGGTCCAACAATCTTTCCAAAGCCGATATATTCGTTTACACCGAGCCGGTCGTAGGCGTTGGAGGTCATTCTGGACACGGTCAAACATCTGGTATCCGTTGGTATACATCGGGTATGGATCGAAGACGATCTACAAGAAAGAAATGAATAACTTAAGATAGTAAGAATTGGAAAAATACATGTAGTCCATGGAAAAAATATATAAATGGATCGAAGTATAGAAGTTACCTCTCCTTCCCAAAGTCGCTCAAACCTCCTCCGATACTCGTCCAACTTGTGTTGGGCAAGGTTGTCGCAAGTTGTGTGTCCGAGCCACCTTATTAATAAGACAATAATGAAACTACAATAAGCTAAAACACAAGGGAAAATGTGTTATGAAAAAACATGATGGGGTATGAGAAGTTTACCTTGTACCATAAGCTTCCCCTCTTAGGGGATGATCGATTGGCCAATCCCTATCGGGACGTTGTACCGGTGCAATCCATGGCATATGCTCCCAAGCCCAAAATTGGACGATGAACATTGCGCAGCCGACCTCTCTCACAGCTTTTAGAGAGGCATTGCACAAGTTGTGGTAGATATTAGCTAGGCAAGCGGATGCCCAACTATACCCCCCCCCCCCCCCCCCCCCCCCCCCCCCCCATCTCCTCCCAACTACCGAGGATGATCCTAAACCATCCACAACTAAGGAGATTGCTTGATTTTTTGGAGAAGAACACTCCTCCGATCATGCCAATAAGATAGACCCTAGCATATCTCTCCTTCTCATCCTCCGGACTTTCCTCGCTTAGGGGATGACTCTCGTAATGGTCTCTAAAATACTTCGTCAACCAAGTAATTGAGACTTGGTGTTTCCTCATTGGTGGCATGCGATCGGTCGCATCAACGCAACCATTCACTGGTACTTTCACTCCCAAAACACTGTAGATGAAATGAACCCAACCGGGCATACCGTCACAATCCTCGGGGGGATGATCACTCACGCACACCGGTTTGCCGTCGATGGGCAGATGGGTTAGGATGGCGACATCCTTTAGCGTGATGGTGGCCTCTCCTTCTCTAAAGTTGAAACAATGGGTCTCCTTTCTCCATCTCTCAACTAATGCGGTGATGAGTTGGCGATCAACTTTGATGCCGTTAAAATGCCTAATCGGGTCCAACCGTGCCCTTTTGAGAAAGGGGCAAGATATCTGGGTGGAATGGGAGCACATTGGTCGTACCCCTGTAGCGGATTATTGTTTGTGCCTCCTAGAGAAAATTTACACGTTAATTATTATATATTAGTAAGGGTTTATTCCTTATAACTAAATTAATTAAATTAAATTATTTAACTTCAAGCAGAATTTCATTATCATAAAAAGATATTTCATATAATTAACATAATAACATTCTAAATTAATAATAATTTAAAGAGATGCATACATATTATCATAAAACAAACATCCTAAATTAATTAACATAATAACATTCTAAATGAATAATAATTTAAAGAGATACATACATATTATCGTAAAACAAACGTACTAAATTAACTAAAATAAATGACATTGTTAATGAATAATAATTTAAAGAGAAACATACATATTCAAATGTTTGAAATTAATAAAATTCATTTTGTACACATCAAAATAAATCGTATTGGTTGTTTGGTAAATAATTTAATCGTGTTGGTTGTTTTAAATAATTTAATCGAATACAAAGCAACACTCGTTAGACTCTTAGAAGAGGTATACATCTTCTTAGAAACGCAGTCTTTTTGACAGAAAAAGGGGGGATCTGAGGATTTCTTAATACCCGATTTTCCCAGGGAATGTGAGGATATGATAATCGCTTAAAACCTCATTTCCTTAGACATGCATCTCTTTATAAAGATTCGAAGTAAGTGGCGCTATGTATTCGAATAAATTATTGAAAACAACCAACACGATTAAAAATTCAACATAAATTTATTTTATATTCCACTAAATATATTAACAAAATAAAAGAAGGACAAATGGTAAAAAATTGTATGTATCGGGTGAGCGTTCCAAACATCCCTTGACCGATGGTTGGGTTGGTCGTACAAGTCGGTTGGATCCAACGGTCCTTGCTCGAGATAAGCCCGTTGGTTGTATATATCCATGTCCTCCCCAACCTACGAGAAAATAACAACGAGGTTAGTACATAGATTAATTAACAAGCTTATAACAACAACAAAAATTAAACCAGAATAATGAGTACGTACCGCTTGAAATTCATCAACATAAACTCCCTCTCCATGCCACCAATCGGCCATTTTTTCGGCAAATTCGGCTCAGCGGGTTTTGAGGAAAAAACCTAAGAAATATTTTCTGATGGCAGATCGGACTTAGCCGCAACCAACAGACCACTATTTCCTAGACTTTTGGGAGGGGGAGTGTTTAGAGAGATAAATTGTAGAGAGAGAAGGAAGAATGGGTTGTGGTGTGAAGAAATGAGAGGGGAAGGGGGGTATTTATACCCAACAGACTGCACCCTCCAGGGGTGGTCGGGTAATTTTGCCCAAAGTGAAACCGCTCCCTCCCGATGCTTTTTGTGCTTCCCCAGGGTTGACCGCATCTCGGGCGTGCGATCCCCGATCCGTGGCGCGGATTGCTCCGCTGGCAAGCGTTCAGCCGTCCGATCGCCCCTCCATCCAACGGTCTTGAAGACCGTTCCGCAGCAGCAGTAAATCGCACCGCCCTAGTGCGTTTCGTATGCTGAAACGCACCCCTATGATGCGTTTTATAAGTAAAACGCGCCCTTCAGGTGCGGTTTACTTATAAGACGCGCCTTAGGGGTGCGTTCCAAAAAAATTGGTGCTATTTCTGTCAATTTTTTCATATGGGTGCTAGTTTTGTAATTTTTTTTAAAGGTACTATTATTGGAAAAATCCCTGGTTTGACTGTCAATTTGGACGGTCAACATCATTGACCGTTAGTCAACACGCCATGTCATTGCCTAGTCAGCCTAAAAATCATTAAGAAACTCAAATTTAAATTATTTTCCTAATTTCTATTATTTATCATTTTCAAATTAACCAAAAAAATAAAATTTATATTTTATTTTTTGGGATATTTGAAAATGATAAATTTTATAAGTTAACCCGAAATTATCGAATTAAATTATATATATTTTATTTTTTGGATAATTTTAAAAATATAAAATAATTTTGATAATTTTTGGTTAATTTATCATTTTCAAATTACCCAAAAACTAAAAAATTAAATTTGTTTATGTTTTTTATAATTTATTTTTGGTTAATTTGATAATAAATAATAATAATTAGAAGTAGAATTTTTGTAATGAATTTTAGGCTGACGAGGCAATAACATGACGTGTTGACTAACGGTCAATGGTGTTGACCATCCAAATTGACGGTCAAACTCTGTATCAGGCCAATTGAGTCTATATGTTACATAGTTGAGGCCAAGATGTTAATTTCTGAAACCACGGGTCAAAGTTGATTATATGGTCATAGTTCAGGCCAAAATAAGGTATTAACCCATAATACAATCAGAATTCCTAAGACAATTACATGGTATCAGAGCTTTAAGGAACTCTAACGAGTTACAAACCTCTTTTTCTTCTTCCTTTTTTTGTTCTCTGCTTCCTCCTTCCATGGCTACTTCTTCAACTACCTATGATTCTTCTTCCCCTTCCATTCAATCTTCCTCCCCACAACGTATTATGTTGCCTTCTAATCCTTAGCTCAACGTATTATGTTGACCCTACCAATTATCTGCTCTGACGTGCCCGACTTTATCCTATGCTACGGTGCCACCGTCTCATCGGCCACATCGACGGCACCATTCCTCCGACGACGACGACTGCCAATAATCAACCCAATCCGACTTATGCACGTTGGTATGAGGATGATCAGCTCGTCCTTGTCTGGATTAATCTCTCCTTGACTGAAGCCATCATACCGACGGTTGTCAACAAAACTATAGCTCTTATTGCCTGGGACGCTCCCGCTACGGTCTACCGTCCATTCACTCGCAATCTTGAGGCGCGTCTGGAGCCCATCTCCTTCGAGAACGTGAGCAGGCTTCTTAGCGAGGAAATGCAGCCGCAATGATTTCGTCCGTCGTCTGTGGATGTAGCACCTCCGCAATCTTTTTATTCTACCAAGGGAGGCGTAGCGGTGGTCGCTTTTCTCGTGGCAGAGGCGCTCGCTTCGGTGTCCGAGGATTTTTCAACCCGGGCCGTTTTCCTAACCCTTCTTTTGCAGGTGGGCGGCCCAACTCTGGTGGTTCTCGGCCCAACTATGGTGTGCTAGGGGCTGGGCCTTCCAGCCCATCTCTATTGGTGTGTCACAATTGCGGAGGGAAGGGACATATTCGCCCACATTGTCCAAGCCCTTTCATCCCCGCCCAAACCACGTACAATCCTGGACCCGCATCTCATCTCGCCCAATCCTCGCACCCTGCTCAATCCTCGCAACAGTGGCTTCTTGACTCCGGTGCCAATCACCATCTTACTTCCGATCTGGGTAATCTGATTCATCATTCTGAATACAATGGTCCTCATCAAGTCACCTTTGGCAATGGTAAATGCCTACCTATCTCTCATCCTGGTTCTTCTCCCGCTCTTCTTTCTAATAATTCCTATGTTCTCGATAATATACTTCGTGTCCAAAATGCTCCTCATAATCTTCTCTCTGTCAGCTCTTTGACTCGTTCTAACCCCATTTCCATTGAATTTTTTTATACCTATTTTGTGATCAAGGATCGCCACACGAAGGATGAGCTCTATCGTGGTTCTGCGCGTGACGGCCTCTACTCTCTACCTCTTCATATCCAAAGTCGCACTCTTCCTCGTGTCTTCACTGCCTCTCTTGATCTCTGGCATCAGCGATTGGGTCACTCAAATCTTTGTGCTGTTAAACATCTTTTGTGTACTCATTCAATAAAACATCATGATAACTCTACTTCTTTGTGCCATGGTTGTTCTATTAGTAAAATCCATAAAATGTCATTTCCTTCTTCCCAATATCGTGCTTCTGCACTTTTAGAACTTATTTGTAGTGATCTTTGGGGTCCTGCTCCTATTCTTTCCTGTGATCATCAATCCTATTATGTCTTATTCTATGATCACTATAGTAAGTTCAGCTGGGTGTATTTTGTGCGTTATAAATCTCAACTACTCATGTCTTCATCCAATTTGACCAGCTTGTTGAATTATTTTTTTTTTTTTTTGTTTGGACTTGTTATCTTATCAACTACTCATGTCTTCATCCAATTTCACCAGCTCAAATATTAGTCTCTCGCGTTTGATACAGCTTGTTATCTTATCAATCGCACTCCTACTCCTCTTCTTCAAAATCAATCTCCATTCCACACTTTGTTTCATAAATCGCCTGATCTTCAAAGTCTTCGTGTCTTTGGTTGTTTATGGTATCCCTGGCTTCGTCCTCAAACTTCTCATAAACTTCAGCCACGTTCTACTCCATGTGTTTTCTTGGGTTATAGTGGTTTACATAAAGGTTATCGGTGTCTTGATCGGTCTACTGGTCGTATTTATGTCAGTCGTCATGTTCTTTTTGATGAATCAGTATTTCCCTACAAGGACACTCCTATCGATCCAACCACCTTTATTTCTTTCGATCTTTTTCTCTCCGAGCCCATAAATCTCCCAAGCCCATACATTTCACCAGATCTCTCCTTCTCCCCCTCTACTTCCACAGGCCCACACACTTCCTCACCACCCCCCCCCCCCCAGCCCACTATTCCCAACCTTGAGCCCATAATCTTACCTTCCCAGCTTCATCTGTCCTCTCCCTAACCCATTTCACCCTCTGTTCACGATACCCCAACCTAGTCCACTCCTCCTAATCCTCACCCATTACTGCAATACCAACGTCGCCACCGTATCGCTCACCCGACATCGCCGCCCCTTCCCCGGTATCACCTTCGTCCGGTTCCCTATGCTCCTACCTCTTCCCCTGTTCCTACTCTTCCTCTGCCACCTCCACCTCTTCCTTCTGTCCATCGTCACACCTCTTCTCCTCCCACCAAAGCCCCACCTATACAACCTTCCTCCCTTACCAATCGTCCTCCCTTCAACACTTCCCCCCGCATTGTTCTATCGCCGGCACCGACTCCTCCCCGGTGAATGCTTACAAGCACAGAGAACGGCCATTTGAAGCCCCTCTAGCATCTTGCTGCTGCCCCCTCTAGTTTACCTTCAACCGCCGCACAAGCCCTCAAATTGCCCCGATGGCGAGCTGCTATGGTTACTCAGATAGATGCTCTAGTCCAGAATCATACCTGGGACTTGGTTCCAGCCCCGACATATTGTAATATTCTCTCTAATCGTTGGGTTTTTGCATAAAAGACTAATCGCGATGGTTCTCTTGAACGTGAAAATGCACGGCTTGTAGCTCGCGGGTTTGAGCAAATCCCAGGTCATGATTTTGCAGAAACCTTTAGTCCGGTCCTCAAACCTGCTACTCTTCGTCTACACTTGGATATTTTCATTACTCATGCTTGGCCTCTCCACCAACTCGACATCTCGAATGTTTTTTTACACGACACTCTCCAGGAAGAAGTCTATATGCGCCAGCCTGTTGGGTTTGTCGATCCTGAACACCCTGATTATGTCTGCCGTCTCCGGAAATCCATCTACGGATTGAGACAAGCTCCCCGTGCTTGCTTTCACCGTCTCTCTTAGGCTCTTCGTGACTTCGGATTTGTCGCATAAAAAACGGATACGTCCCTCTTTATTTACAGAACTGATTCTGTTCTTCTATATATGTTGGTGTATGTTGATGACCTTGTCATTACAGGTAATGACTCGACAGTCATCCGGCGGCTTATGGTTCACCTTCGCTCTAAGTTTGCTCTTAGGGATCTGGGTCGTCTATCATATTTTCTCGATCTCGAGGTTCATTAAACTACGTCAGGATAGCTGCTCAATCAGCGCAAATATATTCTGAAACTTCTGGACCGCTCAGGAATGGCACAAGCTAAGTCCATCTCTACCCCCTGCACGGCTAATCAGTTGATTAAAAGTGGGTCAGACTTGTCTCCAGCCTTTGATAATCCAAGTTTATACAGGAGTATTGTCGGCGGCCTCCAGCACTTGAGCTTCACTTGGTCAGACATCTCCTTTGCGGTGAATCACGTCTCCCAATTCCAGCATTCACCAACTGATGCTCATTGGGCAGCAGTGAAACGTATTATGCGCTATCTACAAGGGACAATCAATCAAGGTTTGCTCTTTCAACGGTTTTCTCATTCACAGTTCGGATGCTTCTTTTGCCTCTTGTCCCAAGGAGCGGAAGTCTATCTCTGGGTTTGCTGTTTTCCATGGCGAGAATTTGGTGTCTTGGTCGACTAGAAAACAAAGGCAGTGGCAAGGTCTTGAACAGAATGTGAATATAGGGCGTTTGCTACTCTTGCATAGGAAGTAATTTGGTTACAATCTCTTCTCACAGAACTCGGTCAATCACCATCATCTTTTCCTCTCCTATGGTGTGATAATTTAGGAGCTACCTATCTTGCTCACAATACAGTCTTCCACACACGCTCCAAGCATCTCGAGATTGAGTTCCACTTTGTTCGTGATCGAGTCAACAAGCAACAGCTTCATGTTCGTTATCTCCCCGCAACCGATCAACTTGTTGATGTCCTTACAAAGCCCCTCACCCAACAATCATTTTGTAGCTTCTGCTCCAAGTTTCACCTCTCGAGGTTCCACTTGCTGGAGCATGATAAGAAAGAGTTATACTCTGAACTACTTCCCCACTTCTCCTCTCTTTCCACTTTGTTACTGTTACAATTTGTTCCTTAGTTTACGTTAGTGGGGTTCTCCACTGCTTAGGAATAGCTTTCTGTTATGTTTTCTTGTGTATAATTACTTATCAATAATACAATCAGATTTAGAATTCCTAAGACAATTACAACTATAATTCGCGAATTACATGCCGCCCTGAACTTGTATCCTAATCTAATTAGGTAACTAAAGTTTCAACACAATCAGAAAGTGTCATGAACCAGTTGATCTCAATAACTCAATTGTTGGGAGAGGTTCAATCGTGGATCATATATCACAAACTCTCACGCCCCTCAAACGAAAGTCACTCACAAGTGCTTGAAGTTTGCACAGATCCACATATCATGTGCTTAACAAATGAGGATTATCAAGATTCGAACACAAAACTTCTCGATCACATAAGATTCAGATGTCATGAACCAGTTAACTTAAATTGTTAGAGGTTCAATCATGGATCATATACCACACACTAACATAAAGCAGCTGCCTAAACTCGTTTTTGTGTAGCTTCCTTGGAGTCAAAGGCACAAATGTAAACCGTGAGCTGTTGGAATAACTCATAGAGAGCTTTAATCTAAAACAAAATTGAACCTCATGTGTTGAACGTGAATGTTCCCACAACTCACGCTTTAACACTGACCCTTGACTCGTGGAACTTTGGCTCAAACAACCCGAACACTGACCCTTGACTCGTGGAACTTTGGCTCAAACAACCCGAAGAATGGATATTAGTTATACATGAAGAAAACAGAGGATATGTAAAAACTAATAAGAGAGAAAAACAGAGTATCAGAAAATGCTTTCTAGGCGGCAAATATGCATCAGTTGAAGCTGGACAAACAGACCAGCTTGCTCGGAGCCCAGTGCATGTTCATCATTTAACTTACCAAGAAGAACCCTCGAAAACGGCAAAAAAAAAAAAAAACTTAAAATGAGTTTGAAAATCAAAAGGGGAAATATCCTCAGTGATATTATGCTTGTAAAGTTTGTCATCAAAATATGCATTCAGGTCTCAAAGATTTTCTTCACATCATCGGAACCTTTTTCTCCCCTGCTCCAAAATTAGTACTCTATGAAAAAGGAAAACCGAAGTGCAGAGAATCTGAAAAGAGATATGGCAGAGTCAAATTCACTGCGGCCTGAGAGATTTTTGCTTCAAGGGCGAAGCCACTCAACATCTCCCACACAGTACATCTCTGCCGCCAAGTTTCAAGCTGAAGAGAAACGGAGAACCCGAAGCACAGTGGAAGATGGAAAGGGAGAGGAGAGGTGAGGAGGAAAGTGGCTTCGGTGTCATTTTATATTGAGGAGAGTTAGTTCTTTCTGCATCAATGTTAGGGTTTCAAATATGGACTCCGTAATAGGCTTGTTAGCGGGCTTTGTTTGTGTGGGTTTTGGCAGGTAAAAATACTTGGGCCCTTCCTCAAGCCTAGCCTCAAGTCTTTCATTGGGCTGGGCTGAGCTGAGCGGTGAGCCCACAGTAGAGAACTCCATTACCTAACCGGCTAAACACTAAATTCCGAGAAAATTGACGTGCCTGCCCCGCTGTTTTCAAAGAATGAGATGCTTCCTAGGTAGTTTGAAAGTTATGATTCTAGATAAATTATTGTTTGAATTTATTTATTTTGGAGAAGCCTTCATTTTTTTATCCTAAAATTTTATTTAATACATGGATTTGAGGTGGGCCTTCAAATCACATATCACTCACATAGTCACATTCACTCATTTTAAATCTCAACCAAAATGTGAGATTCTTCTTTTGAGATTGTGGGGTTTAATTTGTTCCACTTTTAACTTATACAACCTGTTTGGATAGACAAAAAACTCAGGAATTGGAATTCCATTTTCAATTCCAGTTCCATATTTTATGTTTGAAAGTATAAGAATGTTGAGAAATGAATTCCATTTGGGCTAAGTTTTGGGAATTACAATTTCTATCAAAAGTTATAAGAATTGGGTTTATGAAGATGGAATTAGTGGATCCCATCACTATTTATTATTATTTTATTAATCAACTATCAGCCTACTCTCTTTCTCTATCATTCATATTCCATTTTCCAAAATAAAACAAATATATTATATTATTAATTATTGTTAAAAGTGCAACTCATTTCTATAGTTGTAGGAATTATATCAAACACTAAAATTGAAAATGAATTCTATAAAAATAGGAAATGGAAATAGAATTTCATTTTCATTTCTTCCTGAATTGTATCCAAACATGCTGATAAAGTGATTTTTTCATTATTTTCAAATTTTTTGGATTGGAACAAACAAACGAGACATTCTTTCATTCATCTAATTTTTACAATCTTTGTATTTAGAATAAGTTTATTCATCGAATACACATATTTAAACAATCTCAATCTCCAAACGGCCCCCTAGATTCTATAGAGACCTAGAGAGTGTCCATCGACCCACAGAAAGAAGAAGGCCCACCACTCCTTGGGGAACAAGAAAATTGGACCTCACGAAGAGCAAGAGACTGTCTGTATGGTTGATATCCAAGAGTGGAATATTCCAAATTTCCAATGGACAGAATATTGTTTACATAGAAAATTATCGACTTAACTATCTTAATTTGGAAACGCATATTGACTTCAAAACTGCTACGTGCTGTCGTTTTTCCTTAAAAACTTCCTCAATGTATATGCAATTTCTTCATTTACCACATAATTCCTCTTCGTTGTGTTCGCAAAACTTAACTTTCTCCGTAAACTGCACCCAATTTATAACAATCAATCACACATTGTTGAATAATGAATACCAAAACAAAACAACTCAAACCTATAAATACATAATTCAATAACAGTCATAAGTAGTCAGCATATATAGTAAATTTGGTAATGACTTCTAGTCTATTTTAACCGTTTAATATTCCAAATTCCATAGCGTTGAAATTTTAAAAAATTAGGGTCATCCCCTAGTTGTCACGCTGGTAGCGACGGCATGAAGGCATGCCAGGTTCAACCGGTATCGATAATGAAACCGATGTGAATACCATCAGTATGACAGGTAATGATCGATTTAGGATTTCTAAGCAAAATGACATTGTTTTAGTGAATTTAATAAATAAATAATTGACGTATCATTTATTTTATGAGTTATAAAATTAAACGTTAACGTTATTTGTTGGATTCAAATTTAAAAGTTTAGGTATTGACGATAAATATTTCATTTAAATATGCGTATTTGTAATTTTATTAGGAATGTCACATTTTATTTAAGGATCACTAGCCGAATCATTTCACTTGCTAAACCGGTTTGACAACATTGTTCATCCTCCAATTACTTGGGGGAATCCAGGCTTGGGATGGGCCACCCCACCAGGGACATAGTCAGAATTTCGCTTAAGGTGGGTCGGAAATTAAAAAATATATAAATAAAAAAGCTTTATTAATGTTTAGAATGATTCATGGCGTGTTTTCATATCTTGTGAAGTCTATAAAATACATCCATCATCAAACCTATCTAAGATGTAACTCTCAACATATCCGGTCAAAACTTCATTCAAACTCTTCATCACTTATTCGACTTTGTAGTGTGTTCTTCACGTAGCTAATGAAGAAAAATACTTTTACAACACTTGCAGCGGCAACTGACAACAACAACACCAATTTTACAAGTCGATACACCAAATGGAAACGATCAAAATTTCTTTGACACAACCATTTACTACAAAGCTTAGGAATTCCCTTCAACTTAGTTCCCTGTTATCCGCCTTCACAAAATACACAAGTATCAAGTTGAGTATCAAAATACAAAATATCATCATAGAATTCACTAAGATAAAAGATAACAATTTTTAACAACTTTTTCTTGTCAAATTCAACAAATGCGTTATCCAGATTTAAACAAGACACACAACATCAAATTCACTGTTCACCTCATCAAAAACTATTGCCATTGCATATCCCCATTCCACCACTCTAATTCTTAAACTTTGAATCCACGTTCCTATCTTTTAACTAGCTTCTTAAACTTTGTGAATTGCAACTGCTAATTACTCAATTTTGAGAGGAAGTTCGGAATAATTAGGGATTGGGATTGGCCCAGGGGAATAGGCGCAGTAGCATTTTAATTTATGTATATGAATTCTACTATAGTATAGATAAAATAATGTAAATGATCACTATAAAGCAAGAGTTGGTTAATGGTACAGGGGTTGAGGCGTGTACTAATGCAGGGTAGGTCACGAATTTGATTTTAATCTTTGCATATATTATACCTGCATTATTGCATATATTTTGTGTCGGCTTCTCCTCCCAAGGTGGTGCAGCCCACCTCCCTAGGTCAGTTGTGCCTCCGCCCCTGCACACCACCAGGCGCCATCATGGAATAAATCGCTCCCAGCTAGAGGTGGGCATTCGGTCACCGAACCAAAATTATGAATACCGGGTCCCCGAATTCTCTCAAACCTCAAACCGAATTATAATTTGGTATGGTCGGTTTAAACAGAATTATAATTCGGTTAAGTTTTTAACACAAAATCAAATTTATGAGGCTACTTGTATCTTCTCACTTTTAAATTATTTTTCACCCCTAATATAAACAATAAATATGCAATTATATGAATCATCAATGATAAAATCAAACATTTCAACACATAAGTCATAAAATATTTCAAATATTTAAGTATAAAAACAATTACAAACATAAAAATCCACCATTTGGAGGTTGCAATGATAATATTTCGGTTTTTCGGTCGAAAATTCAAAATTTCGGTTCGATTGAAAGAACCCAGGTTTCCGAAATATCTATATTTTCCTTCCGAATTCCGAACCAATAACATTATTTCGGTTTCTTTCAGTTTAATTCAGTTTCGATTTCGGATCGGATTTACCGAACGGTTTGTCCACCCTACTCCCAGCAATCTTCCAACACAAGAAACAATAACACAGTCGCGATCTGACCGGCGACCAACGTCATTACATACGTACCCACCCTATAACAACACCCCACGTGGCGTCAAATTTTTTCCACTCCCCCGTTTCCTTTTCGTTTCCTCGAACAAGGAAAGCCACGAATCTCGCTCCTAGCTGGACCCCACCCCCGCGCCACCGCCAGCTCTATTTAAGCAAACCTCCCGTCTCCATTTTCCAACTAGAAAAGAGAAAAATCTCTCCACCCCGTTTCCTCGCGGAACGGACCCTAAAAATCCTTTTCTCTCTCTACATCTCTAATTTCCCGACCATTCTCTCTCTCCCTTCACCGGAAAACATCAATCCGATCGCCTGAGAGAAAAAAAAATAATAATGTGCCCGTCAGGCAGGACTCTCGTGGCGGCGACGCCGGAATTGAAATCGGCGTTCGACGTTCTGGACGCCGACCGGGACGGCAAGATCGGCAGCGACGACCTCCGCCGGTTCTACGCCGGATTCTCGAACGCCGGCGAGGAAGAGGAAATGATCATAGGGACGATGATATCCGTGGCCGATTCCAACAAGGACGGGTTCGTGGAGTTCGAGGAATTCGAGCGGGTCGTCGGAGGGAATGATTGCAAGGACAAGAATTCGTCGGCCGCCGGGGGAGTGATGGCGGAGGTGTTCAAGGCGATGGACAAGGACGGGGACGGGAAGTTGAGCCACGGCGATTTGAAGAGTTACATGCACTCCGCTGGGTTTGAAGCCAGCGACGACGACATTAGGGCGATGATCAGGCTCGCCGGCGGGGGAGAGGAGAACGACGCCGTTTCGTATGAGGATCTGCTTAGGATTCTGAATGTCAATTCCTCCTCCCCCCACTGGTAATTTTTTGTTTTTTTTTTTTTGTTTCGATGCCATTGTTTGTTTGTGAGTCGCTCCTTCATTTGTGTTGTGTAGTTTCTTCGAATCGAAGAATAACATTAAGAAATGGAAAGAAAGAAAAAAGGTTCAAATTGGTGCTCGCCAATTTCTGGGTATGATTCTGAATTTTCTCTCTCATGGGTTCTTCAAACCACAAAGAGAGAAAGTGCAGTGAGAGGAGAAGGGGAAGGTAGGTGACGATCGAGATTGTTGTTTAGCGCGGATTAGAAAACAAAAAGATCTGTATCATTCAACACGTGAATAGCTATGCCAGATTTTGGCTAATTTTATATGACGATAAAAAGGTTCACGACAAAGTTGATGAAAAGAGAGAGCGGCTGCCTCCACAATATAATGAATCAAGTTTTCATTCAACTAAAAAGGGGGGGGTTGGCCTTTGGTCCTACTTTATTGCTAGCGACAACAATCAAATATCAACAAAAAGAGTACAAACACGATTTGGCTGAATCTTCCAGTATGAATGAACGGTCAGGAACATTCCTGGTGAACAAATCGGTGGTGATAAGTTATATTAATTGAAAATTTGTGGAAATTTTTTCGTAGGGGGCGAAAGTCTGACGGAACAATGCCACGTGAAAGTAGAAGGTCTATAGATCGTGAACTTCTCTTTAACTTACCCCATCTATCTGAATGATGGATCTCAGGAGGAAGAATTACAAAAGTTAGCAATATTTGTGGTAATGGAATCATAATAAAATTATTGTAAAATCATGTAATTTGAGGAAAAAATCCAAAAGTACCACTGTTTAAAAAAAAAATTCCAAAAATACCACCCAATCTCAAAAAATTCCAAAAATACCACCCTTTTTCAATAACCGCCACCCCATCCTGCGGTTTACACAAAAACCGTTTGTCGGGGGCGCGGTTTTCTATGCAAACTGCGGGCCTAGGGGGCGGTTAAAAAAAAAAAAAAATTGGACCAAACCGCTGGGTGGGGTGGCGGTTTTGACCCAAAACCGCCACCCCACCCAGCGGTTTGGTCCAATTTTTTTTTTTTTTTTTCGATCAACTCCTAATTTCGGCCGAAACTTCAAACGAACGTAACTTTGCACTCGGGTATCCAATCGTAGCGATTTTTTTTTTCATTGAGCATAACTTTTCATGATCTACAACTTTTAGAAGGATGAAATTTTCAGAAAAGGAACTATTTGTTGATATACGGGACCTTGAGAATAACTTTACCTTTACTTTTCACAAATCCATGTACAGTTTGAAATTATGATTATATTAAAAGTTGTAGATCTTGAAAAGTTATGCGGAATCAAAAAAAAATTCATATCATTCGGATTTTGGAGCACAAAGCTATGACCGTCCAAAGTTTGACGAAATGCGAGACCCGGCGGTATGCGGCTTGCAAGATCTCAAAAAGTTTGCGGCCTCCATTTTTTGAATCCGAATAAATTTTTGAGATCTTGCAAGCTGCAACCTGCCGGTTCCCGCCTTCGTCTCGAAAAAACGTCATTTGCCACCCCGAACGAGCCTTTTTTTGATTTCGTCAAACTTTGGGCGGCCATAACTTTGTGCTCCAAAATCCAAATGTCATGAATTTTTTTTTTATTCCATATAACTTTTCAAGATCTACAACTTTTAATATAATCATAATTTCAAAATCTACATGGATTTGTGAAAAGTAAAGGTAAAGTTATTCCCAAGGACCCGTATATCCACAAATAGTTCCTGTTTTGAAATTTTCATCCTACTAAAAGTTGTAGATCTTGAAAAGTTATGCGAAATGAAAAAAAAGATCGCTACGATTGGATACCCGAGTGCAAAGTTACGTTCGTTTGAAGTTTCGGCCGAAATTAGGAGTTGATCGAAAAAAAAAAAAATTTGGACCAAACCGCTGGGTGGGGTGGCGGTTTTGGGTCAAACCGCCACCCCACCCAGCGGTTTGGCCCAAAATTTTTTTTTTTATAACCGCCCCCTAGGCCCGCGGTTTGCATAGAAAACCGCGCCCCCGACAAACGGTTTTCGTGTAAACCGCAGGATGGGGTGGCGGTCTTTGAAAAGGGTGGTATTTTTGGAATTTTTTGGGATTGGGTGGTATTTTTGGAATTTTTTTTTTAAACAGTGGTACTTTTGGATTTTTTCCGTAATTTGATGGATATAAGTTTTTTTTTAATTAGATGTTTCTTAATAGATTCGAAATCCGAGACTTTCAGCTTCGTCAATATTTATAATTTGAAAAATCTGGGAAACATGTGATGGGAAAACACTAGTAAGACTACCTAAAACGAGTTAGTGGTTATACAACCAACTGTAGTAATGCATTTCCATAAAGGTTGACCTAAAATAATCATGCTGACCACACTATACGCAAACTAGACAAATGTTAACCTCTAAAACGCAGTATTTTATTGATGTAAGAGAAGATAGAAAGGAGGACAATCCAAGAGTGATAGATCAACTTGTTGCGTACTATGGTTTGTTCTATATAATAAGATGTTGAACTTTTACCCTAACTTGAGCAAACATGGCGACGAGAAACAAGGTCATGGCAGGTCGTGGGGTTCATAGCAAAGACATGAGTAAGAGGTGTTCAAGTTTTTTAAAAATGATCTCACCTGCTATTTTATTGGCTTATGGTGATCTTGGTTCTCGAGAAATGATTTTGATTATCCATACCAGCTCCAATTTCTTATATTCCGAAGGCGCTTCCTTCTGAGGTTGTAACATAGGAATGCCACTAGACGGTCGAGGAGACAGATCGCGAGTTTGTGCGTGAATCTAACCACGATAGGACGAGATATAAGCCCCGCCGCCAAAAAGGTGCGATCCACGCACAAACTAGAGATATGTCCCATCTCTTTATAAAGTTGTTGGCTCGGTTAGAAAGAGTGATATTTGTAAGTTTAGGGATGGATCGCATTTGGGAGGCAAGAAGGGTTTGTTGTTGGAGAGATAGGGAGCCTGTTGGGGCAATGTTATATTTATATATACATATACGCTTTAAACGAACATTAGTCCCAAAAATATTGAGATTTCGTCAATTTTGGAATGGGATCGTACTTCGGTAATACCGTGTCCATATGTACGTCTCTGCATAACTGGATGAGTGGCTGCTCACGACCCATGTGAAATTAAACTACTTATGCTTGCATTCGGCGGCATTTTCTTCCACAGTCCAGCTTTTGGTAACTCGGGGGAACGTCGTTGATTCGTCTGTAAATATTTGGAAGCATTCTTGCAACTCCCAGTCCACACCAGTCCATAGATAATGAATGCTATTTTTGGCTGCCGACTAGCTAGGGTTCCTTCATGGATACTATCGGTGGGTTTTCTTCGGTTCATCTTCACACATCTATGTTGTTTTTGTTTTTATACTGAGGGTGATCCAATGAATTATGGAAGTACGATATTTAGAAACGATCCAGTTTTTTTTAAGGTATAGTAAAATAAAAATGGTTATGATCGGTATTTATAAACACTTTGAAATAAAATGATTTATTGGACTCTTCAACTTTTGTATTCTCCGATAAATGATTTTCAATCGTTGTTGTCGCTAATACACGTGAATACTTTCATATGTCATTTTAGAACATAAATAAGATTATAATAGTGAATATATATGTCTCGTGTATATACATGAGAATATTGATCAATGACTAGAACTAGTATTTATTAACCGCTTTATATTTATCAACATGTTCATAATCAATTAATCATACACCACAAGTTCATTATATAATACGAGATTGGATCAATACTCCTAATTAACTGACAAATTTACAGCGAAGACCCTCTAATACTAAGAGATTTTTTTTTTATTTGCGAGTGATAACAAGAGACGACAAGAGTTATAAAAAAAATCTAACAAACGAACCCCTAATGAAGCCACCCAAGAAAATCAAAAGACTCTAGTTCTAGGAGAGACAACAGTAGTGCCTTACGCGCCACTCTATGGGCAGCATTGTTGGCGGCCCTAGAAATCGCCCTAAACTCTATACAAATTGATAAGGAGTCTAGAACCTGACGACACTCCCGAAGCACCGGACCTCCAATGGAATCTTCTAGGACGCCAAGATTGATCTGGTTGATGACCACTTCGGAGTCACCTTCCACCACCACACGGGGTAAGGCTAATTAAGCGCCTAAGAAGATAGCATCTCTTGCTGCAAGGAGTTCTTCCGGGTAAGGGTTGACTACTCCTTGGTGTCGTAGACCGGCTACCACCACCACATGCTCGTCTGAGCCGTGGACAACGAGACCTGACGAACATCCTGAGTCGCCAACTGCTGCATTGAAATTGATCTTCAAAAAATAGTCTAGTGGAGGCATCCAAGTAGGAGGAGGACGAATCGGGAGAAACGTTCTGGGGAGCGAAGGAGGGGGGAGCAAACTGGAAACTTTGAGGACCTGGTTGTATAATTGTCTGGCTAGAGAACGGACATGTGGTTGGTAAAATTCAAAAATCACTATATTTCTGGACTTCCAGATTCTCCAAAGTAAGCAAACGCATTGAAGAATGTGGAATGGGGAGATCTCAGAGATCATGACATGTCGCCACCATAGACTAAAGTTAATAGTCGGGGGAGGATTCAATGAAGTTTCTAAATCCCACTAAAGTCCACAGCTTGCTGGCTAGGGGGCATCTGAAGAATAAATGTTCAATGCTCTTTTTATGTCTCCAGCACACGGGACATCTGTTGAGGCAATTAACTCCACGTGTTTGTAATGCAACCACTGTGGGGAGAATGACCCTAAGGCATTGCCATATGAAGAATTTAAACTTGGGAGGAATTTAAGCTTAGAGAGAATGACCCTAATATTCAGAGATCCTATGCCGAAGGGCCTTCCAACACACTTTATTGACCGACCCTGTTTCTCTCCACTACGCACCATCCACAACTTGAGGCCTAAATTAGGAATGACATTTTGAATCTGCCTCGCTAGTTATTACTTGATATGACTTGTATTGCAGCGGGTATTACCTGATAGGGCTGGCAAAAAAATCCACCGATTTGGTTATCCACTTGAACATAAACTAGCTAACGAGGGTAAAACTTGACTTGACTGAATTTGGGTTGGGGAAACCCAAAAGTAAAGTTATTGGACACGAGTAGGGTATGGATATTCTATTATCTGCTTTGAAGTCTAAACCCGCACAGTAGCCCACTGCTCGGCGAATGATGGCTCCTGAAGTCCTCATACCCCTCGACTTCTCGTTTAGAACAAGATGTTCTCACCTCTCAATCTCAATCATACGCTTTTCTTCATTGAACCCATTATTCTCCTTTCACTTAATCCTCTCTATCTTCAATCTGGTTATCTGAACTCGTCAACTCCTTAAATGAAATGAATTTCCATTCCCAAGCCATTTATAATCACCGTTGAGACGTGTGAATCCTCAAAACTGGTTAATGAACCAAGAAGATGAAGATTGGAGAAGGCAAAAAGGAGTTCGACAATATACTCGCTAATGAAGGGCTTCTGAAACCCTAGAAATCAAACAAAGCCCTTTCGAAGCTATAGCTCTTGCTAAAGCAGAGTTATTTTTAGCTTCATAGAATTTCGAAAATATACCAAAAACCAAATGAATAAAGGTTTACCTCTCCACCAATCGCCCACGACAGCGCCACTTTGTCCTCTGATAAATTCGATACTGTATTTTCAGTAGCGTATCCCAAATTCTGGTACCGAACTTTCAACCCTATATGAATACAAAGTTGGATAACTTGTTATGGGTCTGGCTGTTTGTTGGGCTAAGGCCCATATAGTTGCCTAGCATATTCTATTGTTTGTAGCTCAAAATGGAATTGAGTGGAAAAGAGTTTGCAGTGAGGTCAGCCGATTTGGGCTGAAATGATACTACTAGCCTTTGATTGATATGCAAATTGGCCAACAAGGCCCATCTGTATATTTGTTGACTCCACAATTTTCCATTTTAGGGTCGCGGGATTCAGAGAGGAGAATAGCTCTAGTGGGCGCCATAACAGAATTCCCAATTCCAACTTGGACCTGTCCCTCCAATCCTCCATTTTCTTTTTCATATTCTTCCCTCCCTGACCCTGCAAGAGATTGGAATCCTCCCGCCAAAAAAAGGACAGAATGACGAAGTCTAGAGACCTCCAGACTCCGCTCAAGGAACTCTCGCGAGCTTCAGAAACCGCGAACCGGCGATCGAAGGAATCTCAATCCAAGAAGCCTCAAAAGGTTCAGATCCTAGCTCCCGAAATCGTCTTTCTTCGTAATTTGGCAGATTGCTAAACGGAGCTTGACTGGTGAGTTCACCACCATCTCTGAAGATGCGTCGTGCGAAATCGCCGGCGATGGCAGCGGTGTGTCGGAGATACTAGACGCAGATCACAGCAACGAGCTGGTCAAGGTACGATTGCATTACTTCCGTCAGAATTGCCGCTCGAAACTGCCTTTTGTGATTTTCCTTTTTCTCAATCTTTGCACGAAAGGCATCTATAGTATCAGAATTGTTCTGTGTTCGAGATGAAGTATCTTTAGTGCTGGTTAACGAGCGGTTTCAGCTCTGGATCTTTGCATCTCCATCTATTGTTTGCTGATTGACGACCGGATCTGTAGTTGTGTGATATGAACGTTTGTCTTGTTTTTTTTTTTTTTTTTCCGGATGATTGTGAGATCTGTGCGGCTAGTTATGGAGCGGTTTGAGCTCTTGATCTTTGAATTTCCAGCTCTTGTTGTTGTTCCTTGTTATGGTCTCGGTCTTTATTCATCTGAGTGTGTGTGATGTGAAGGCCTGTTTGGATTTTTCCTGAAGCTCAAGTTCAAAATTGTTACACACGCGACCATGGAGATGATTTTCATATTCAATATACTAGAAAAACAATGGAGTCGTCTATCTGTTTGAAATGATCGGAGCCGTTATTGTGATGAGAATTGACCTCTACTTGTAGCTCAGAATCGTCAGATCAGTTTTCAGAATCTGCTCTTTTGTACCTTTCTCAGGTGATTTTCTGGATAATTTTACTTGACTAAATCGTTTGGTTGTTTACAGAACTCTTCAATGCTGAGTCCAGCTCTGTCCGCCACATCAAAGATAGCTCCTCCATCCTCTGACACCTCTCTAACTTCGAAGGCCAACAAAGTTTCGGATAATGGAGCTAACAAACTGGCTGATCGGCCTGCAGAAGCAGCAATCATTATTGGTCTTCTAAGAAAGGTCCAATCCGAAGCTCCCAAATCCGTTGATGCTAATAATGGATACATGAAGATTCTGGAGGAGTTGATTAAGGTTGTTGTACATGAGTATTGTGCTCTTCCTGAAGAGAGAGACTGGTTGACGAAGCTTCTTTCATGGAAAAGAGGAGTCGTGTTTCTGTCCTTGTTGATTTGGAGCTTCGTAGTATGCATACTGGTTTTCTTCAATGCTGGATATGGGGGTGGCTCTGTCTCTGGAATTGCCCCAACTTGAGGCCAAATCTGCGGTGTAAGGTACAAATTATGAACTAATCTTTGTTTCTAAATGAGATATAAGTTGCATAGTTTGGTGTTGCTATTTTCATTCGATCAATCTGTTGAACTAATTACCTGTTATGACATGATTCGTGATCAAATATTTATGTTTAGACGAAAGACGAGGTTAGTAGGTTTATTATGAACCCAATTCATACTGAATGGACAGGATGGTTGTGGCCAATCACATTTCTGCATCATGTAGCTTATAGAACTTTAAGTGAACGAAATAAGGATTGTGTGGAATGTAGAACTTCACTTCGCTTTTGGTTTACCACTGTAGAAACTCAGGCTTGGATGTTATCTGCAGGTTTATACTTTGGTTTTTCGTAATTAAGACTAATGGCCTGCAATTCGTCCTTGAGTTCTTATAAATCTATGTGGAAAGCTGATCAAATTAAAACACATGGTTGCTGAAAACTCTGACTTGGCACTATTATTGGATGATGAAAATAAACTGTTAATCAATTCAGGATGATTGTTGGTTGGTCGAATTAACAAAATCGAGTGTCTTTCAAATTATTATGATAGGCCTCTTTAGACTTCGACAGCTGCAGTATCAAGCATCTTTCTTGTGAGTTATGAAGTTGTTATCATGGCTAAACGTATAGTTTATGTGGATGCATTATTAGCTCATTTGAGGAAAGTCGTTAAAGTCTAAGATGACTGGCTGATAAAGAAACCCGAGATAGTCCTTCCCCTAGCACAATCCTTTTTTGTCCTGGGTGGTGAGTTTTTATTCTGTGTACTTATCATTCTTGAATTCGAGACATGTAGAAACTAGAATGACCGCCGAAGTCAGTGTTTGCCTCCACCAGATTCTTGTATGTGTGTGCATACTGTCCATATGCATGTTGGACCGCTTTGAAAAATGTTTCCTTGTTTTCCCTTTTTGTGATAAAAAGCCTTTTGAAGAGGCCTGGTTTCTTTTCTGATTATGAAACTTTCTGGTCCAGTAGCACAAAACACCCAAGATTTGTTGTAATCCACCAAAAAACTGGTCCAAGTCTGTTCAACGAAGCTTTTCTGATTATGAAACTTTCTGGTCCGTTTGGCGAAACATGGAGTGTGAGCTGCATTTTGGGTTTTCCCCTTCAGTGATTCAGTTAGCAGAATCCCAACAAAAGCTTTAGTTGTAAAGCTCTGTCGTCTCTGGGTGGAGGCATATCTGCTCTCTTCTAATTCCACTAATTCGACTCGCACTCTTTTTGTATGACTTTCCCGTGGGAATAAGGGTTTTATTTTTTTATATTTTACCTGCATGAGAACTGCAAAAGAACTCATTTCAGAACGTATAACCTTCAATAACTTGTCTTCAAGGCATTTTACCCTTCATCCACTGGAGATTTCAGTAGGAGATTAGATGATTGTCTTTCCATTATATTTGAAAGGTTAGCATGCAAGCCATAGTACAATTGATTTTCAGTCTTGTATAGAACACACCATATTGAGGTCATTATTCCAGTGACTAACATGCCTTATGGTATATCATTAAATTTAGTTTCATGACGGTTAGTTAGGGTTGAAAAGAATTCTGCCTATCATAACCTTACTGTAACCTGCTTGTGCCTTCTCTCTAGCATGCTTGCTGTCAAGCACCTTCTAAAGCAACTGTGTGCTCGTTTTCCTTGTAATTGTAGCGTTGTTTTGTTGACTACAAGCATTTTGTCAAACCCAAACTTACCGCTTGTTCTCCTTTTCCGCTTCATTTCAGAAGTCCTCGGCCTCACTATTTACTAGTTATGGTCATATGTGATTGTGACTCAAAATATCACTTAACCTCGGCATGTTTTTTTTTCTTCTTTTTTCTTTTTCCAGTTGAAGAAGCAAACCAATTGCGAGTCAGCAATGGCGTCACAGAGATGATGTAGAATTTTGTAGCAGCCGAAAGTCTTCCACTCCCCCCTTCTATCCATTATTCAGGTCTCAACAAACAACAGGTTGGTCGGAACTTTGACCACTACTATCCTCCATTTGACTTTCATAGTTAATTACATTGCTTCTTGTCATCAAACTTGAAAACAAAATCGAACTATGCTTAAACTTTGACCCACAGAAAGCAAAGATTGCTTCCGACCCCAAATGTAAGTAACCCAAGATTCATGTCGAAAGTCTTGTTACACGAACCACCTCGACGATGGATCGAGCTTTTGAATCGTTTGTTTGAAACTGTCTTTAGAAGTTCTAAGCAAGGGTTGAAACTTGAAACTCTCTTACACTATCAGCCAACCTAACCCTGCCAGTACAGAGATTCTCCATTGATAATATTTAGTATTTTTGAAATCCTCTCAACCATTCATTCTTCACCATCTCCCCCCCCCCCATGCAAATAATTGCATCATTTTCCGGGGAGTTTGTTTAATCGATCCTCTTCCTCTGTTCCTCTCCCACATTGTAGTGCTCGTTGCTTTCATTCTTCATAACTCCAACCAATATGTTAACATTCACACGGATTCTCACATTACGTAAGAGAAAAAATACGACAATAATTCAATGAAGAAAATTAAGTAAAAGTACACAATTTCATGAAAATATTATATTTATATGCTATATATAAAATATGTTACAGAAAAATAATGATTATTTCTAGATTAAATACATATGCATGTCTATAATCGGGCGGGTTCGGGTTGGATAGTGAGAAATCCATGCCCACCCATTACCCGAAATATTCGGGTTCGGGTTTTACCCATACCCACTAAATGTCTTTCGAGTTCGGATTTTACCCTACCCGATTAGGCTGGATTCGGGCGGATTTTCGCGGTTACGGATATTTTTGCCATCCCTAGTCGCCATGATGCTGTGTAGTGCATTAGATTTTCCCATAGGAAAACACATTAATCAATTGGAACACACACGGTTAGCATGATTTTTGTTGGGGAGAAGGAGGATTAGGTTCATGATTATCCACCCTTGTTTGTGTTTTAGATTAAAGCTTAAACAAAATCTCTTTTGGGTGTTGGGATAAATTAACCCGTACTTTAGTTTCAATGAACTCGGGAAGAGAATCTCTTTGTATGGGCATAACAGCTTGAAAAATTACAGTGTAAAGTGAGTCCTCTTGTCTGTTGAAAGTGGGAATCAGCTTGGAAATTCATGTTTTAACTTGCTTATCATCATTTGAATCAGTCAAAAGTGGTCTTTAACATGCAACTTGTTTAAAGGAGATAGCCATCCAAATGATTTTTACTGTTTTTCCCCCATTTACCATTGGTTTAATCAGGCTAGAGCTAGACAGTTGCAGTGAGGTAGGTGGCGTTTTTCAAAGCATGAAATTTTACATATTCATTTTTAAAATAAATAAAGTAAAATCAAAATTATATAATTCTTAAATAAGAAAACTCAACTCGTACAAGTTAAAAAATGTCAATGATGTATTTTCATATTCTAAAAAAATTATAAAATACACATGGTGTTTACACATTCATTCATTAACTGACGCATATTTGACTTCTAAATATGTTCTTGATGTAATTCAAAGTTGAAAAAATACTTTCAACACTTGCCGTACAACCATAAAATCAATACAAATTAAGGGTAGCTTGTAATTAGATTAATTGTTAGGTTTTGAAAATAATTAAAGATAGAGAATAGGGTTTTGCTATTACACGGTCTTTAGAATAGAACAACCCAAAAGTTGTAGCCTAATAGAAATTATATTTATTAGTAATTGTAGTGTCCCGGGTTTGAATTACCCAAGTTACCACTTATATTCCCATACGCAAACTACAAACGAGAGTAAGATAATCGTTCTTCCAAATTTCAGGGTGTCCCGAACTATTAATTACATTTTTTTGTCTATACGTAAATTAACATCGGGGTTGAATAATCAACCCCGAGGTTATACTTTCTTGTTTTCTTTCAGTAATAAAGTTCATCATTAATAAAAAAAGCCATCGGGGTTGAATAATCAATCTTCCAAAATTTAGGGGTGTCCCCCTAGGTCCGCCCCTGCACATGTTGATATATAAGCCACAACTTGATTTCGAACCTAATGGTCATCTTGAAAAATATTTTTATTGTTAGTAAACGGTATATAATCCACAATTATACATCTTCCAACAACTCGAGTTATTGGAATCAACTGGTTCTTGACATAATATCAGAGCCTTCTGTGACCGTGAGGTCTTCTGTTCGATTCCACCCTATATGCATGTGTCAAATTTACAAAATCAACTTCAGCTCTTCTCCAACACACAAAAGAAAGAAAAATAAAAAACAGAAGGAGAACCCACATTGCACATGCAATCCCACCCCAGGCTCCCACACCTCTTGTTTTTATCGTTGCTTTCATTGTCCGTTCTAAAAGAGACCATCCCCTCCGTCGATTAATCATTGCCCGTACTCGGCCAAAAAACATGCAAAACCAAACCAGATGTTCTTCATCTGGACCCGCTCTCTACTCTCAGTGGAAGCCAACTCCACCAATATTCCCTCCAACCCCTGCCTGCCACGTAAGCAACCCCATCCTTTTCCTTATTTTTTTCCCGCTTTCTTTTTGGTCTAGTGCACTGTTCGTCGCTGCGTTTAGGGTCCCCTGCTTCTCTGGATTGAATTTAAATCCGTTGAATCGAATCCTGAATCCCAAATGAGGAAAAAGGAAGGAAAGAAAAAACAGAGTGGAATGAATATGATGTTTGGGGGTTGTTGGTTTTGTCCAGCAGAGTCAACCTCCCATGTTCATGGCGTTTGCATTCCGTTCTTTCTTTCTTTGATTTCTCCCCCTTTTTGGGATACCAAATTCGTAATTCGTCACAACTCATCCAAGTGTCCTCTAACTATATATTTGGTACATTTAGTTTAATGAATTCCTCGATAAATCAAAATACAAAATTGTAGTATCGTAACCACAATATAACCATCAATCTCGTATTTTCGATTTGACTTTATATAAAATTTGATTTGGACCGTGCTGGATCATGTCGCCCTTAATAGCACGTGATTTGAGTGGATACCAGTAAGTAAACTACCTTTGCCCCTAGTTACGCCAATTGCACTGTACAAAGTTCCTATGATCTTATACTTTGTAGTTAGCATCGTTAAACAACCTTGTATCAAGACATTGATGCCATGCCAACTCACTGTAGCTGGCCTTTAGTCATTGTTGTGGATGAATTTGGCATATAAACCTAACCTGTATGCATAACTGCAGGCAACATAAAGGACTCATGGTGGGCCGGCTTCCATTCAATCCCCCCTTCTGTATGTTCGTATATATAAATAGTTTCACAAAATATAGTGGATCCCACGAAAATTAATTACTTCCTCCCGTTTGTTTGGCAATTTAGCTTAGACTACTGGTAAGATTATTAGAGGATCGGTTTTGTTGTGAATATTGACCTCCAGTGACTAGTGGTTTAAGTGAACTTTCTACTAATTGAGCTTTAATGGCGAATGCTGTTCTGGGATTCATTTCTCTCTTTTTTGACTTCTATCTAGGACTGATTTCTCCACTACCGGATTCGGGTAAGGAAAACTAATGCAGATTGTCAGATTTGTGGTGAAAACTTAAGGCTACAATCGCTTCTTGAGACCCTGTCGACATGGTTCTGCATTATTGTTAAAAGGATTTCACATCCTCCTTTTCTTAACTGCCGATATTCATCCATAATGTACGTCACCAAAAAGGTTTACACTTTACAGGTAGGAAAGAGAGAAAAGGGGCGCTCCTCCTACTCCAAACAAGAGAATGATTAAAATCGTGTGTAAGCTTCTGACTCCAATGTGTGCTTTTTACAAGTGCCTAGCTAGGGTTGAGAGCTTGCACAAATGATAGCTCCATCCTTTTGTAGTTTTGTACGTTGTGCAACAATTTGGTGGTCTATAGGATCACTTCCCATCGAATTCGATTATGAATCGACAGGCTACTCATTATTTAGCAAGTCGGGTCAAAGAGATTAATCTAGCAATAATACCATGATGAGAGCATCAACAACACTAGACCAACATAATTTAACCAAAACCAGTTACGAGTAAGTCCATGAATTTAATTAGAAAAGAGTATCGGTCTATCAAAACCAGAACTATGGGGTCGTTTGAATGAGGAATTGTAATGGATCAATTTGACACAATTGTCTCGTTTTGAGACAATTATACCAAATTGCCTCGTTTGCCAGCAAAATTTTTGGATGAATCAACCTGTTTGAGGTATTTTGAATTGCTTCGTTTTGAGTCAATTTCAATTACCTGAGGTGGGGGCAGGTAATTCGAATTAACTCGTTTTAATTGCCTCGTTTATAAAACGAGACAATTGATCAAATTGACGCATTTCTAGATTGATCCATCCAAACGACCCCCAAATTAAATTTTGACATAAACGAATCAAATTGGTCTGGTGTGAATCGGCTCGTTGCCCACCCTATATCCAACTATCCGAGTAATTCTACAACGAATTGATGGCTCGAGTGGGGTTGACCACTCAATGGCTCGCAAAAAAAGGAACCAGGGCTCGCACCACTGAGCCACTTCGCCTACCAAAAGACGAAAACACCATGGCACTAAACAAGATTGCAGGAAATGACGCGTGCTCCCTTTATAACCCGTCTCCCCCACTCTCTCTCTCTCCACCTCCCTTCCTCTCCCACTCACCTCCCTTTTACCAACTTCGTCCCGTTCTCTCTCTCTGAACACCAACATTCCATAGCTCTTAAGCTCTCTCCTCTCATCGTTCGTCCGTAAACGAACCAACAATTCCACATCGCAAAGGTAATATTCTCTCATCTCTCTCTTCTACCGCTTTATCCCTGAATCGCTAGCATCTTTGAATCCTGTTTCCCCCTCTTTGATCACTCTGTTTCGATGCCGAGAGAATTTTGTTTTCCCCTTTTTTCCCCTTTTTTCCTTTCCTGTCTCTCCTCTGAATCTGAACTGAGAACTCCTGCGTCGTATCTGAATCTCTCCTTTTGGTGTTTGTTGTGTTGGATTCAATCAGCCGTACGAAGCAAGAATCGGAAGGGAAATAGTAGGAATCCGAGGGAGCCGGCGATCGAATTTCTGATTTGAAATAATTCTTTGTCGAGGCGATGGCGTCAACGATTATCTCGTCGAGTCCAGTAACGAACTCGGATCGGTCCAAGAGGAGAAAGAAGAAGAAAGCTGCTGCGGCGCAGCAATCCAAACGGGCGGAAGGTTCTTCAAGCCACGCCAGATGGAGAACCGAGTCTCAGCAACAAATCTACTCTTCCAAGCTAATCCAGGCCTTGAGCCAGGTCCAGCTCAATCCGTCCTCGCCTTCGGCTCCGCGCCGCGGCCGAGCCGTCCGCGAAGCCGCCGACCGGGCTCTTGCGGTGTCCGCCAGGGGGAGGTCGAGGTGGAGCCGAGCCATCTTGACCAGCCGGATCAAGCTCAAGTTCCGCAAGCAACAGAGGAGGCATCAGATTAAGCAGCAACAGAGAATCGTCTCCGCCGACGGCGGAATCAGCCGCGCGAGGAAGCCGAGAGTGAGCGTGCTGAGGTTGAGAGGTAAGAGCCTGCCTGCGGTTCAGAGGAAAGTCCGGCTCCTCGGCCGGCTGATTCCCGGCTGCCAGAAGGAACCGCTGCCGGTGATTCTTGAGGAAGCTACCGATTATATTGCTGCCTTGGAGATGCAGGTTCGAGCCATGACTGCCCTTGCCGAGCTCTTGTCCGGCTCCAACCAAGCCGCCGGCAGCTCCAGCTGATCTCTCTCCCTCTCGCTCTCTCTGTATGCCCAAAAAATGTCAAAAATCTCTTTTCTTAATCTCTTCATTAAAATTCCCCCAATATTATCTCCTCAATCATCAACATCATCCTGTTACATACGCCTTGCCGTTTTCTTTTTTTAACTTTCACCTCTTCTGTCGTCTTAGAACAACAACTTTGACATGTTACAATTTCCTGACACACTTAACAGGAGCAGTAAAAATGTTACTGGAGCATCATTCCCACTTTACTCCAGTGATCTTTTTTTACTGTCCCTTTGTGGAGTTTCTTGATTTTTTTGGGGGGACAAGCTAGCTGATGGAAGTGGACTCTTGTTTGTATAGTGTGAATTGTTGTTGTGTATAGGAAAATTTCTTGAACATATTTGGTTTTTGTAATGCGATTCTGTGTGTGTAATACTGTTTGTTAGTTTGTTTTCATTTTCTCCCAACAACTCTTGTAGTAACTGAGAAAGTAGTTCGCCTCGTAATTGGTTGTATTTTTATTATTTCGTGGTATCATTTACGACGAGGGATTAGTACTTGTTGTCGATGGTGAATACTTCCATCAGAATGACCTGCCTCAAAGTCCAATAATGCCTTGAGAAAGGGTACTACCACTCAAAACAACCCACCAAGTACTGCCCTATCTATCTGTCAAAACAGACCACATGTTTGAACAGCAGATATTAGTAACACTGCTGCCCTCCAGGCTTCCACCGGCGACAATTTAGGAGCCTTTCGCATAAGGACATGCCGCTCGGCTCTCCTCCTCAATTGTTTGAACAGCAGATATTATTCATTTTGCCTTTTCGAGAGAAATGAAGAAATCTTTCACTTCTTTTCACATGGTGTGCATTCAATTCTTGGCATTAGCTTCCAAAAAAGATACACAGCCTGAAAAACCACACATGCACTCCCATGTGCCTTATATTTATGTTTTATGCCACCTCAGAGATCTTTCACGAGTAAACACATTGCATAGTGGATAGTACTATCACTGCAGATCAAATAGGAAAACAGGAAACATATATGAATGGTCAATTACTGGGGAAGTGGTTACAGAAATTTGGATAACTAACGAATTTGACATTGAAGGTCCGAGTAGCTGTTAAACGTCGATGTTTAGCGAAATTTGTCATCGGAAGCGGGAGGAACCAGCAAAGTTGAGTGTTTTTGACGAATTTGAAATTGAAGGTCGGAGTGGCCAACAATATCATGGTTTGCTATGTCTGTCTTTTAAATATGTGTTGAAATTTTTTCAGATAAGCATGTAAGTGCATGATACTAGAAGAAAAGCTCATTTAGACACGGCGATTTTGGGTAATGTTATTTATTCCTCCAGGGGCGGGGGCCTGGGGAATGACAAGCTCACGAAAGAATCTATCACTCTTCGTCGCATCGAAAGGAGGTATGTCAAAAGGACCTAGGACGATGAAGGAGAAGAAGGACTAGGAGCTATCTTTAGTAGGGAGATAGGAAATTCGAGACTCCGCTCGCGAGTGCTCGATTCGGTTTGAAGATGGTATGGAGTGAAGTAGATCTACTATGTCACTTGATAGAGTGTATTATGATCTTTTCTACCATGTGCTAGTAATTGATTTATCAGTGATCCTAGAGTTGGGTGGCAATCTATGAAATGAACTCAACCTTCTTCCTTCCTTCCTTTTTTTTTTACCACCTTTGGGTAAGGAAAGAAAAAGGCTGCTTTCTAGGCTTGAATAGTGAACCACAGCAGATGGGTAATTGACCATGCACAGCATGTTCTGAGAGAGAGAGATGAGTGAGCTGTGACTCTGTATCTTTGATTTGAGGGACTGTTTGGTTGGAGACTAGGTCATGGTAGTTAGAATTCTCTAAATTGATACATGTAATCAATTTGTGTACTCTAATTAGATGTATTATTTCAATGTATGAACTTGAAAAATACATTGATTGGAGGTTGAATGATTTTGGTGGTGTCTCAAAAAATGAGGAAGAAACAATCTCAACTCTTAGCTAAGATTGACAATCATCAATAATGAATAATTTTAGCGATCTCATCTTCTGCTTAAATATAAGTATTGTGAATTATTTTGAGACAAAAATGATGGATTCTCCTAATTACATTATTACCAAAATATATCATCTGAAATTTCAACTTTCAAACGACTCCTAAGACTATGCATGCCTACTTAATCATCAATAGAAAACCTACAAACAAAGATGCACCCTCACCATCATTTTTTCCAAACAAAATCTTATATTACACTTTGAATGATTGATTACAGAGAAGAATAAAATGAAAAACATTGGATCCAAAACAAGATTGGAGCATCCCAGGGCAAACATTTGAAACCAAATAGTGCTTGAGAGATGCTATAAAGGAAAGCGAACACATAGTGAAACATCCTCAGAAGGAGCTGAAGAACCAAACACAATACACCAATAATCCCTCTCACTTCCAACTAAACCAGGTAGCAACAAGATTAGGATCAACTTGTCCGATCACAACGAAGTTCATGACGATTGAGCATAGGAATGTCACGTGTCGCCTCTTGGAAATTGCTCAAAGACATCCAACACATTGAATCACAAATTAGAGATTACGTGGTAGTGGACAAGGGCATGAAACAGATTGCTCCAAACTGAAGAAGCAGAAGGAATTAGGTGGCTCTCTTAGGATCTTCTGCTCTCCTTGAACCCGATCTGCTGCACCCTCAATTATTATTACTCATTTTATAATGAAAAGAAAAGAGTAATCGATAGTTTCGTATATCCTTTGATCGAATTTTTGTTGTTTGCCGAATTTTGAACGCAAATATCATAATTATTTCAAAGTTGTTGATGAGTTAGACCAAAAAATATACCATTAGTCTCATAATTGGGTGTAGCTAACTAGCTTGATTGATGTGTTTGATCTCTTTGGTTTGAGGAGTGTTTTGTTTAGTTGGTTTAGGAGGCAAGTTTCAATCATGCTCATATAATTGATAAGTCATAGGAAGGCAGCAACCACCCAACTCTATCCTCTACAACACACACTTTATTCTCTGTCCTTTAATAACAATCATTAATTAAAGTTTCTTGGTGATGAAGCTTCTGTTTTGGTGGTTGAACTTTGAAGTAAGGCACCACTGCCTTTTATTATTTGAAAGGGAAACAACATATCGATAATAATAAATTAATTATTCCTGTTTAATTAGGTGCAAAAACATTTTGTGTGTAAGATCTCATTCAAACTTCATTCAGATGATATCTTCCAAAACGTAGGTATAATGACAATATATGGGCAGATAAGGATGGATAACTCCTCATTTATAGTCTATCAATAGGGAACGGATCATGTCAGTAACTCAATGGTCAGAAACCATGAGTAATTTGTCCACATCAGCATGACATCAGTATCCTCTCTCTCCTGCAAAGTCTTTTTTTTCCTATTAATCTTTAATGTACGATTTCTCTCTCGTTTTAAATCGATTTTTTTTGCACAGATAAATCATATTAAATTTACTCTTTAAAATGATATCCACTTTGATATATTTTTAGTACAAAAAATTGAATAATTTTTTACCAGCCGTTACCATCTGGTATGCTCCTATTTAATACCATATGGTAAGAAAGCGTATCATGATTGTATGAACATACCAATATGGTAAGAAGGTTGAATACATGATAGTAGGAGTATACTAACTGTCATTTACGACTTTCATCATTGTTTACCACAAGTTACCACCCACATACCATAGTGGTAAAGTATGGTAATTTTTGATCTAGTATTTTTTCACCCAAAAATTTATAGAGCCAATAGATCATGATGAACTCGTTCCTTCTGAGCAAACATTTTCAAAAATGACTTAAAAACGAAGAAGTTACCATGGTAAAAAAAAAGTTTCTCGGAATATATTGAAAATTGATCTCATTTTGTAGAGCACAACAAACTCGTTCCATCTGTGAAAAAATGGAAATTCGAGTTAGAACGAAGAAGATAAGAGCCGATTAAGAAAACTAGAGAAAATAAAATGTCTTTAATTGACAACCCTTAGATCTGAATTTTCTGGACCCACTTAGATCTAAAGGTCCAGATTTAGTTACTCATAGGACAATATCCATTGGTTACTGACCCTATCCTAAACCCATCAATGTTTAAGTATGTTCATAACATAAAGCACGATTAAAAACGATTGTAGAGAGATACATAAGCGTTAGAGAGATAATCGAAAGTGTGCTATGTCCAAAAACTTCAATAATTTTTTTGGAAAAGTTCCAAATTAAAGTACTTACATACAAACCTTATGTTGAGTGTAGTATCCAAACTCGAAGCTCTTACAAAGCGTTATTCGATATATTTATAGTACACTAGAAAACGCCGCACCTTGCTGCGGGCATGTATTTAGGAAAAACGTCGCTACACATTATTATTATTACTAGATAATTGGCCCGCGCTTTGCGGCGGGATCATAGATTTATAATTTATTATCTTTAGTTTTGAGATTTATTGAACTTGCAATATTATTTGATTTATTAAAAAAAACTAATTGATTTTGAATATGCAAGTTTTTTTGTGAAATTTGTATATGCAATGTAAATATGATGTTCATAACTTTGTTGTTGTATAATGAATATCTTAATTGTATTATGTGAATATTTAAACAATGTGTTGGTGTGTTGTGTGAATAATTGTAAATATTCAAACTGTGCAGTATCATAATAAAAACACATCTAATATATATGACCATTAGTCTTATCAGATTAAAGAGGTCAATCTGATAAAATATATTAGCCGAAAATAAAGAAGTATGCGATGTGGGAATATGGCCACACAGAAACTATGAGATTAAATATCTCATAGATGGATACCATATCAATTAAAAGAGATTAGGTTTTATACTTGAATCCAGAAGACATTTAAATGATATATTATTATTGAAAGTGGACTTGTCAATTTAAATTTTAAGTTTACTGATCGCAAACTGTTGGGGATATAGCTCGGATCTAGTCGCGCGAGTAAGATGGCCCAGTGAACCACCCGTGAGTAAAGACACGACCGCGAATGACTGAAGCACTAGGCGGAGCCGTTTTGTCTCGACCAAGCCGGCGTCGTTTCGCTTTACCAAAACCGGCGTCGTTTGGTCCTGCCCAAGCCGTCATCGTTTCGGTTAATCCAAACTGGGAAAGAGAGCCGAGAAGAACGGTCTCGTAGCCTCCGAAGGAAGGGTCACATCCTAGTCCTGGTCCTAGGAATAATTATGACCGAAAGCATGGCCTAAACTTCTAACACACGTAATGGTCTTGTCGCATTAAATATCCACTCACTGTAATGTACTATAAAAGGAGCATTTACTACGGTAGGTAAGGGGATCGGATTTTGGACTCTCTCACTAAATACAACTTATATCTCTAGAAATCTCTCCCTCTCATCCTCGCACTCTTAAGCTTCTAGTCATTAACAGGTTGGAGATTCACCTCGCTTGCTCTTCTCTCCCCACTCTCCCGAGTCTCACTCCTACACTCAGTTAGGCTCAAACAATTGGCGCCCACCGTGGGGCTAGTAGAGAAGCAGTGGAAAACCAACCAATGGCGGAACATAACCCCAACTCACCTGATGAAGCAACACCCATCAAGGCAATGACGAACCCAAGAGCGCACGCGGAAACCAGCAACCTTAACGCGGTGCTCATCGAAGAAGAGGAGCCCGAGCTAACGGCCAAAGAAATGAGGCAACAAATGGCTAAGCAAAATGAAGTCATAGCCGATATGTAAAAGAAGATGAACCAAGTCATAGCGCTCATGATGAGTAAGGAAACCGGGCCGCCAACACACGCGCCATCACCAGCGGCCGACGAAGTGCCAGAGCCTGTCCCACTGCCGCAGCAACAGCAAATGCCGAACGCATTACCCGCGGACGAGTCGCTACAAGCAAAGCCGCGCCCCAGAACAGACCTCAGTTTCTTGGAGCAACACTTATCCCCGCAGTACCGCCCTCACCCACTAAGAAGAATCCTCCATCAATCGTTAAGCGCGGAAATCATGGCGGAACACCTAAGCGGAATGCCGCCCGCCCTCCCCACGTATAACGGGACGACTGACCCGGAGGACCATGTCAGCACATTTTGCCTCAGAATGCAACTCCAGACCAATTCCAACGCGTCGCTATGCAGAACCTTCCCATCGACATTCTCCGGCATATGTCTCGACTGGTACAACAGGCTCCCCAATGGAATCATTCGCTCGTTCGAAGAGTTCATACTCCTGTTCACCACTAAGTTTGCATCACAAAAAAGAAGACCCCTCCACCTCAAGGCCTTGATTGACATCAGGCAAAAGGATGGGGAAAGCTTGCGCGCGTTCTACGCCAGGTGGTCCAGGGTAGCAATGGCCGTGCGGGACCTCACCTCCGAAACCGCCGCCCATCACCTCATGGACGCCACTAACATGGAACTCAAGCGAGCTTTAGCAAAGAGGCCAGTCATGCTTTCGACGGAACTGGAGGCCAAGATCGAGAAGGCCATCACGCTGGAAGAACTTTGGGCGCGGATTCCATCAGGCGCTTCGAACCCTCCAAGCTGCCCAGAGAAGATCAGGGGCGGAAACAACTTTCGTTGTCGCGGGAGCAGTTGGTACAGTCGCATAGCTGGCCCAGACGACAGCTCGCTCCACCAGAACAAGCCCTGCGAAGACGCTCACCAGACAGACGCCCACAAAACACAATGCCCGCTTACACGCCACTCAACGATTCTGTAAAAAACGTGTTCCATGTACTCCGTGAGAAAGGATACAAGATCAATTGGCCCGCGCCTGTCAAAGCTGCGCCACACATGCGCAACCCAAGTAAGCATTGCGAATTACACACGGAAATGGTTCACTTGACTGAGGACTGCAGGGAACTTAGGTATGAAATAGAGGGCCTCATTCGAAGAGGACTCCTATCCCAGTTCATCCAAGGAGCGGAGGGGCAGAAAGAACAAC